TATATATAGGTGCAGGCGGTTTGACATTATTTTTGCAAGAATTTTTCCGCCGATAGCCAATAGCGAAATTCCCCTATAATTTTCGCAGTCTGATGCACTTCCTTTGTTCTTAAATATATTCACTATATTCGCGTTGCGAAAGTCCTGAGGTACCTCTCCTCTTTCCCATACGACATCGAAGAGAGCCTTAAGATGACCAATAAGTTCGACTCAGGGAAAATTTCGACAGACGATGACAGGAAAGAGGCAGATGACGTCCTTATCAATCCATTTTTTTCACTAAAGGGGGTTTCTAATATTTTTTAAGTTAACTATACAGGGTGTCCCAGAAATAAGTGCAAATATTTTAACTGGTAGTATAGTTCAACCCCAGAAACACGCCTATGATGTTTTTTTCGCGAAAAAGAAAATTGAAAATGCGCAATTTTTTGAAAATTTTTTTGGAAATTTTTTTAGTTTTTATTTAAAAAAAAACATAATTTCTAGATGATATGGCAACATAGGTAGTAGATTAAATTTACAAGAAAGAAAATTCAGAAAAGATCCAGTGGTTCTCAAAATATTAGCAAAAAATCATTTTTTTTTTGGAAATTTTCAAAATAAGATAACTCCGTTATTTTGGACTTATTTGAAAAACGATAAAGAGAAAATATGTTTCTTTTATCGAGATCTACCACCTCTTAAAATACTTGCACTTATTTCTGGGACACCCTGTATATGGATGGGTTTATAATACACACTCATCGGTACGAAAAACAGGCACCTTAAAATTTTCATTCACTTTAAAGTTTTGCATATTGTGTGTTCTAGTGGACAGCAATTTGTAGTTAGATTATTTGACTTTTTAATACATTTTTCTAAATTGAAATTTGCCATCTGTCAGTTATACGAGGAAAAACAAAATGTTGATATTTTGGTGAAAGTTTGACCACCCTGTGGAGTATTTTAACGAAGCAAGCAATTTTAAAATTATTTTGTCATCTAGGTGTATCTTTTCTCGATAGTTTGTTTTTTGGATCATCTCTATAGCTTCATTTTTTTCGAGATATTCGCTTTTGAAGAAGAAACTAACATTTTTTCGTATTTTTTACATTAAAACCATACCTATATCTTTGGTCTTAGTCAACAGGCCTATCAAATAGTGTTTACGATTTATGTAATATCTGTCTTTGAAAAATCACATTATTTTTGCCTGTTAGGCATCTACTCTAAGTAGCAGAGATGGTTTTAAGTCCAAAAGTTGATCTCTACATTGATCAATTAAAGTAGCAATAGCCGATACTTGAGAAGTTAAAACCATCTCTGCTAGAGTAAGTGTCAATAAACAAGAATAATATGACTTTTCAATGACAGTGGCATTACAAAAACAATAAACACTGTTTTATGAGCGTGTTGATGGCCCTGATGGGACCCAAAAGCAAAGACATACTTTCAATGCTAAAATTGCAGTAAATCGTTACTGCCTTATTCAACAGCTAATATCTCCAATAAAAATAAAGCTATTGACATGAACATAAATCAAACTATCGAGAAAAGACTTATTTAGATGATAAAATGATTTTTAAATTCTTTGCTTTGTTAACATACTCAAAAAGGTGTTTCAAACTTCCATCAAAATATCAACATTTTGTATAATTCACAGACGGAAACTTTTTTTTTAATTTAGAAAGAGATACTAAAAAGTCAAATAATTTATCTACAAATTGCTTAAAAATCATAAAAATCGGCCAACGAGAACTTTAAATATAAATATAAACTTTAAAATACATCAAAAATTTTAAGGTGCCTGTAAAAATAGTAGTTCTTTGTCCACGGAATATTGGGACACCCTGTATATAAACCCAGCCATAATTAACTTAAAAAATATTAGAAGTACATAGTAGTATTTAATAAAATATATGAATTGGTAAGACCGTCGTCTAATTTTTTTCTGTCATCATCTGTCGAAATCTTCTCAGAGTCATAGAACAAAGTTTTTTTTTCTTAAGAAAAGCCATTAAATTTTGGGGGTTCACCGCCACTATCTATGGTCGACGACCAAATATAATACTCAACTCTAAGAACGACCCACTTATGATTACAGTACACGCATTTCAATATACCCCTCGCGTTCGTTTTTATATCATTATACACTATACGCCAGCGTATAATAGCGTACAGCGTCGGTGCGCTGGGCGTCGTCGTCCGCCATCTTGTCGGCCCTTAATCACGTCGAAGGCACTCGAACGTGCCGGCGGGCGCTCCGCGCTCGGTTCGAGGGTGCTTCACGTGTGAACGTGGCTTAACGTAAATATTATTAATTTTGCACCTCGTCCTTATACGTGCGCGTATGTATATGTGTTGAATTTTTGTGTTTTTGGTTTTATTCTTTTCTGGTTTTGACGGTGGCGTGAAACAACGGCCGAGCTGCCAGAGTGGAAATAATTCGGTTGCTGCTTTGAATAAGCGTTTTTTCTTTAAATTATATTTGTTAAAGTTAGATTTGTATGCTTTACGATAATTATCAGTAGACGGGGCGCTATTCTGTACAAATCAATCGAAAAAATTGTGATTTTGTGCGTTATGTTGCTCTTTAGTGAAAATTACTGCTTCTTCTATAAATTCCTCAATAAGTAATTGATAATTTACGACTTGACAGCTATAAATATTGTTCAAAACATCTAAAATGCTGAGAAGCGTTTTCAACATTTTCCTCATATAATAAGAATAATGACATATCCATAGAAAAATAAAAAATAGGTTAACATAACAACAATAGGTAATGAAATTCACGTAACATTGACATTTTTCATTGTTACATCCGTCAGTTATCAACTTTTGTGCTCTATGTGCTCAACGCGTATCCAGAACACGATTCGCATGGCAACGAGAATACCAAAATCGACTGCCTTGCGTTTCACTGATCGAATACTTGCGCTCACCGCTTTGAAAGCGTAACGTTTTATGACGTTAATATTTTTCCCTCGTATAATAAGATTAATGACATATCCATAGAAAAATATGTTGACATAAACTCAACAATATATAAGTTATGAAATTCACGTAACATTGACATTATTCATTGTTTTATCCATATTTGACTGTTAGATACCTGAGAAATTGCGATGCTGTCAATATGTGCTCAACGTGTATCCAGAACACGATTCGCACCTTTTTATAAGATTCGCACAGTAACGAGGATACCAAAATGGACTGCTTGGCGTTCGAATACTTTCGCTTACCGCTTTACAAGCGTAACGCTTTTATGTCAAAGTTCCAGAATTCGGGCCTAGTATTTGAATTCGTTAATTAGTTAAAAAAACTACTACATCCTAATGAGAGCTTGTTTGGTTTGATTTAGCTTGATAGAAAGTACATAATATACAATATTATCAAAAAGTTATATTCAAAGATACAAAAGATACGAAAGCATGATATTTATGGCAATAACATGCTTTTGTATCTTGACATAAACTAGCATATAGGTATACTCAAATGGGCACCTACCTAAGCATTCTTTAGATAGAAATCAACGCTATCGAAAGGTGCGTATGTACAATTTATCTGAGATAGATTATTTTGAAAATATTCTTATAATATAAATATTTTGACCTATTTCCACGTTTTCTAATTATTTTATCAACTAATGAAGAAGCATATCCATTACACTCAGCTACATTTCTAATGTAATTTCTTTCTATTTCATATTTTTCGTTGGTAAATGGAAAACTAAGTAATCTATAAACTAAGAAATTTAAACAAAAAATCTTATATTCAACACTATAACACGCCTCATTAGGAACATATCGACATGTAATGGCATTTTTTCTATAGATATCAAATTCCAGGCAATTAGTAGTATTTCTAATAACTAATACATCTAGAAATGATAAACTATCGAAAACAGGAAATAGCTATCTTATCCGATAATCAAGCAGCACTAAAAGCAATCAACTCAGTAACCATCAATTCCAAGTTGGTCAAAGAATGCATAGAGAAGCTGAACAAATTAGGCAAAGAAAATATAGTCCTCCTACTCATCAAAAGCAAACGATCTAACTAGAAAAGTAGCGAACTCTCCATTGACTAGACCAGAACTGTTCTGCTTTCCAAGTGGAAACCAACTTAAAGCGGAACTCAAGAACCTGGAAGACTCTCTCCTTAACCTGGAGTGGGAATCCTCCAACGGTCTAAGACACTTGAAGAAATTTCTCAGAACGAGAAAAATTAAAGATTTTCTTTGATTTAAGTAAGAACAATCTTCGGACCGTCACGTGGTTTTTAACAGGACACTGTTTCCTCAACGAACACCTCAGTAGATTGAAGTTAAGAAACAACAGCGAATGCAGATTCTATGGGGAAAATGGGGAAACACCAGAACACCTCATCACCGAGTACGCCGAGACGACAATTGTTCGTACCATAACTTTGGTACGGCTGATGTCGGAGATCGACAGCTGACCTCTGATGTGTAGACAAGTACATGCAAGCTTTTGTTTAAGCCCTGAGACTGTATGATGAGTTATAACTCTTTAAACTTAAGAAAGGGGGATACACAATAGATCTGTAATCCCAAACATTCTACATTCTACCATATTAGAGCCTTTTTAATATGTTATATTTTTATGTTATTATAATGCATAAATACAAAACAAATCTATACAAAACCAGAAAGGGAAAAATAAATCAACATACTCCGTCGATTCCCTCGATAAATATCTCAAAGCCGCTGCAAATTTCAAATAACCGTCTCAACCGTAGGTACACACATTTGTAAACAATGGCCGAGTCCCTTCTTGTTACCGTTCTGTTTCGCTTCCAAATAGGCAAACACAATCGCCCTCCTTTTGTTCGTCGGCTTTCGAAATGTCCGAACTCGAAAAAAGGAATAAAAAACGCACAGGGAAAGAAAAGGAAACAGAAACAACAAATATGCTATTGTTCGGTCGGTTTTTTTTGCCCGCCATATTGTCGAAAGGCTTATACGTCCGTCGATATTTTAGTTTTCGCTTTTGTTTCAGAAATGCTCCATCAGGGTGACCTGTCCTCCTCTATGGAATCGTTGTCGTACGAGTCGTCGGTGACGTCACCGGCGTCCAATAATGGCCACCAATCGCAGAGGACGAAAAGGTACGTAAATAATAATGGATCTATGAAAATTGTCCAAAAACAACCGAAGGAGAATTATCCGAATATAATTGAACAAAATGAAAATTAATCGAAAAGACAACAACTGCAATTGACAAAAATCAAAATTCCCCAAAAAGTCGATTATAGTTAAAGGCTTGCTTTAATGAAGGACATTTTGGACAATGACAATGGCCTATAGCTTCATTCAAAACCTAGCAATTAGTGGAATAAATTTGTGGTTTCAATTAGAAGAGCAATAGAAGTGTGTTCCTCTAATTTGAATGTAGGCATCAGAACGTCAAAATTAGTGGTAGGAATTTTCCATTAGTGGAAAAAGCCTGAGAAAAAAGTTACCAAACTTTTAACTTTTCACTAATTATACTTCAAAATTTGCGAAAAATGTCATTTTGGCCTTTGATTAATATCCGTCAAGAGAAAATATGGTTGGAAATCAAAAGTTTATTATTGTTTTATAAGCTAAATAATAGGCTTTCTCTATGGATACAACTGATTACCGCAAGCTGTTGCTAGGATATTCTGTTAATTTTAATTGTTTCTTAGACATTGTGAATGATCGTAAACTAAAAAGTATAAAATGTAATTGAAAACATTAATTTATTCCACTAATTGTGAGGTCCTGAATGAAGCTTTACAATGATAATGACATGACTACATAATTATTGCATATTTCGAGTTTTCTGGTTTTTCATTGTTTTACTTCTAATATTAAAGCAAGTACAAAATGAAAACGATAGAAATTATTTGAGAATATAAGGAGAATATACTCTGAACGGCACACAAAATGGACACCTTAAAATTTTCAAGTATTTTAAAAAGGAAATATTTTTGTTATAGTTTTAGATTTAAGTGTTTAGTTTAATATTTTTTGTTCTAACCATGTTATCATCAAAGCGGTCTTTTCTGGATAATTTGTTTTTGATTCATTTCAATAGCTCATTTTTATTGGAGACATTCGCTTTTGAAAAAGACAGTTACGATTTACAAAACAATTAGCATTAAGCATACCTTTGCTTTTGGTCCTTTTGGCCCATATCAATATAGCAATGAATTAGTGTTTATAGATTTTGTAATATCACTGTCATTGAAAAATCATATTATTACAGTTTGTTATGGCAGTTACTGAAGCAGAAATGGTTTTAAGCTCTACCCACTATTTTTGTTTTAATTGAACATGGAATTTTAATTAAATCATCTCTCTTCTGTATACTACCAACCAGAAATTATTCTGACTTTCCATGAAAGTAACATTAAAAAACAATTAACTCTATTTCAGGTGTGGTAATGTGGACGAAAAAATTGCATGATTTTAATGCTAAAATTGCTATAAGTACATTTTTACTAATCTCTTCAAAAGCGAATATCTCCAACAAAAATAAAACTATTAAGGTGAGCCAAAAACAAACTATCGACATAAAACGCACCTTGATTATAAAGTTGTTTTTAAATTCTTCACTTTGTTAAGCCATTCCATGGGGTGTTTCAAACTTCCGCTGGAATAACATTCTATTTTCTCTCGTATAAACAGATGGGGACTTTAATTTGCAGAATCCCTCGCTTTAATCTCACTTAAATACTTAATTTTTTTTATCTAGGATGAGAACTTCCTTCAAACATCACCAGCTCAGAACTATGAAGACGTACTTTGCCATCAATCAAAATCCGGATGCAAAAGATCTGAAACAATTGGCTCAAAAGACTGGTCTCTCTAAGCGAGTTCTTCAGGTAAATTATATCAATCTATAATAATTGTTAGTATTGATACTCCCTATTGTAAAATGTATATGATTAATTCATAATACACCGAGTGGATCAAATTTGAAATGTATAAATATTGGCTCTCCTGGTCATTTGACAGTCGTACATACGTTTTGTACGATGATCTACGTATGTACGATGAGTATACGTGCCAAATTTGAATAATTTTAGACAAGCCGTTTTTAACTAATTTGAAGAAAACTTTGTTTTCTTCAAAAAAAAAGATTGTTTTAAAATTAGAATTATAATCTAAATCTAAGCAACAAAAAGTATTTAGTGTTTTAAGACGTATATTTACTCTCTCTAAAATTATAGAGGAGTTTTAAAAAACTATTTACTGTTTTGTATACAGGGCGGTCCGAACTGTATTCCGGAAATTTCGGCAGCATATTCTGCAGATAAAAACAAGTAAAAAAGTTCGTATAAATATATGTCCTAAAATGCTTAGTTTCGGAAATACAGGATGTAGAAATTTCACTTTTATTATGATTTTTTTCAAATAATTTCTGAAGTAACGTCAATATTTGGATGAAAATTCGTGTCTGGGAATTTTTTGACATGAGAAATTTGATTTTGATGTCAATATGACTCCTATTGTATTTTAACTTTTTTGATGAATAATAACTTTTGCGTCCACAGCTGTATAAAACTACTGAGTGAAAAATCAAATTTTCCATGATTTTCTACGTAAAAAATATCTCTTGGTAAAAATTGTTACCAGCCACCGTTCTCAAGATATTTAGAATAGAAACGGTCAATACATGTCATTATTGGCATAAAATAAACATGTTGAGTAAATAGTTATTTGACTAAAAGAATAATCTTGGGAACTTTTTATTTTTTTAAATTAATCATAAATTTTTCTTGGAAAAAATGATGATAAGACAGTTCTGTTGAACTTTTGACACACAACATTTTAAATTTATGGTTTCAGTCTAATAACTATTTAGTCAACATGTTTAATGTATGTCAATGTTGACAGGTATTGATAATTTTGATTCCAAATATCTCGAGAACCATTAATTGTAGCGATTTTTTCCAAGAGACTTTTTCTACGCAAAAAACGTGGTAAATCTATATTCTTTTACTTAGTAGTTTTGTACAGGTACGGACGAAAAGTTATTACTCTTCAAACCAGTTAAAAATATGTAGGTAATAAATTATTTGGAAAAAATCAATATAAAAATGAAACTTCAACACCCTGTATCTCCGAAACTAAGCATTTTAGGACATACATTTATACGAACTTTTCTACTTATTTTTATCTGCAGATATTACTGCCGAAGTTTCCGGAATACAGTTCGGACCACCCTGTATATGCTTCTACTATTTCCAGTGTTGTGTTATTTACTAGAATGTCTTTCCTGTCTACCAGTTCGTTGCACATTACTTTAGTTTCTGCTAAATTCATTTTGAGATCTACTTTATTGCTGGCTGTATTTAGTTCGTTAATTTGCTTGTAGTTCTTCAGGAATACTGGCAATTCCATCTATACTTAATTCTTTTTTGGTCCAATCGAGTTGACGGAAGATTTCTTCTAGTGTTGCTGTGTGTAAACAGCTTTGGGGATATTGCGTCTCGCTGTCGTACTCCTTTGCCATTTCGGATCTCTAGATTTGTTTTATATATCATTACTCTTGCTTTGGCTTCCTTGTATATATTGGCGAGAGTTTCTATATAAGTAGTAATACTGCTTATTTTAGTATATTAAAAGGAAGATTCATTCTCCAAGTTGAGACTCTATGAAAAGGGCGCAACTGTAGAATGTAATCTAGAGATTTCAGTACTAATTAATCCACTTCATAAGATCTGATTTTATTTAAAGTAGAGTTTTTAGTAGAAGTTTCCGGAATACAGTTCGGACCACCCTGTATATTTTCTGTCTATAAAATTATAGAGAATCAAGGAAAAAAATAAATCCATATAAAAACGTATTCAAATAAGATACTGAGTGCATTAAGTGAGAGAAACAAAAAATAAAGAGGGATTTTAATATATATATTTTTTTCTTTTTGATAGGTTTGGTTCCAAAATGCTAGAGCAAAATGGCGTCGGAATCTGATGCGACAAGAAGGCGGTCAAAACAACAATAATAACCTTCAATCCCAAGGACCTAACAGTTCACCCACAGGTTCGACCATCATGGAAAACGGACTTTCCCATCAAAGTCTGGACGATCTACATCATCATTTACACAATGGAAATTCACAAACGTTAAGTTTCAGCGACATTTATTAGAACACCATCGAAAATAACCTGACGATTGATTGCTCTTATGACGAAAATATACAGTGTGTTAAAATATTATATGGAAACTATGGAGAAACAAAGTATTTTAAGTGTCTAAGAAGTTTTGATACTTGCAAAACATTTCTTATTCCTAGAAAGATCAAATAAAAATAGTCCAAATTAAATATTTCTTAAAAAAATGTCTGTATTTTTGTCACTTGAAAGTTTTTTCAAATAAATATGTTATTTTGATATACAACTAAGCTTCGAAAGTAAGAAATCCACTTCGGGTTTTGATTTTCGAAAATACATAAAAAATAAAATAAAATATATATCATAAATATTTCTATATCAATATTTTTTAGACACACTGTATAATTAATATAAAATAAATCGAATTTAGAAGATCTATAACTGCAAATAGTTGTTGCTTCTTATCAGTTATAAATTATGCAGTCAATAATTATTGTAAAATTTATTATGATATTATTTTTTTGGTAAATTTTGTTAAAAATCTAGTACTTACAACTCGTCAGATACAGAATAATATGCGTATTTCTTATTGTCATTCTCCACTCTGTACGTGCAGTAGACAATTGTATCGTATGGTTGAAAAAAAGGCGCCCTGTTAGCTTGTAAATGAACATCGATGACATTTCCTATATAATTTCACATATAAAATGACAGCAATCTTCATTTTATAGTCATCGCTTACGTCTTTTTTCGATCATATTGTACAATGCATTAAAAAATCTTCGAATTGCCAAAAAATATTAATCTTTTATTTACCTAACTGAATATACAAACTATTTTGATGACTTGCCATATTAAGTTTTTTATGTTTTCATATAAAGGTACATACAGGCTGAGAGCGTCGAGGGTCGCGAAGCGTTTGCGTCTCGTCCGCATGTCGAAATGGAATCAATTCGTTTAACTTAAATTAGACCGTTCACAGCGTCGCGTTTGGCGTTGAGCTAGCGTCCGCTGAGCGTCGGGGTTCGAGTTCGGGGACGCGACGCGCCGCTCGACGCTCTCAGCCCGAATGTACCTATCAACGAGATTTGGTATGTTAGTATTCAATTCAATTGTTTTTGGCCACTTCCTGTTTCACCGGAAATGAATACACCTTTTGATTTTTAAATGACACTTTCGATATATTTTTACTTTATTCGATAGAAAACAACTCTGAATATAATAAGTTGACTAATAATTGAATATTAAAAGTTGACATATGATATGTCAATTTTTGACATTTTCGTTTAAAAAATGGCTCTATTAAAACACTAATTTTTAATCAAGGAGCCTTGGAAAAATATATTTGATTGTCTAATGTATTTCGTGTTTTGTCCTGGCCGGTTATAATATGCCCAAATCGTATTTTTAATCAATTTTTTCAAATGGAACAAGGGTGGCTCATTAGGATATTTGGAAAAAGCATTTTTTACGAATAATTTGGTACCACACACTTGGTATTTCGAGTCAATTTGTCGTTATGAACCGCATGTTACAATTTCAAATAAACCATATGCGAAAATGACAAAAGTTGACATATGATATGTCATTCTATACAGAGTGTCTTTTTCTCTCGAATAAAGTCAAAATATACCGAGAGTGCCATTTAAAAATCAAAAGTTGTAGTCATTTCCGGTGAAGCAGGAAGTGACTAGAAGTGACGAAAAACAAATGAATGCGTCAGTTAATGATAATTTATTTTTATACTAACATACCAAATTTCGTTGATTTGTCTGAAAAAATAAAAAAGTTATAGGGGTGAGCGGGTGAGCCACTTATGAGACGCACCCTGTATACCAAATAGGTGATATCAAATAATCTAGGCAAATAATACACTAAATTGTGGTATTTGACATCACCTTTCTACCGAATGCGTTGTCATATTGTCGCTTGGGCCAGAGCATGACCAGAGTCAAAATCCATAAAAAAAAATTTAAAAAAATATATATAAAAACATTATATATTTGATGAGTTGTACTTTATTTTAATATGATTTCAAAACATGTCATTATCAAAATTAGTTTAAAAAAAGTTGCAATATTAGATAAATGTGAGGAAGTTCATTCTAAGTTATTTTGACTGAAGAAATTCAAAAGACAGAAATTTTTTTTAGCTTTATTTTTCTGAAGTATTTCAAACTCTACGCATCTCTCTAATGCCGGGTCCAGACCAAGGCTATAAAAAGTAAATACGATTTTGAAACAAAAACAAGATAAACTTGCGACAAAAAGTGGAGAATTCTGACAAGACAAACTTGAGACAAATTGTCCACACTGCAAGGACAAAAGTACAACAAAGTCAAAAATTTGGTTGTTGCGAGTGTGTTTTACTAACCATGTGTGATTTCACTGGTCTCCTACTGTTGGCAGCACACGCCATCCACACTGCGCCGACAACTTGTCGTAAAATATACGAACCAAACGTAGACACTTTGATCTTTACCGACTCGAGACGGGACATTGAAAGGTCTCCGAAACAAAACAAAAATGAGACAAAATGTCGCAGAAATGTATTGGATTTGTCGCAATTTTGTCGTAAAACATGAATGTTTCTGTCTTGTCGTTGTTTTGTCTGTTTGGTCTGGACCCGGCATAATAACTCGAAATGTTCCTTTATTTATAGTGATACACCGAAGACGTATTATTGTTTATAACAAATAATAACAAATATTATAAAAGTGTAACTATATTAGATAACAAGCGATTGATATTATATTAGGTTAGTCTAGGATTTCTTGTTATAAACTTATTCAATAATGATTTTGTAAAAAAAAACATGTTTATAACTTATTTAACAACAAAGAAACACTAAAAACAAAATTGTAACAATAGTCAAAGAATGTTGATATTACTTATAAAAACTAAGTATGATTAGATTATGACATACATATCTAATAAAATATTATTTTTTATTTATTTCTTATATTGTGCAATTTGGTGCGTTTAATTAATGTAAATATGCGTATAAGAATGGTTATGTTTTATTATATTTCTTTGTAAAAATAGATCTCTAACTTATTACTTGTAAATAGAATAAATAATAAAATATTGAAATAGAAATCCGGTGTTTTATTATAACATTCAGTATATAGAAGCCTCCCCAAATACAAAATCATAAAAAAATTTCTGAAATCAGTTGCATGAAACCAAGCATGAAACATGTTCCTGTTCAAGGATACTATAGAGATAAGGATAGTTCGATTTCTATCTTCCTGCACTGTCAGTTTTTTTACGTCATCTGGGGACCGAGTTGAAGTTGGCGCTAAAGATTTTAGACAGTGACAGTTATTTTTGCATTTGACGGACGAGCGCACAGTGGATTGGAAGATAAATTTAGCCCGACAAAAGCGTTTGGTTAGAAATAAGCCAAAAAATGTGTACTGGAAGAATAAATAGTAGACATTCCAATTGATATAAAAATGCATGAATATTCTTTGTATTTCGATACATTTTTATCAACCAAATTTGGTCGTTTTCTGCTCAGCAAGGCAGAGATCATACGAAAACAAAATATTTACAAGTGCTTATACATTTTATTCCAAAGCCAAATTATGTTGAAGATTGCCAAAGGTATGTACTTTTCCACTGTACGTATATTATTTGTTAAAATCCTTCGTACCTCTGTTCTGCAGATATCAAACTTTCACTTTTTATCAAATATCGATATATTGAATGATGTAGATCTTTTGAGTTACCAATAGTTACCAAACACAGGTAGTCACAGTCACAGGGAGTTCAAGCTTAACAGGTGAATGCCCAAAAAGTTTAATTTCAATCGGATAGTATAGAAACAAAACAACTCCATCAAAAGGCACTGAGTTTAAAAAATTGTCTTAGATACTTACTATATATGAATTTACAATTACCGAGTGTTAAAATTAAAATTAAAATATCTATCTTAATTAATATTTTTAAAATAAAATATAATTTTTTAAAATAAAATATAGAGGGTGTCACAAGATTACAAAGTAATTAAAAAATAACTGCTAAAGAGTTTTTTGTAAGTATTTCACCTGATATCCTAATTTTATGTATTTGGCAATAGTTTACAATACGGTTTTTGTGTATCATGTACGAATAATATCATAGTTTTATTATCTTGTATTTATTTATTAATAAATTAAGTGGTTAATAAATAAATAAATTTAACCATATAGTTGCTATATATTAGACCATTTGCTACGTTCTTAGATTTTAAGTCCCAAACTGACTCTCTTGAGATTTTGTCCCGCTAGAATAACTATCCGCCGCACTCTGGAGCGCTGTTCAGCGCGTGACGTAGCATTCCACGGCGATTACGACAGCGGCGATTTGACGCGATCGAATGGTCCTTTAGAATATATACAGTCCTTGGTTCCTGTTTACATTCTAAACATATTTCTTATGTAGGTATGACCTTAACGTAGTAGATACTCTAATTTAGACATCATTATTGTACCGAGAAAAAATGAAAATAAACAAAGATGAACCAACAAACCAAACCAAAGCAATCAAAACACGCTGAAAGCTAAAATGCACCTGTTTAGAAATTCCAATTGCCGAGAGCTTTTCAAATCTTGCTATATTTTATAGTATTTTATCGATAACTGAAAATGGTACACTTTCGCAAGTTTTTTGGGTGTCTATGTTTAGAAAAATTTCTAGAATGAAAAACAGAAACGTGTTTACATGTAGCTGGTTTCAGCTATTCTAAAGTTGAAAAACTAAAAATTGTGCATTTCCGCAAAAAAAAAATTGTGACATATACTCTGTTTTTTTTCTCAGGTAAGATTTCGGCAGACGATGACAGAAGAAAAGCAGATGACGTCCCATACCAATCTATTTATTTTAATAAAAAAAGTTTCTAATAATTTTTAAGTTAACTATGAATGGGTTTAAATATAAATTCGTCATGCGTCGTCACTTGTTTTTAATCAGTTTTATTGGTTTATTTCAAAAATGACAGATCGTATTTCAATTTTATTGGTTTGACGGAACGATGAATGACAAACTGACGCCGATGCGTATGAACTCGCCTTTAGGTTTTTGACGTTTGTCATAGTCTTGCCAAATTATAGGTTTTAATTTTGTGACAACTTTTGTCAAATACCCTGCGTTTTGGAAGATGATGCATTTTGATTCGTGTTATTACGTGTGTTTTGCGGTCAAGTGGAGGAAAAATCGAGTGAAAATTAACTGTAGAACCCAGAGCACACTTTATGATTAATAGTCGCTGCCCAGGCAGAAAGTCTTATACGGATACACCAATAAAGTTACTATCAATAAAGTTCGTATACCATCTCGTCGTAGATAAGTGCATCTCGAATATGGTAGAAGGACTATATTAAACCCATACTAAAAACTGGAGTAGCTGTAAAATATCGACATCACACGATAGGTAAATAATGGATTTTAGTACTGCAGAAAAATAATGTCAAAAGGTACTGGTTTAAAAAAATTAAGATTAAAGTTAATTAATCAACCTTTAAGGTATAAAATTTGGTAAGTGTTATTATTAATAAAATAGTTTGTTTCATTTATGTTGTTTTATTTATTCCTGCGGAATATTACAAATTTGTATTTGTACATAAGTTATATTGATAAATATAATCATAAATGCGGGAAGTTTCATAAAGCTTGAAAGTAAGAAATAGTTCTTTTTTATATTTTTTGGTATGTGGTGTCTTGTTTTTGTTTGTTTTGTATTAACACAAACCGTTTTTTATTAAATAAAATAACTCGATTACATTTTTTCAGTTTTATACAGTTTTTTTCACAATATTTTGAAGTTACTTGTCAGTCAAATTTTAAATACATAAATTAATTTCGTGCTATGCGTTCCAGTTGTACCAACTTATTTCTTTGTAAAATAAAATAAACTACTTTGAAATTAAAATGACAGACACATCTATCACTGTCAAGGATCTTCTCGTTGGACAGACTATACTATTCGAAAAGGCTTCCTAAATACTAAATAAACCAATAAATATTTCTTGCATATCTGATTTCAGCTAAACGAAAGTTGAGCCGTTTTATTTATTGTCTGAATATCCACGGTAAATAAAGAACAGCGTTTGTGTGAGGAAAACTTCTTCGTATTCCGAATATACTCACATGCATGTTGAGCCGTTTATATTTTACTAACGTGTACCAGCGACTTCGTTCACGTCGAATTAATCATTTGTAATGGTGATGATAAAGCAAAGCAAGCATTTCCATTAACATACGAACTGGATAAAATTTTCTCACATTTATGTTAACATGAGAAAAAACAATATGGCGATATTATTATATAACTTGGTAATATTTGAGGGGTAGTTTCATCTCGTTGGAATTTGACTTTCAAAAAATCCGTTTGCCAAAAATAAGCTTTTTTCGTCAAGCGGTTTAAGCAGAATCGTGGTTAAGAAATTACTCAACTTTTTGGAACACCCTGTACGATTTTTTTTTAAAATTTCAAAATATGTAAAAGAACCAAATAAATTATGCTTGTCCAAGCGTTTTCCCGAAAGACTAACCGTTTTTTAAATAACAAATATTGTAATATTATATTTGAGGGGCGTTTTCACCTTCTTGGAATTTGAGATTCGAGAAATCCCTCCTTATCGAACCTCTACACCCCACAGTCAGTTTGCCGAAAATCAGCTTTAAACGTCAAGCAGTTTAAGCAGAATCGTGATTATTCAATGGTCATATTTTATGAAACACCTTGTATAAATTTATAAAAAATCTTAAAATATGTAAAACAACAAAATGAAATATACGTGTTTAAGAGTTTTTCCGAAAAACTCATCGGTTTTTAAATAAAAAATATTTTAATATTTGAGGGATAGTTTCACCCCCTTAGAATTCGAGTTTCGAAGAATCCCTTCTTATCGAACCTCTACACTCTAAAGTCAATCTGTTTTCCAAAAATCAGCTTTTTACATCAAGCGCTTTAAGCAGAATCGTGATTAATCAATGACCAGATTTTTTGAAACACCCTGTATGCATTTTTAAAAAATCTTAAAATATGAAGAAAAACAAAATAAAATATACGTGTTTAAGCGTTTTTTCGGAAACTTGACTGTTTTTTAAATAAAAAATATTGTAATATTTGAGGGATGGTTTCACCCTCTTGGAACTGGAATTTCGAAAAATCCCTTCTTATCGAACCTCAACACCCTAGAATCAACCTGTATGCCAAAATTGAGCCTCTTACGTTGACTGGTTTGAGCAGGATCGTGATTAATCAGTCAGTCACTTAAGCATTTTATATATTAGTATAGATTTACAAAAATTTCATCAGAACTAAAATCATGTAACAATATCAAACCCATATCAAATATATACCTAAAATATAATAATTTTTTGTAGGAATGCCAAATAGAAAAAAATATGAAAATTCCTATTTATTTTTCAAAAAGTATCTTGCAATTTTTTTTGCATTTATGAAGTCACACTCTGTATCAAGTGATATGCCAGTTCACTATAATTATTTCTAAAATAGTTAACTTTACGTTCTAACTTCTAACTATTATTTTCCCTCTACGGTTCTAATCGTGATTTGCAATTATTACTTTTGCATGACAATATGGTGGAGGTAATTTATATTTGGTGGAAAAGAATCAATGTAATCAATTCTTCTGGACGAATTGGCGAAGGTATTTTTAAAAAGTATTTTTATTTAATTACATAATCATAATTTATTATCTACACTCTAGTGTAGAACCTCTAAGTTCACTTGTTATTTTTTAAATAGTATACAAAGATACATACATACTGCCATTACTCGCTGACGAGTATTCGACACGCATAAAGAAGATGGTCACGCAAGGCGTTTTCTTTCATGAGCTTTTCTGTGACTGAAAAGCCCGATACGTGAAGTTATTTGCCTACCGCACTCTGGACATTCAAAAATCTCATTGCTTTGTTGCCTCTTTACTTTTTGGTTGTCGCTGTTAACCGAGTTTACAATTCTTTTCCATTGAGTTCTATTGTTAACTGCTTCTTGCTAATGATTCTGCATATTAATCCCCTCTAAGTTTTCGTGGAAAATGTCCTTATGCCTTTTGAGTTGTACACCCGGCCTCCTCTTACCGTCTACAAGCTCACCGTAAAGCAGAGATTTTGGTATGCGGTTTTCTTGCATTCTGCATACGTGACCAGCCCATCTTAAGCGGGATTTTGTAACCATAACTTCAATACTATCGCAGTTAGCTTTTTCAAGGACCGATACGTTTGAGACATGATGGAACCACCGGTTTCTTAAGAGTTGTCTAAGGTGTCTCTGTTGCAACTTGTTTAATGCGTTCATGTGTCGGCGGTACGGCATCCAGGTTTCGCTCCCATATAACATAGTGGGGATTATAATTGCTCGGTACACTGCAAGTTTTGTTTTTGTACTCAAGCCATGATTGTAGAAAACCCTGTCTTTTAATTTCCAGAATGCTCTTGAGGCGCTGCTAATCCTGTGCTGAATTTCAGAGTCGATATTGGCCTTTTCCGAAATCAAACTGCCGAGGTAATTAAATTCCGCTACATATTCCAATAGTTCTTCTCCGATTTTTATAGCATTGTTATGATCTTCTGGGGGAGTGCACATGATTTTGGTTTTGTCGATGTTTAGCTTAAGACCCAAAGTCTCGTATGCCCAGGTATATGTGTTCAACATTTCTTGTAATTGTTGTAACGTGTTTGCAACTAGAGCGCAGTCATCAACGTATTGAAGTTCTGTGATAAATTTTGTACGTGTTCTTGCCCTTAATCTTTTTATATTGAACAGACCGCCGTCATATCTGTATCTAATGCCCAATCCTCTCTCCTGCAGTTTGCTGTCCACTATAATGGAGAGCGCTGCCATGAATATGTTGAATAGGAGAGGCGCTAAGACACATCCCTGCCTAACTCCTGTATTTGTCAGGAAGGGATCGCTCAGTGATCCATGATGTGACAGTCTTGACTGGTTGTTGTTTAATAGTATATAAAAATAGTATAGTTAAATAGTATATGAATCAAAAGTTAATCATACATTTAATCTATTAAATAAGATAACATTTCGATCTTTTTTTTTCATTAAATTGAGAGTTTCAACTTTAGGTTTCAACAACTGTCACTTTTGTGGAATCTCCCGTTTTAATGTATAATATATCTTATATCATACCAGCGACATACTATCAAAAAAAAGCGTCACAGAGGGCTGAGGAATGACAATCAGTAATAATTTTTACGAGATTAAGCACTAGACGTCATTTGCCAGCTGGCTTTAAGAAGGTTAATTTATTTTTATATAGAGTAAAAAAGATGTTTTTTTGGAAATATATTTTATGTGTCTTTTTATAATCTTTCTGTAACTGTGCTATTTTTTGACAAAATTTTTTTTTCACATCAGTTTTTAGTAATTGACGTCTAGAAATTGACCTCGCCAAAATGATCCACGATTTTCATTCCTCAGCCGTCTTTGACGTGGTTTTCCATCATACGGTATAACCTAACTCGACAAAAGTAGACAAAGAAATACATTTGTCATTCATAAACAATCAAAACTTTTTGACAATAACATTGACGTTTCTTAACGTGAACATGACGGAAAAACATTTTATCGTAACAGTAACCGTTCTAGAGGGTAGACATTATATCTGGAAGGATATGAGTTCGGCAGTTATAGTAAACATCGACAACAAAAAGAAATGCACTGATATAGTCCGAGATACTGATTGTCCCTTTTACAATGAAGTAAAATTTATTCCATTACTTTAAATCATTACAAAACTAAGTATATTCCATATTTTTAGTACTTTGTGTTTGAGTTTTACACAACTGAAGAAAAGTTTATTGAAAAGTACCTTACAATCACAGTGATTCAACCTAAGTGTTTTTTTAGAAAACGGAAAATTCTTGGAAACATTAAATTGGATATTGCCACAATTTTAAAACAAAAAGGTTTGGTCTAATATATTTTAGTTTTTTATATTTATTTGTTCTTTTCTTTTTCTTTAACTTAGATTGTCAATTTTACCATAAATGGGCAGCCTTATGTTCGCCAAAATTGGAGGTTTATAGTGGACCAACTGGCTATTTGAAGTTGGATATTTGTGTTTTATCCAAAGGTCAATCTGCAAAGCTGCCTTTGGGCGTTGTTAATGATAATATAGAAGGGTAAGTTTATATCAGTTTGATTATCGAGACTATGTTTTTTTTTTCACAAATAACACTATTATACAGCGTATTCTAATAAGAGGTGTTGATAACGCAAGATTCAAATTTAGAATGCCACTTTAAAAATATAAGTAATTATTTATTAGAAAAAATGTAGTTTCATTATTTTTTTGTCTGGGCACGATAATATAGGCTGCGCATATAGGGTGGGTCAAAAAAGTTGACTATTTTTTTTACTTTATACTATGAAAAAAGGTTGGTAGCCACCTCAAAATATACTCTGCAAGTATGAGCTCTTAATTTTAATAGGAATTTAGAATTTAGAATGAGTGGGAGGAATTGTGTCCCCCTTTCTTGAGTTATAACTCATCATACAGTCCCAGAGCTTTGACAAGCCAGTATCTGGGACGGTTTTACAGAGGGTAGAGTTCTCCATCTCCAATATCAGTCGTATCAAAGTTCATGGCACGAATGGTTGTCGTCTCGGCGTACTCAGTGATGAGGTGTTCTGGTGTTTCCCCATTTTCCCCACAGAATCTGCATTCGCCGTTTCTTCTTAGTTTCAATCTACAAGGATCTACAATCTACAAGAATCTACAATCTACGAGGAGACCTCAATGTGTTAAAAGCCCTGTGACAATCCGAAGATTGTTCTTACTTAAATCCAGGAAGATCTCTAATTTTTCTTTGTCGTAAGCCCTCAGAAACTTCTTCAAGTGTCTTAGACCATTGCAAGATTTCCATTCTAGGTGGAATGTTCCAAGTTCTTGAATTCCGCTTTTAGTTGGTTACCACTTGGGAAGCAGAACAGTTCTGGTCCAGTTAGTGGGGAGTGCCCCCTCCTTTTCTAGCTAGATCATTTGCTTTTTCATTGTCTTCTCTCCCTTGGTGACAAGGCATCCAGAGTAGGAGGAATTTGGTTCCTGTGCCTATTATTAAAATGAAAAATTCATATCTCGGCATCTACCTCGGTATCTACTATTTCGAAAAAATATCTAGTCCCATATGTTTATACAAAATTAAATTCTCTACAGAAAGAGTCTCTTACAATTTTTTTGTAAACCTTACCGTTCGAATGTTATTAAAGGTTGAAGTTTGATTATTTTAGGGCAAATTTTAATGAATCATTGACTCTAAGTTAGAAAAAATTGGCGCCTTGAGGCACGTATAGCCGCCCATACTTAAATATGTTAATATCTCGAAAACTGCGACTTTGACTGATTTTGATGTTATTACAAATTTTGTTGGCAACGGCCCAGCTACGTCGAAACACCGGTTGCCATTAGAACACCGAAGTTAAGCGACGTAAGGCGATGCTAGTGGATGGACGGGTGACCGGTTCGAAACTTTGCATCGTGCTGTTGTCCAAAAAGGGAAAAGTGTAAAATCTATTGATACACACTGCTCATTCACGCCGGTTCAAGGCCGGATGAGATCGGATACTCGTGAGTAAGAGTTAATTTAGACACTTCCTAAGTCGGTAGGCCATTGACCATGATATGGCCGAGGACCGCGGTTCGGATTCCGCGTAAACAAGTAGGTCCCGTCCAGTTTAGCCATTGCAGCAGAAAGGAGACGTTAACTTGAACCTCACACAAATTTTGTTGCAAATATTATTCCTAATCTTAATTTGAAAAAACGCGTTTCGCTAGCTACTGTAATTTTGGAGTTACGATATTTTAAAATTTTTAACCCCCTCCCATACCCCCTTACCAACCCCCCAAGTAGTATTTTCACGACTTGCGACCACATGTTTACTAAACACAACGTTGGATTAGTTACAAAAAATAGTTAGCTCCCTACCTTGGGTATTAAAATACATTTAAACGTTTTTATAACGTTGTGCCGACGCACAGTGCTTCGAACATATGACTCTAGAGGACAAAAATCTAAAACTTCTTTTTTATTGTAAGCAATTTATTCAAACTAGGTTTATTTGACACAAATGATGAGTACTCTCATTGTACTAAATGATGATGTTCTTAGTCCCACGTTTGAATGAAAAAAAAAATCTTATAAATAATAATAATGTTGGAACTGTGTTCCATCTAAGCAAATAATAAGTTATAGTATGAAAACGGTGTAAGTATTAAATAAATTCCTGTGATAAAAAAAAATTGAAATAACATTAGAACATGATTCCTACAATATAAGCCTAATATAAGATAAAAATGTTTTTCTTTAATGAAAAAGAAACATTAATGTTATATTTAATTAAAAAAAAACTTAAGATACTATAAATTTACTTTAGGACAAACTCTGATTCATTTAGTAACTACTCTGATTCAGGAGAATCACTGCTGACAGAATCTTCCAAATTTATAGTATCCAAATCACAGGTAGATGAACTATCCTCACATATAAGATATTTCTGTACATCATTTTCTAATATGTTACTTTTTCGCGTTGTTACTGTTCATTTTGTCGGTATGAGGGGTTCGGATGTCAATAGTTACCTCTTTAATAGACCATATTCATATATTATTCTTTCCTTTTCTTGGGCATGAGATTTTATAATAAATTGAAAGATGGACACTTTTTTATGCGACGATTCGCTCCAACATAGTGGACTTTTTCAGGCACAAGTGGTGTCTCATTTGACTGGAAGGTTCATCAATATCTAATAAGAACATATTTTTTGAAATACAAATAATTTTGAGTTCTTGTCCTTATGATCAAGCCAAGTATTAGCCAGATCAGCATTGCTTATCAATTTTACTCCATCTGAAAAGTATTATAAAAAAATAAAGTTCGTCGCAAGCAGACGGCAGGTGAACTATACAAAAATTAAAAGTGTATGAATATGGCAACAAAAATATTCAATAAATACGATATGTTTTGATATGTTTTTTTAAATGCCTTTTTGAAGTTTGAAAACGTAAAATTTTTATTCCCATTTAAGAATCATCTTAAAAAATAAATAAAAACTAAACAATCACGAATCATTAGAGAAATAAATTTAAAGTACATACATACCTTGTTTAACAATATCCATAGTGGCTTTCATTTAAGTACATACCCGTTTAACTCCATAATATACAAAACTACTATGAATGTTATTCTTTTCACTGATGAGATAATGATCGCAAAATTTATTTTTAGTGAAAATATTTGCTAACAAAAACGCTGTTTATGAAAAATAATATACAGGATGGTTGAACATTGCTATAAGTATAAAATTATATATTCAGATATTAGTAAATTTTAACTTATTTTTGATTTTTGTCCATGGGACGAAGCACTGTGCGACGTTGGACTAGTACTACAGCAAAGTAGAAGCTTCTGCGACGTCGAATAAACGTTGTCTTGTAACCTTTTTTGCTTAAGTGATCTTTAGGTAATTCGGACAACGTAGTTACAACGTTGGACAATATAGAGTTTTTCGACGTCAGTTCCAGGACCTATTCCAACGTTATCCAAACGTCGTCTGTTTTACTAATTCCAACGTTGTTTAGATTTCCTTATTCTTACGGTGGTAGGACGTCGAGTCACTAAAACTACCTTTTTGCAACTGTATTGAACCATAACCTTAAATCTTAAATTTTCACTTAATTGTTCTGTTCAGTCAGACAGTTCAGTGCTGTTTTTGTTTTTATAAAAAAAACTTAATTAAAATGGGACATAAGAAAGGTACATATAAAACTAAATTTAAATATACATCGACATATATTACCGACACTTCCTCGTTTATTTAGATTATAGAGGGCGGCACAAGCTAGACTCTAGAATGACTAAATTAGGCAATCTTGCGACTAGTATACTACCTGTTAAGGCCGAACTGCGACTTTATTAGTCCAGTATGCGACTACTCGAACTACTCCATCTTAATCTCCAAAACAACAAAGTTAAAGCCGCCATGTTGTTAAATAAGAAAATGTTTCGTTCTTAAAATAGCAATTCCTGCTTTTTGAATACATTAACTTGAAATATTTGACCCTAAAAAATACGCGGAAACAATTTTTTCGAATGCGAATAAATTATTCTCATTTTACTAAAAAAAAAATTCAAGAAAATTTTTAAAACTTCTTTAATTTCAAGGCCCATTAGTATTTTTTAAAGTAGAAACAATACATTTATCAATAAAGTTGTTTGCGTTTAACTTTTTACCTTGGGTAACGAGTTACAGAGTCGGTTAAAGTGTTTCAATAATTATGATCTTCAAACATCCTCCACACTTAAATACTTTTGTTTTGTTTTCCTTCACTGCCATCTGACATATGTCTCTAACTAAATTATAAATATAATATTTTTACTATAATTATCCCAATTTAGGATAAAACGCGACTTAGACGCCATATTAGTTTTGTATTTCTGTGAATTAGGATTTTAAACAACGTTGCAGTTTGTACTAAATTAGGCTTCTAGCCAACGTCGGTATCCAACGTCGTTTCGACCCAAAAATTATTCTCCAAACTAGTGCAGACTAGGGTTGGCACGAGGTTGTGCCGACGTTGCGCCCCAACGTTTGGTCGCGTGACCCAACGTTGTCCCGACGTCCAAATGCTGCTTGGGCCCCCACCCCCACCAAAAACTAATGGCCAGATTCTCGGATGCCACAGTTATAACCCAAGTAACTCATTTTGAGTGAAATTAAAAAAACTTTTTTTTGCTGATCTTAATAGCCTACCATACCTATTGGCGTGGTCGGCTAAAAATGCAATCATTTTTTTCTCAATGTACCCAAATATGCTTAGGACTAAAAAAAATTGTTTAAAACACTTCTTTGTTCATAGAAACTCAAATTTTTACAAAATTTTCCCGAAACTCATAAAATAAACTGGAATTGTTCGAATTATTAATCAAAAACTGTTAATGTTAAATTAACAGTTATTGTGTATTGAAGTTTGACGATGAATATCTTTTAAACGGTTAATTTAACCGACTAATCATAAGATACCACATTTGTAGAGCAGTGAATTTCCTATAAAACCGTGAGTGTACCATAACGATTTTTTGTTAACGAGTTATAAAATTCATAAGAAAAAAGAAATCTGCCTTTAAATAATCAAATTTCAACCTATAATAACTTTCGAACGGCGAGGTTTACGAAAAAATTGTAAGAGCCCTTTTTTGTAGAGAAGTCAATTTTCTATAAACATATGAGACGAGATATTTTTTCGCAATAGTAGATACCGAGATATGAATTTTTCTTTGTAACAAAAAGATTTTGCGCATTCACCATTTTGTCAATAAAATGTGTATTTATTTTAGTAATTTATTAACAATGGTGAGTTTTCTTAGCGAGAAACAACAGGCTCAGTATATATTTGAAATATATAACATTAAGAACCTTCAGAAAAAATCCAACGAGTTCATATACGATAAATCAGGTAGTGCCCAATCGGACTACCATCCGTCAACATTTGTGGAAATCACATTTGCTGGATCTAGCGTAAGTATATACCTTCTAAAATCTTTACTCTTTATTAATATATTTAAAAGAATATCTTATACTCTGCCATTTCTCTACTTTATACCGGGTGTGTCTCAAAAGCGAATTTTCCGTATAACTTTTTTTATTTCCTTCCCATATAACACAACACAATCCTATAGATATCTTGAGGATATCCACCAAGGATATAGTAAATATCTTAGGGATATCCAAAAACCAGAGGAGGATATTTATAGGATATCCAGATGGGACAAAAAAAGTCATCTTCAAGACATCCCTAGGCAGGCCTTTTACGATTATTTGGGATATTTATAGGATAATACAAGGATGATGTTGGGAGCATTATAGAATATTTTCAGGACATTATATGAGGACTGTTATTTGACAATACTTACTTCATCCTTAGTTTATAGTAAAAACGTTCGCGATTTAGTTTTATTTGGCCACATTTTGGCGTTATTCATTGGATATTTTTATTAACAGCTCTAAAATATACCTACATATTATGTCAATGAATTTTGCGTCAAAATTTAGAAGTTTATTTGTATGAGTTAAGAGCTTTGAAAACTACGATCGATGACATTTCCCATATAATTTTACATACAAAATAACAGCGATCTTCATTTCCAAGCCACCTCTGACGCCGTTTTTTTCGATCGTATGGTATTATACCAGATCATACTACCCTTGATACTACACTTTATGGAGTCTAGCAGTTTATGTCTAGCAGCAACAGTTTACATCAAAGTTAGCACACAGGATACAGGTATAATTTCTAACAACACACATTCCAGAAACTCACAATTTAAACACAAAAATAGGATATCTGTTTGAATAGATCAAACACGAAAATGGGTTTAAGGATAAAGAACAAGCGCTTTTCAACAAATTTTCACCTATAATTTTGTCACAAATTTTTCATTGTGAGAGCCTCAGTTGGTCGTCGTTTTTCGACATTAGTTGAGGTTAAGATAGAATTTCTGCTAGAACAAGGCTAGAACCTAGAACTATGAGTATAAGAAAAAACTAAGTCAAACTCAACCAGTTTTGTAAGTTTCAGTTATTTTAAAGCCCATTCAATATCGACAAACGACCGAATTCACCTCGAATTTCACTAAATCAAAGAACTAAATAATACACGATGCAAAAACAAACAACTGTCGAGATGAATTATTGTGGGAAATTTTTTGCGCGGGCGTTTTAAATTCTCTATATTACTGGGAGTGACCAAGCTCATAAATATCCAGATTATCCAGAAGATACCAACAGGATATTTTGTTGCCTTGACGTAATATATATCTATCTGTATGGTTTATTGCATTTTATGTAATATAAAAAGTAGTACATTATTTATTTTTCCTAAATATCTAGACGATATTGTTAGGATATTTTATTATCATGAGCATGTTTGGATATCTCAGCTGGATGTACATTAGATATACGACAGAGATATCCATAGGATATTCTATTCTGAGACATCTACAGGATTTCAGGATGTCTGGAGGATATCCTATAGATGACTTTATAAGATGATCTTATAATGGGACATTCCGACATTCTATGAATATCCTGCGGATATTGTGTGTTATATGGGTTTTCAGATAAAAAATCGAAATTTGGTGTATGACATAAATTAGGATTGATTTACGTATTCAGTTGTTTTCGGTTACTTCCTATTTCACCGGAAATGACTACAACTTTTGATATAGCAGCCTCTGTATTTTGTTACTTTTATGCAATACAATAACATCATAAGTATGTCAACTTTTGACATTTTCGAATATGGTTTATTTGAAATTGAAACATGCGATTCATAACGACAATTTGATTCTAAATGTTTGTGGTACCAAATTATTCGTAAAAAAAATTATTTTTCTAAATATGCTTATGAGCCACCCTCGCCTCGTTCCATTTGAAAAATTGACCCATGATTAAAAATACGATTTGGGCATATTTTAACCGACCAGGTCAAGACACTAAAAATACATATACATACAACATATTAGATAATCAAATATATTTTTCCAAGGCTCCTTGATTAAAAATTAGTGTTTTTAACACAGCCATCGCACTGTAAAAAATGTCAAAAATTGACATATGCTATGTCATTATATTCAGAGAGTCATTTTCTATCGAATAAAGTAAAAAAATATACCGAGGTTGCCATTTAAAAATCAAAAGTTGTAGTTATTTCCGGTGAAACAAGAAGTGATCGAAACGAATTGAATACCTCAATCAATCTTAATTTATGTCATATATTAACATAACAAATCTCCTTTTTTTATTTGAAAAAATAAAAAAAGTTATAGAGGTGAGCCACTTTTGAGACGCATCATGTATATTCTACTAATTCAGGTAAAAACACGGATACAAAAGAATAATAGCAATCCAGTCTTCAACGAGAGACTAGTCTTAACAGATATGTTTCCACCCTTGTGTCAAAGATTTAGAATAGACATTCGAAATGATGACTTTAAGAAATCGATACATTCAACACATTTCCTCAATTTGGACAATATATCTAGTGATACTGTTGAAGGTAAGTTATTAGAAAATTTTAGATTACGATATTCATCTTATAATACTGATTATACAAACTTCATTGTCTTAAATGTGTACTATGATACAATGCAACGAACATGGTGTATTAATATACAGGGTGAGTCTTAAATAAGAGCAAATATTTTTAGGGGTAGTATATTTTGACCCCAAAGATACGATGAGGGTTTTTATCGCGACAAAAATTTTTGGAAAATTTTAAATTTTTTGAAAAATTTTTGGGAATTTTTTTTAGTTTTTAGTTAAAAAATATACTTTTTTTGATAATATAGCAACATAGGTGGTATACATTAAATTTACAAGAAAGAAAACCCAGAAAAGATCCAGGGGTTCTCAAAATTTAAGAAAAAATCATTTTTTTCTCGGAAAAATTCAAAGTGTATAATAACTCTGTTATCTTGGACTTATTTGAAAAATGGTAAAGAGAAATATGTTTCTTTTATCGAGATCTACCAGCCCTGAAAATATTTGCACTTAGTTAAGACTCACCCTGAATAAAGAAAACATTAAACAGGAAAACTCAAAATCGTACGTCTAACAGTGTTTCCACCCTTGTGTTGTTCTACCCATCTAAATGTTTATATTTTAATAAATAAAGTAATAAATAAATTAATAATTTGTATGAGGAGAGTTTTTATATTATTATTTCTGTTTTATTAAAGTTCAAAACAGCATAGTTGGATTCTTTGGAATAGTGATCAAGGTTTTCTCTGTCATGCTCTTTTACTTGTGAATTCCTGGCAGAGTACGACACTCCTTTCATTTCATTTAATAAAATAAGTAGGTCTATTTACAAGTTTAGCGTTTGATTTACATAATATATTCTTCTCAAATTCCCCTAATATTGCTTCTGTCGAGTGCATCCGAGATAATCCCAATAAAAAAATATTTTTAGCACAACGTAGGTTCCTTTACAGGGTTGCGTCTAGTCTCCGCTTCTGTTTAACCTGTACTCGGAGACTATATTTAGAGAAGCACTGGATCGAATCCAGGGTGGAATCAAGTTTAATGGTTTGGTTTGGTTCCCAATAAAAATCCCACTAAACAATATCAGATATGCCGATGATACGGTTATAATAGCCAACGATATACAAGAACTGCAAAGCATTATAGATTCCGTAGTCCACTATAGTGAGATGTTTGGACCGCATCTCAATGTCTCCAAGACCAAATTATTGGTCTTTTCTAAGACTCCAATAAATGCACACCTGAGTGTCAAGGGACAAACAATCGAAACAAGTGACCTCAATAAAGTATTTAGGAGCTAACATCAATAGTCTGTGCGACTCGAAAAGAGAAATATTTTCAGGAATTGAGCAAGCGAGAAAAATCTTAGTAGGAATGAAGATGCTACGTCTTCTCTGTGTTACTCTATGGATGTGAGAGCTGGACACTGGATTCACAGACCGAAAAGAGAATAGAAGCCTTCGAAATGTATGTGTATAGACGGATGCTGCGAATCTCAAGGGTACAAAGTATCACCAACGATGAAGTACTCCAGCACATGCAGAAACAAAAAGAGATACTGAACACCATCTCTTCTTCTTAAAGTGCCTTCTCCATTCAGTGAAGATCGGCAACAACCATGGCAAATTCCTCTCTATTTTTCGCTCTTCTCAGTAAAGTATGTGAGTCCAGGCCTGTCCAATCTCTGATGTTCTTCAGCCAGGAGCATTGCCGTCGTCCGGGTCCGCGCTTTCCCTCAATTTTACCCTCGATGATGAGCTGAAGGAATTCATACTTGCTATGTCTCATGATATGGCCCAAATAGGCTGCTTTCCTCTTTTTTATTATGTCGAGGAGTTCTCTTTAGAACTCGTTCATTCGAGACACGGTCAGTCCATGGTATTCTCAGCATTCTGCGATATACCCACATCTCAAATGCTTCCAACTTATTCATTGCGCTTACTTTAAGTATCCACGACTCAGCCCCGTAGAGAAGTGTGGAAAGTACGTAGCACTTGACGAAGTTGTCTTTTATATGGATGTTGAGACGTTTATCGCACAGTAGGTTCCGCAATTTTAGGAAGTTTGATCTAGCCATCTCAATTCGAGCTATGATCTCAATGTCTGGGTTTAGGTCTTTACTAATCCAACTGCCAAAATATCTAAACTATGAGACTCTTGCTATTGGTGTCCCACCTACGACTACCTCCGTTGCCTGTCTTGCATGAACACCATCAAGGAAAGAAAAATGCAATACCTGGGTCATGTGATGAGAGATGGTAGATACGAAATACTGCGCCTCATAATAGAGGGCAAAGTGCAAGGGAAAAGATCAGTAGGAAGACGCCTGAACTCATGGCTAGAATGTAGAATGTTTAGGAGGGAAGTTAATCACCGCGACCTTATAGATCTATTGTGTGTTCCCTTTCTTGAGTTATAACGAGTTATAACTTATCATACAGTCTCGGGGCTTTAACAAAAGTCAGTATCTGACACGGCTAACTCATGTCTAAAGGATTTAAGAAGATGGTTTGAACGCTCGTCTGCGGAAATCTTCCGGGCTGCAGTTTTCAGAGTTACAATTGCCATTTGGATCTCCAATCTTCGGCAGGAGAGGGCGCGATAAGAAGAAGAAGAAGATTCCTTTATATTATTTAAAATTGGCACACAAAATATTACCTCTTCAACTTTGTTGAACGACCCTGGGTTATTATACTACAGGGTGGTCCAAACCATTAGTATCCGTCATTCTAGAATACATAAAGTATACATTTAACTGGCTTATACAATATTTTAGGCTTTCTTCCCACTTTTGGACCAGCCTATATCCATACCTACTTTCGAGGAACTCCTGAAGGTTACGCAGGTTCAATACTGCTTTTCGTAAAGACAATATTATTGGACCCTGATATGGACACCAACTTAAACGATAAAAGTCATCTGATTGTCGATTTGCCTTTGTCTAGAGAGAATCAAGTGTTTTCTTTCGAAGATACTTTACTTGTCGGTGCGATTTTTGAAACAAATTGCATTCCAAAGAAGTACCAAAACAAATATTTATCGTTTCGATTGACATTTGGCCATGTTCAATGTGACCTTAGCAGTACTGATCGTGAAGATACATGCGCAAATATATCTATAGGTAAATATTATTTTTAACTTTTAATGTTTGTAGATGAATGAGTTGAATAATAATAATAATAAGCTTTGCATAGTACAATACATACATATAGTTCATATCAAGTAAACTTTTAGTCACGTGATTAAGCCTGACCAGCACAGCGTTGCCTACTTTTACATATTTTCTTTTAATGAGAATATTTGAGGAAACAAAAATAAATTAATTATAAATATATAAACAGTTATTATTCGCATCAAGAAAATTCACCTTCGTAACAGCACTTAAGGGACATAAAGGGCCTTTACTACCGCTTTCCCGTTCAAAATATTCTAATAAAGTTGCAATGAGTTTTTTACGGCTATTGAGCTAACTAAAAGACGTTCTAAGAAGAACAATGTTCGACAGCAATATCTGCTAGTAAAAATTTTAAGCTTAAAGTATCACAACTCAATTCATTTAAACCAAAAACTCGTAATACCAAATTAATATGTTAAAACTAATAACAATGTCAGGAAATAAATATATAAATGTGGCAACTTGACATTTTTTACAGCAGAGCTACCACCTGAATCCCCAGCGAGAAATTTAAATTCCAGTTAGTCAGCCCGGAGCCGAATATATCCATGGTTGGCAACAATGAATTTAAAAATCGCGCCCTCGATTACCTAACTAAAAGTTTAATTGGTATCGCTTATAAGTATATGTGATATAGGAGGATACTACATTTTTGTTGACATTTTAGGTAAAAAACCTTGGATATCTGGAAAAAACCTGTACAATATTGTTTACGACGACAAGAAGCCTTTCTTAAAATTAAGATCTTCACGACCAGGACTGACAAAACGAATGTTTCACTCAAACATGCTTGAAAAAATATCAAATCAGCTGGTAAACTCTATTGATTTGTTAATAAATTTTACTTAAAGTAATGTTTTAGAACACCAAATTAAAAATAATTGAAAAGCTATTTTTGAAAAATCCAAAAAATAATCGGGAAAGAATCACTACTCTCTTACACGAAGCTATGGATGTTTTAGTTGCATCTACAAATAAATATCTTGAAATTGTGTCGAATAATTACAACACTCATTATTACCCTACGATTTTGGACAAAGAACGATTAACTATGTGCATCAGAATAATGGTATTTATCTAAAAGTAATGAATGTTAACATTTAATTACTCCAAAAAAATCCTATATTGGTGTTTCGCCACTGCAAAAAATTCTACAAAATAAAATAGTTATTTTATGTAAACACTTCTGCGCTCGCTTACGGAATCTACTTGTCAGAAGTTAGGTTTAAAGATATATAAATTTGCCTAAGGAACAAAAAAATGTTTAAAATATTTAAATTCAACTATTCGAGAACACTTTACTTTTTTAAAACAGATACGTCTACAAAAACAGTTCTTGTAGATCTGTTTTAAAAAACTAAAGTGTTCTCAAATAGTTGAATTTAAATAGTTTTTTTCGTTATTCTTTGTATTTTTTTGCTTCCAACGACGGAAAGAGATAAACTTTCCGAAATGTTAAGCATTTTTTGTTCGTTAGGCAAATTTGTATATCTTTAAACCTAACTTCTGATAAGTAGATTCCGTTTGGAATTAACGCAGAAGTGTTTACATAAAATAACTATTTTATTCTGTAGATTTTTTGCAGTGGCGAAAAACCTATATACGATTTTTTTGGAGAGATGAATCCGCCACATAAGTATAGACATTTTTTAACATTTAATTAATTTACATTCTTCATTTTTAGACTATTGCATTGAACAAAATACATGAAATATCTACGAACAAGTCCAACAGGTTAATTTACAGGAATCTGTACGAAATTCAAAAGAAAATATCTTCCATAATAGAACATGCAAGTATTATATTATTACTACTAGCCGAATTAAAAAATTCTTACTCAAAAAATAGGTTTTGTACAAACAGTATGAAATATAATCTACGTCATTCGTTCATTATAAACCTCAACAGTATTTGTTTCGAAATTTTCAAACATGCCACATAATACTATGAAAGTAAATTTACTGGACTTGCCTACCGGGTGCGTCTCAAAAATAGCTCACCTCTCTAATTTTTCTACTTTTTCAGATAAAAAAACGAGATTTGGTATGTTAGTATATGACATAAATTAGGATTGACTAACGTATTCAATTGTTTTTGGCCACTTCCTTTTTCACCGGAAATGACTACAAGTTTTGATTTTTAAATGACACCCTCGATATCATTTTACTTTATTCGATAGAAAATGACACTCTTTATAGAATGACATACACGGAAAAAAATCATTTCTATATTCAAGAACAATCATACACTTAAAATTTTACACTTTCTTTAAGGATAGTATTCTTTCCATGAGTACAACAAATATTTGGAACTATTTTACTTTTACACTTGCTTTTTAAATATAGTTATAGTCACTTTAAGTAATTTTGAATCTAAAAAAAGAATAAAATGACTTATATTTAAGAAAAACTTATATTACTATCAAGTGAATAAATCCTGTAGCAACGAAGAAACTATTATTAAATGAAGTATAAATGCTTTTATATAATAATAAGTAGTATTTTTAACTTTTTTAAAACTTTTTCTTGAAATCGGTGTATTAAGACTTTAAATAAGTATATTATTCTCGGCACGAGAATAACACCCCATTTCCAAGAGTTACTATTCTTATATTAAGTGACCATACCCAACAGCAACAACGCAATAGTGCATTCCTGATTCCTATCTTCATTTGCTTTCTGTTTCTCCTCTGCGAGACGAGATGGGCCGGGTACTTTATATAAAGTTTTTTGTTATCGTTTGTGCTTGTGATATGTTAAAATGGAGGACCTTCTTCAGGCATGGGAGATGACGGATTTGATCCCAAAATTTCAAGGTAATGTTAGCAATAATCCTACATTATTTGATTACATTGGTTTGAGATTAGGGGGACTCCATTTTAATATGCATTATTTCTTATACATTGGTGGTAAACTAGGTATGTACGCCTTTGGAATGATTCAATTATGTTTTAACAATGTTTATTATCGTTTCTAGTTTTCAATTAGCGATGCCGCTGTTCAATATCTACCTATATTGGGAAATTACACAGTTTTATTGTATTTTCTTATTACGAAAAGCATATAATTTGGTAGGTGATGTTTGGCTAATCTAATTTAAAAAGTATTAGCCATATTCGGGGTTATTCTGGTGATATTTCAATATTCATTTTAATTTAAACTCCCCCTTACCTCCAACCAATGTCATCAAATAATGTAGGATATTTGCTAAACTTACCTTGAAATTTTGGGATCAAATCGTCATCTCCCATGCCCGAAGAAGGTCCTGCATTTTCACATATCACAGGCACAAACGATAACAAAAAAACTTTATAATTTTATAAACTACCTAGTCGGCGCGTCTAGTAACTAACCTAAAAGTAAGAAGAGGCTTTATTTTATAGTAGGTGATATTACACTTGAATAAAGTAACTATTACATGTACACAAATTATTTCTATACTTAATGCAATAATTTGCTAATTTACAAATAAGTATAAGTAGTACTCCAAACAAGATTTTATCTCGAATTGTCTGGAGTGTAATTATAATCTTAATTTCAATACTAGGTAAATCTTAAAATAAAAGATAAATTTTCTTAGCTTCTAAGGATAAGGTTTTCTTGAAAAGAAGTATAACTAGATTTGCGGAATGGGGAAACTAGCATATCGTTGGTTCAAGATTAATAATCTTTAAGCCAGTTTAGCTTTTTTTCCGTGTATCCCATGTCAACTTTTGCGCATATCGTTTATTTGAAATTGTAACATGCGGTACATATAACGACAATTTGACTCGAAATACCAAATGTGTGGTACCAAATTATTCATATTGAAAAAATTGAAATATGAATAAAAATACGATTTAGGCATCTTTTAACCGGCCAGGACAGGACACAAAAAACATTAAACGATCGAATCTATTTTTCCAAGGGCCCTTGATTAAAAATTAAGGGCTTTAACATAGCCATGACACTCACACTGATTAAAATTTAAAATACGATTTTTTTAAACCAAAATGTTGACATATATATGATATGTCATTCCATTCAGAGTTGAATACGTCAATCAGTTCTATGTCATATACTAAAATATCAAATCTCGGTTTTTTTAAGTATAAAAAAATAAAAAAGTTTTAGTGGGAGCCACTTTTGTGGCTCACACCCCATAATTTTTGTTGATTTTATTTTTCAGCCACAACATTGCTGGCCGGACATTTTTATCTGGATGACAGCTGACGAGAAGAAACTAGGCTGTATGAGAATTCCAGCAAGAGATATCACTTTTTCTGAAATACCAGAACAAATGGGCAAAGACTGTGGTAAAATAAAACCAGTGCTATTTTTGGTATAACATCAATAAAAACAAATATTTTAGTATATTTAGTATTAAAGTCATATATTGTAGCAACCTGGAACTCAATCCATATTGTGTTATGCTGAGATTATGTTATGGTTGGGTTTGGATGCCCAAGAAGCCAGTGTTGAGGATATGTTGCCGAAAGGGTTTAAAGAAGATGGTCCTTATTTGATAGCTCAAGAAAATCATGTAATAGTATTTTACATTATAAGTCCAGATAGGTTCCTCATTATAGTACGATTTTTACAGCGTATAAAAAGTACTGGTAATAGAATCTAACGGAGTTGTATCGCATCTTATATTTTTATTTTATACTGTTCTTCTAATCCATCATCAACATTTACAGCTTATGCAACCATTTCCAATTATGGTATAGCCTCCCTATATCTAGATAATATCCTTGTCATTGGGCCCATTGTTGTTTTTTGTTGGCAATGCGGATCCAAGCAATTTGATTTTTGACAAGTAGTAAATAAAAGCTAAAATGCAAGAAAATATATAATTTAGTTAATTTAAGTGAATTTCATAAATGATCGGTTTACTACATGTATGTATATTATATAGTCACTTACTAGCGAAAAGTTGTTCCATTATTTCACTCAATTTTTGCCGAGACTACCGCACGTTACACAACCAACTATTTTCGATAAATCTCGATAGCGTCACTGTTAATTTAAGTTCTGCCACAATTTCCATCTAGATTTACTACCTTTATACAACTATCAGTAGTAGAATAAATAATAAATAACATAAAATAAGCTCCGTAAAAACTGACAAATCCACAAATTTTCAAATCAAATTCAAATGTGTCAAATGAATCGTCAAACAGAACTGTCAAGGATCCCCACCCTAGAGAGCTTTTTCCGCCCACCATGCATGAATACATGGATAGCATTATGCTCCTTCCTTAGTCTTCTTATTCAAAGGTAAATACACATACCAAAAAAATGGCTATACCTATGTGGCGGATTCATCTCTCCAAAAAATCCTATATGGGTATTTCGCCACTGCACTGCAAGAAAATCTACAAAATAAAATGTTTATTTTTTGTAAACACTTCTGCGTTAAACTATTTTATTTTGCAGATTTTCTTGCAGTGCAGTCAGTGGCGAAATACCCATATAGAATTTTTTTGACACATACCAAATTTGAACAATTTTAGAACAGCCGATTTTGAGTAATTCAAACAAGATTGCATTTATTTTTATATTAAAACCGAACAGGTAACCATCATATACCAGTCAAAAGCTGACATACCTTAGGTTTACAAACTATGATTTTGTCATTGTCAAAAATAATTTAATTTTAATAAAATTTTAATATTCAGGGGAAATTAACCGAAATATGTCAGATACACTGTCTAGCTATTTCCCGCGTATAATACTTATTCTTTAGGTGTATAACAATAAATTATTACTAGTACTGAATATCGATATTAAGTTATTTGAAAATGACGGTGACAACTTAAGGTATGTCGGTTTTTGACTGGTGTTTGATTGTTACCTGTTCAATTTTAATTTAAAAATAGATGCAGTTTTTTTCAAATTACTCAAAAACGGCTTGTCCAAAATGGTTTAAATTTGGCTTGTGTGTTTATCAATCGTAGACCACCCGGTATATTCTTCTACTAATAATCTTTATTAGTCATAAGAAATATACATTTTCACAAATTAAAATACACATTTCACAATATTTTCAAAAATCAATCAATAAAAATAAAAAAATCACAATAAGAAATACAATGTAAAATACGTAAAATGACATGACCGATTAAAATAAGATCTGCAGATCTCTGCTCTCTCTCAAAGCCTCCTTAAAATCATCAATTGAGTAGGGTGCCAAGTGCACTATACAGGGTGGTCCGAATTGTATTCCGGAAACTTCGGCAGCATATTCTGCAGATAAAAATAGGTAAAAAAGTTCGTATAAATGTATGTCTTAAAATGCTTACTTTCGGAGATACAGGGTGTAGAAATTTCATTTTTATTTCGATTTTTTCCAAATAATTCCTGAAGTACCGTCAATATTTAGATAAAAATTGGTGTCTGGGAGTTTTTTGACATGAGAAATTTGATTTTGATGTCAAATGACTCCTACTGGTAGAGAGCGCCACCTACATGTGTTTTAACTGTTTTGAAGCGTAATAACTTTTTGTCCGTACCTGTATAAAACCTACCGAGGTAAAAAATATACATCTCTGTGATTTTCTACGTAAAATGTGTCTCTTTGTAAAAATCGCTACGAGCAACCGTTCTCAAAATATTTAGAATGGAAATAGTCATCACATGCCATTATTGACGAAAAATAAACACGTTGAGTAGATAGTTGTTTCACTGAAATAATAAATTTGGGAAATTTATATTTTTTTAAATTAATTATATTTTTTCTGCAAAAAAATGATGATAAAACAGTTTTTGTTGAACTTTTGGTAGAAAAACATTTCAAATTTATGATTTCAGTCTAATAACTATTTAGTCAACATGTTTAATTTATGTCAGTGATGACAGGTATTGATAATTTCGATTCCAAATATCTCGAAAACCATTAGTCGTAGCGATTTTTACCAGGAGACCTTTTTTACGTAAAAAGCGTCGCAAATGTATATTTTTTTACTCAGTAGTTTTATACAGGTACCGACGAAAAGATATTACTTTTCAAACCAGTTAAAAAATTTGTAGGTGGCGATCTCTACTAGTAGGAGTCATATTGGCATCAAAATCAAATTTATCCAGTCAAAAAACTCCCAGACACCAATTTTAATCCAAATATTGACGTTACTGCAGAAATTATTTGGAAAAAATCGAAATAAAAATGAAACTTCTACACCCTGTATCTCCGAAACTAGGCATTTTTGGACATACATCTATACGAACATTTTTACTTATTTTTATCTGTAGAATATGCTGCCGAAGTTTCCGGAATAGAGTTCGGACCACCCTGTATATCTCTTAAGATGCCATTTAAAGACACTCAAGCTTGATTTCCTGAAATTTAGTGGAAGCAAATTATAAGAATCCACACCAATACAGCTTGTTTTCTGTAATCTTGAGGCAGGTTTCACAAGATTATTTTTAAATCGTGTATCGTGATCGTGTACAGTTGTGTGAGATTTGTATTTATCGAGATTTTTTTTGATATAACATAATTTGGCAAGGATTATCTGGCCATACAGAGTAATAATGCGCAAAGATCGGAAAAGGGGCTTACAGCTATCAAATGCAGATATATTGGCTATTATTCTGATTGCTCTCTTTTGCTTAACAAATACACTGTTAAGGTAAGTGCCAGCTGCGTCCCCCCAAGATAGTATGCCATACGACATCAGGGAGTGGAAGAGAGCATGATATGTTATTAGTGCCGCATGTTGCCCTGCTGTAAAGCGAATTTTCCGAATTGCAAACAAAGCCGATGAAAGTCGCTCATTCAATTTTATTATACAGGGTGGCCCATCGAAAACGTTCCGCAAAGCATAATAGCCGGGGTATTTTTTTTCAAAAAATCCAAAAACATGTCAATTTTGTTTGTGAGGTGGACAACTTTTGCTCCAAAAATGATTGCCAAATCTTCAACCTTCTAAGCGGGGGTGTCATCCCCCAACTTTTTTCAAATGGGAAGGGGGGTCAAGTGGCGTCTCAATAAAAAGGGCTTTTTATTGTCTATATTTTCCCACTTCGTTTTTAAAAATCGGTCGAGTCATTTTGAAAATATGAAAGATTGAAATTTGAAAAGTACTTTTTGCAAAAAACGCATAAATTGAATTAACTAAAAAAACTTATCTGTAGCAAATGCTGAAAATGTTGCCCGTCAACCTCCATACAGTAAAACAAATAGTATAACAATTAACGAATTAGGGTTTGATTGACAGTTATATATGACATTTATATATGATGGTGACTTTTTGATTGTTTACATTGTATATTGGTTGCGTAATATTATTTTCTGTAGTACTTTCGATTACTTTCTTCGATTTCCGTTTAATTTCAATACTTTCGATTTATTGGTTATTTATATTTGACGTATTTCATGTTTTGCTCTTAGGGAGTATGTTATTTGGTTTATTGGCAACATTGATTTGCTGTGTTTTTTTACTGCTTTTTTGTCCGGTGTTCATCCATGATTTCCTTCTTCTAGAACGATCCGTCTTGGTGTGTAGACACGTTTTGGGATCAAGCCTTGTGCTGATATAAGTTCTAGCAAATTTGGTTATGTACGTAATAAACAGTAAAACAAAAAGAAACAATCCGTTCTAGAATATTCCGAAGAACTTCCGGGGTCACTTCGCGACAAACATCAATAATTCGTCTTCGTAGGTCTTCTAATGAGGCGGGTGGAGTGCTATACTTTACTTTTTATGTGTCCCCATAGAGAAAAGTCTAAAGGAGTCAAGGCGGGTAACCGGGGAGGCCACTCAATTGCACCCCTTCGTCTTATCCACAGAACGGGAAAGTTATTGTTTAAATAATTACGCACATTTTGAGAGTAATGTGGAGGTGTACCGTCTTGTTGAAATATTAGTTCTGCTTCAACGTATCCAGGATTGTTCTCTATGATGTCAGTTAGGGCTGGGTCGATGGTATTTTTCTGTAAGTCCAAGTACATATCACCTTGTAGATTTCCAGGAAGAAAAATAGAACTCACAATAGAATTTCTAAAAATACCAGCCCACACTTTCAATTTTTGATGGTTTTGTGTGTGCACCTCGTGAAAAACCTTGGGGTTGTCCTCAGCCCAGTAACGACAGTTGTGCCAATTAACTACACCGTTCAAAAAGAAAGTACACTCTACCTAACCTGATCGTTCAACCTTATGGCAAGTGAAAAAATGCCAAACCAAACCAAACCAAACATCTAGAAATAATAAGAAAAAAACAGCAAATTGGTCGAAGGAATTTATCCTTATCATTTACTCTGATAAATTTTTAAATAAACTTTTCAAATTTCAATCCTTCATGTTTTCTCAATGACTCGACCGATTTTCAAAACCGAAGCGGGAAAGTATAGAGAATAAACAGCCCTTTTCATTGCGCTACCACTTGACCCCCCTTCCCATTTGAAAGAAAATGGGGGATGACACTCCCGGTTAGAGGGTTGAAGATTTTGCAATCATTCTTGGGGCAAAAGTTGTCCCCCTCACAAACAAAATTGACGGGTTTTTAAATTTTCTGAAAAAAAATTTACTCTGGCCGTTATGCCTTGCGGAACGTTTTCGATGGGCCACCCTGTATGTTCTTGCCAACCCAGTGAGGTGTCGATATAAACACCCAGAAATTTAGGTATTTTAACCTCACCACCACCGCGGAGCTGAAACTCTATTTGAGTTGTTTTTGCTTCATGTAAAAACAGCTGATTGGCAGTAAACCATACTCTCGCTTCCTCCAACACCGAGTGAAAGCTGTCACGCAAAGATAGCTCCTTTTTACATCTGACCAAGAGAGAAGTGTCATCAGCATACATAATGGTAGACGACTGTTCCAGAGAAATGGCACCAGGGAGATCATTAATATACATAAGGAATAATATTGGGCCTCAGATAGACCCCTGTGGCACTCCTCGTCTAACAGTTAGCCTTGAACTAGATTTCTCCGCGACAAACACTTCTTAGCAGCGATCCCTGAGATATGACTCCAAAATCCGCAAACCGGTTTCACGAACTCCGTAATGATTCAGCTTGCTTAGCAACAAGGTGTGATCAACTAAATCAAAAGCAGAGGATAAATCTGTAAGCAGACACCCACATGCGTCTCCCCTTCCAAATGACTCGCATACAAACTCTGTCAGTTGATATATTGCATCGGAAGTTGATATTCCCTTTCTGAAATCAAATTGACTAGGTGTAAAAATTTGAAAAGTTACTTCCCACTTGAGAAAGTGGGAAGAATAGAGATTGGGCGATAGTTTTTAGCATCTTGAACCTCTCCCTTTTTAAAACAGGTACGACTTGCTAACTTTAGTATCGTTGGAAAGTGTTCTTCATAAATACACGTGTTGATAATATCAGTTAATGGTTCGGTGATATATTTGAGCTCTGACGACAAAGGGGCTAATAAAATACATATCCTCAGTTTTTTGTTTTTCATCTTATGAATTATAATTTTTAAATCATCGGGAGTTACAGGTCTAATAAAAAGGGACGCATTAATTTTGGGTGTGTTTTTATTAAGTAATGCTAGTGGGCTACATGATGGGGTGGGTAAACTGTTTCCAGTGTTCTGTTATTTATTAGAATGTCTTTTCTATCCACCAGCTCGTTGTACAGGGTGGTCAAAAATGGTCTGTTTTCACAGAGAAAACCTATTTCCTCACTTGATAAACAAAATCGACATAGACGTTATCGGCTCGATTTCTGAGATACGTTTAACTGTATAATCCGCCTGTTAATGTTTTCACTGCTAACTGATATACGGGGTCTTTATAGAATTTTTGACCATTTTATAAATTTCCCTATGGCATCTAGTCGGTTTTGCTCTAGTCGGGACATAGGTTTTCTCTGTTAAAACAGACCAATTTCGACCAGCATTATTTTAATTTTTGCTAAATTAATTTTGAGACCGTTTTGAGTTCGTTGATATTTGCTTGTAGTTCTTCGGGACTATTGGCAATTGGGACTATGTCATCAGCGATTTTTAGATGGTTAAGATATTCTTAAAAAAAGTTTATATTCGCAAATCTTGAAAAAAGATTACCTATATTCTTTATGACTGTAGTCAAATAAAACTGTTAAACGGTGTGTTTGCATATTGCTTGAATTAGAGGTACTGTAGAATTGTGCATTTATTATTTTATAGTCGATGGTTCTTTTCAGATTATGATGATTAAATCTGAGTCAGTCCACAAAATCTGTGTTACGTAAGAATAGGAAAAATATTCATTGTTCAATAAGAAACCGTTGTAGAGAGTCATCAGTTGTTGCTATTAAAGTATCTATTCTCCCTAAACAATATTATTATTTGGTACACCTTTACATTTGCATATGTTGTACAATGGTTTGGTTTGATCTCTATGTATCGGACAGCTTAAAATAAAAAAAATAACTTAAATATTTTAACAATTTTAGTAACAAAAATTGTATCGTTTCAGATATTTGAAGGAAAAGCGCATATACTGAAAGCAGAATTACAACCTGGTATGGACAAATCCGGCCTAAGCGACACGTTCGTTCAAGTAGCTCTAGGAAGAGAAGTCAAAGAGTCCACTGTGAGTTGTTTGGCGAGTTTTATAGTGAAATATAATTAAGTTTTAGTAGGTTAAGAAGCAAGAGTTGATGCCTGTTTGGGACCAGACGTTGCTATTTTGTAATGTAATTTTATATGGGACTAGAGAGCATATCAGGAAAAATCCACCTTATTTAGTTATTCAGATGTACGATGAAGATCAAGTAAGCTTAATATTTTAGATTATTTATCTGGTTATTTCTTGGCTTCAATTTATACTAAGGGGTTCATTGAGGATACAATGTCCTGTTAAAAAAACCCGTTAATTTCTTCGAGTGCCTTAGACCATTGAAGGATTCCAGGTTACAGATGTGGTCTTCCCGGTTCTTGAGTTCCACTTTAAGTTGGCTCCCACTTGGGAAGCAGAACGGTTCCGGTTAGTGGAGTGTTTGCTCCGTTTCTAGCTAGATTAATTGATTTTTAATTACATTCTATGACTTGTTGGGCTAGAGTATAACGGTCTAAGTTACTCGAAAAAGTTCCTTAAAACTTACAACCGAGAAAAATCAAAGGTTTTTCTTGATTTGAGTAAAAACAATCTTCGGATTGTCACGGGGTTTCTAACAGGATACTGTCTCCTCAACGAACACCTCAGTAGGCTGAAGCTGAGGGAAACAACGAACACCTCAGTAGGCTGAAAATGGGGAAACACCAGAACACCTCATCACTGAGTGCGCCGAGACAACGACCATTCGTGCCATGAACTTTGGTACGGCTGATGTCGAGGATGGAGAGCTGGCCTCTGTGGAGCCGTCTCGAATACTGGCTTTTGTTAAAGCCTTGATACTGTCTGATGAGTTATAACTCGTTATAACTCAAGAAAGGGGAACACACAATAGATCTGCAAGATCGCGGTGATTAACTCCCCTCCTAAAGATTCTACATTCATCCAGAGTATTTTATTTTCTTTTCGTAAATTGTTCAGCTTTTCTAGGCATTTTTTGACCAACTTCGAATTGATGGTTACAGAGTTGATCGCTCTTAAGGCTGACTGTCGGATAAGATGGTTATTTTTTGTTTCCGATAGTTTAATAGACAGTGTTGAATAATTATTTTAATATTCGTATATTAAAGATAGGAAAGGAGTCATGATTGTCATTACAAACACCTCTGGCGGTTTTATATTTTTTTTCGTAAAAAATGATTTTTTAACAAAAAAAAACAATGACTGCATTTTTTCATTTTTTTTTTGTTTGTTTTGGTCTGAATGATTCAGTGTTTATTTTGTATTGTTTTATTGCTCATCTCTTATAGGTGATTATGTGCAGAGTGTATAAATCTGGAATATATTGTGTCAAGATTTTTTTTTCTCAAATATTAAGGAGCCTTCATATGCCGAACACATTGTGACTTCTATTAATGTTACCTGTACCAACTCGTGCAGGTCCTTGATAGGATGAAATAGAAAATATTACTTGCGATCCAGAGCCTCGCAGTGACATATTATGTGCTCTGTGGTTTCAGGATCTTTATCGCAGAGTCTGCAGCAAAGACTTCTTTGATACCGGTTGAGCTGGATCAGGTTGCACTTGACAGCCATATGTCTTGTTGTATAAGGTATAATCATATATATCTAAGGTACCTGTTGATAATCCGCACTTTGCTCCTTCTGAGCGTTAATAGTTCCTTTGTGGTTTTAGAATTAGTTCCTTGGATGAAGGTCTGTGTCAATGTCTGTTTCTCCAGTCTGCCTAAGTTTTACTGCACTACGGGTTATACATTTGGGTATTCCCCGTATTAGACCAATATAAGATTCCTATGACCCTTGCCTTGCTAGTTCATCAGCTTTTCGTTGCCTTGAATGCTGTTGTGTCCCGGTACCCTGAATAATTTAATTCTGTTTCTTCCTTCCAACGTTCCAAGTTTATCCGGGCAGTCCCAGACGAGTCTCAACGATACCTTTTGGTTCAAAGCGACTTAAATGCAGCTTGTCTGAGCATATATTAATGAGCTTAACTGAGTAAGCTCTTCTATTGTTTTCTCTCGTGCATTGTAGAATGACGAGGACTTCTGCCTGAAATACGGTTGAGTATTTGCCCAAGGAAAAGGATAAGCTTATCTTTGGTATTTTTCTAAATAGTCCAGCTCCTGTTCCGTCAGTGGTCTTTGACCAGGTTTGTCTGTCCTGAAAGAATAGTACATCTGTCCACATCCCTCGTTTTATTTTCGTCACCTCGAGTGGTTTGTGGTAGTAATAAAGAAGGGTTACTTGTTCCAATCTCATTTGAGGATGTGCCCGGAATACTCCATCCTCGTGTCAAATCTTGAATTACAATAAGATTTTTGTGAATCTTAGAAAATTATTTAATTATTTGTTTATCGCGCCCAAAATTAAAATATGAAAAATAACGCAACAATTTTTTACCAGTAATTGAATATGAATTTTATATTTTGATAAAGAAAGCAATCAGAAGCAGTAAATTAAATTCAGTTTTTAATGGATTTATTTTTTATTAAGGATTTAGATTTAGAAATAGAATGCCCTCTGTTGGAAATAAAAATATTATTAAAATTTTTCTGTTTCCTACTTCACATTTATAAATATTACTCATAAATTTAATATAAGACTGCTTGACTTTTATGTCTTTTAGTTTAAATGCGAGCTTGTAGGAAGACAACTACTTCAACCGAAAATAGTGTTTCAAGAAGACATTGAAAGAAAGTTAATCGAAAAGAACATTAGAAATTTAGTAAATTCACGAGAAGTTTTGAAATACTACAAGCTTTTCAATCAAGGAGAAGTAGCAGCAACCATGATGGCTGGCTTTGAGCTTGTAGAAGTATTATTTTAACTACTTTAATTTTGTATGTATATTTTACAATGTTTTTACTTGCCAGATACACGAAGCTGTTAAAGTGCCCCCAGAGAATATTTTACCAATTCCTGCTGCTCTAAAACCATGGATGCAGCCCTTCAAAATCGAAATTTTGTTTTGGGGAGTCAGAAATTTGAAGAAGATCAACATGATGAAAATTAGGAGACCCAGAATATCGTTTTATTGTGATAATAATGTTATTAACTCAAACACTATAGAAAGTGTTGCGAAGTGCTCGAACTTCTCAAATGATACCTATAGTATAATTGTTGTAAGTATCATAAAAGTATATGTGACATACGACATATAAATGATGATTTTTTTAACAGAAAATTACTCTGTAATGCGTATATTTAGTTAATACAGCTACCAAGTAAGGAGTACCGATTAAAAAGTTTTACGTAAGTAGGCCTTAGGCTTTTTTTATTATGCATTTCTTGTGGCAATAATCCGTTTTCAACTAATTGTTAATTATCATACTGGTGGAAAATATAGAGCTCAAGTTTCAAGCACGATAAATCCATAAATGCCTACTAATATTCACAATTTGCGTAGATATGATTGTTAGTTATTTATTCATATAATTAAGCTTCATTCAGAACCTCGAGATTAGTGGAAAAAAAATTAGTGATTATAATAATTAGCGTAGAAATTTGATTCTCTAATATCAAATCTATAAATATCATATTTAGAACGCCAAAATTAGTGGTAGTAATTTTCAGTTAGTAGAAAAACTTTTAACTTTTTCCATTAATTACAGTTCAAAATTTGCGAGTAATGTCATTTTGGCTTTTGATTATTATCTGTCAAGTGAAATTGTGGTTAGAAATAAAAAGTTTGTTTTATAAGCTAATTATTATGCTTTTTCTATGGATACAACTCTGTACCATAGGTTTTTGAAACATTTCTTTTATTATGAAGGTGATCGTCATAACGAAAGTCCTGTTCGAACCACACTATTGATGTGCGAGCCTCTAAATTTAACTTTTTTAACATTCTTGAAAACCGTTCTCTAAAAAGCATAAATAACGTTCACCTGTCAACGTATCCTTGAAAATGTATGGCCAAGAAAAGTTGAACCAATAATCCTGCAAGCTTTTCTTCATTTGAAAAATTCATATATAAAATTTAGTTGTAACTTATTGTCTAAAATAGATTATAACAGAATTAGTGAGCTTTTTTAAAATGGTCAAAATTTATTATTTCCGAAATATCGAGTAAGTCATAAGCTTTTTCATTATTTTTCAAAAATGCGAAAGGCGCATATGTTTGTCCTCACAAAACTCCAATTATTTCCCCATTTTACCGACTCTCTAACTCCAGTATAGTCTATCCAACAAGAAGATCCTTGACAGTGATAGATGTGTCTGTCATTTTAATTTCAAAGTAGTTTATTTTATTATACAAAGAAATAAGTTGGTACAACTGGAACGCATAGCGATATATTTAAAATTTGATTGACAAGATGACAAGTGATTACTTCAAAATATTGTGAAAAAAACTGTATAAAACTGAAAAAATGTAATCGAGTTATTTTATTTAATAAAAACGGTATGTGTTAATACAAAACAAACAAGAACAAGACACTACATACCAAAAAATATAAAAGAGAACTATTATTTACTTTCAAGCTTTATGAAACTACCCGCATTTATGATTATATTTATCAATATAACTTATGTACAAATACAAATTTGTAATATTCCACAGGTATAAATAAAACAACATAGGTAAATACAACAAACTATTTTATTAATAATAACATCTACCAAATTTTATACCTTAAAGGTTGATTAATTAAATTTAATCTTAATTTTTTTAAACCAGTACCTTTTGACATTATTTTTCTGCAGTACTAAAATCCATTATTTACCTATCGTGTGATGTCGATATTTTACAGCTACTCCAGTTTTTAGTATGTGTTTAGTTTGATCCTTATATACGAGATGCACTTATCTACGACGAAATGGTATACAAACTTTATCGATGGCAACTTCATTGGTGTATAAGACTTTCTGCCTGGGCAGCGTGTATTAACCATAAACTGTGTTCTGGGTCTACAGTTAATTTTCACTCGATTTTTCCTCCACTTGACTTCAAAAGACACAAAACACACGTAATAATACGAATCAAAATGCATCATCTTCCAAAACGCAGGGTATTTAACAAAAGTTCATACAAAATTATAACCTATAATTTGACAAGACTTTGACAAGCGTCAAAAATGACAAAAGTCTAAAGGCGAGTTCATACGCATCGGCGTCCATTTGTCGTTCACCGTCAAACCAATAAAACTGAAATACGATCTGTCATTTTTTAAATAAACCAATAAAACTGGTTAAAAACAAGAAGACACGACGCATGACGGATTTATATTTAAACCCATCCATAGATAACTTAAAAATTATTAGAAACTTTTTTTAGTAAAATAAATAGATTGGTATGGGACGTCATCTGCTTTTCTTCTGTCATCGTCTGTCGAAATCTTACCTGAGAAAAAAAACAGAGTATAGTTTCCGAGGTACCCATACAGAACATCGTAAAAAAATCACCCTTTATGTGTAAAAAAATCACCATGTATATTTCTATGCTATAAATATAGCTTTATAGGAGTAGTATAGTTATACGCTTATTGACAATAATCCAATTGTGAAATAAGGATGAATTAACAGCAGTAGTATCAAATAAAAAAGAATAAAATACTTTCGGAATAATCATACTTTTATTTTGATATAATTACAAAAGAAATGAAAAAATATATCTCTAATAAGTATGCTGTTTATATTGCTAATGGAAATAATAATGTCTATATGCTTGTATCGGGTTCATTTTTCAAAAAAAATCTGAGTATTTAGCCTGTGAAACAGAAATCAATAAAATATTTTTTTAAATGCTACTCTGTGTAGAGTCCAAACGGAAACCAGATTAAACAAATTTACAAATCAAATTTAATAGTAACCTAAAGTAAATCAAATTTATTAAACCACCAAAAACGAATTATTGATAAACGAATTAATCCAAAAACGAAAAATTAATTTTCAGAATCGCCAATCAAAATTTTCCAATTTCTGGCGGATTGCAATCAATAATTTAAATATATTATTTTTTTATATACATAAGGACTCGATAATCCGAAGAGCGCTAATTCGGATTCCTTGCTAGTCTGGATCGGCAGCGCACTTGCATTATATACCTTGTAATCCGGATTTCGTACGATTCGGTAATCCGAATTTGTGGTTCTAACTTATTAACGCGTTTTCTCGAAGCGGTAATTCATTTATATCGTAATAATTTGTCGGCCGGACATGTTTTAACGTAGGTACCTAGTTTAGAATGGGAAAACGTAAACATATCACTTTGACGATAAAATAAAAAGCTGAAATATTAGATCAACTAAAAAATGTTGTTAGTGGTGAATTACTTGCCCAAAAATATAGCGTTGGAACTTCTACTATTTCCGACATTAAGAAACGTGAGAATAAAATAAGGAGGTGAGATTAACTACATACATGTTTTGGAAAGAGCCTTTTGATTATCATATCAATTTTTTTTAGATTTATTGACTGATTTTTTGATATATTCAACAAACTTTTTGTGATCTGGGACATGAAGTTACAGACGACGCCGACGAGACCAGCGATGAAGAAGTCTATATCCAGTCAAAGAAAATCAAGCACGTTGATGCAATAAAATATTTTACACTCGGATTGCAGTGGGCTGAAGAGAATGATCTTAGTATTAACCAAAGATATTTAAACTCGGGAGATACAACGATCCATTCATAAAACGCTCTAAAGCTTCATCACATTGGTTTGCGAAAATCAACGAGTGCGAGAGAGAATGGACAAAGAAGGGAATAGGGTATCGGCGCAACGGCAACAATGTATTTGTTTACAAAGATTAGACGGTTGAGGTCAATTTCCAGTGGCGTGCCGATCGACCGACAGTATTTTAAGGAAATTAAAATAATTGTTTAATAAATTTAAAAAAATAATAATAACACTTACATATTTGTCGCATTGTAAAAATTTGAGTGAGGATATTAATAGGAAAAAAATAAGTTGAGGGAGGATAGCAAAACCAAACCAAAAATCAATAAGCGTTTTTGACTTTATTTTATTAAATAAAATATCAAATTTTGGATGTATTAGTAAACCGAATCGTGGAATCCATGAAAGAAGATACTCGACCTGCCATTGCGGCAGTGCCTGTGTTAATATGCAGTTTCAATATCTTGTTCCAAACCTTGTTCATCTCCGGTGAATGAGAGTCCCTCTATTAGCAATAACAAAATAAAATAGTTATTTTAACCTAGTCACACAATATTTTACCAAAAACTAATATTTGTAGACTTCACATATTTTTGATAAAAACTTTATTATTATATGTATATTTATTATATACCTATATGAATTTTACAACTATTAAAATGTGTGTCTAAAGGGATCGCACCGCGATTAAAAAACTGATACAATGACACAAAGTACCAGAGTGGTGCGACCCCAAAAACAAAATAGAAATAAATTAAATTAAAAAAATAAACAGAATTAAAAAAATAAAATTAGATAAAAAAAGTGAAAATATAATTTTATCAGGGATGAGCGGAGATAAGCAGAGAGGCATAACGAAACAGTGTAACCGGAACAGCAACCAATGACGGGCATATCAGAAGAACAAGAACCTGACAAATCAGTCGAAGAAATTATAATTTTTTAAATGATTTATTGTGATGAATTTAGTAAATGATTTTTAATTTGTTTTTTATAATCTGTAAAGGATTGAAATTTAAAGTTATTAGAAATATTATTCCACAAATGTGGCGCTATGAAACTGAAAGATTTTTGGAAGTTAGCTGTTCGGTGTTGAGGAATTTTAAAATAATGCACTTGCCTAGTCGAATGATCATGGTCAACGTAGTGAGACAATGAGAACAAATAGGGAGTCTGCTCTGTAGTTAAAATTCGATAAATGAATGTCATTAAATGAAATTATTACAAATCTAAACAAAATTATTTGATATTATAATACAGTCATAAGAAAAGTCTAGCGATAATTTTAGAAAATCATAAATAAAATGGCGATTGTTTAGTAAACGGTTCTTCCCTTAGTCTTAAAAAATATTTAGTTTTTTTTCTCTGGTTTGCAAAGGAAAATTCATATTGTTTATAAATAATAAAAAGTGCATGTGCAAAGAATTTCAATACAATAAAATGTAAAAATACAACAAAATGTAGTAGTCATAAAATTCCTGTAATAAGTACATTAATTATATGTATGTCAAAAGATGTCCATTTACATTATAGCAACCAAAATTTAAAACAAAAGCCGTATTAAATTGTAACGGCAACAAAAAAGTAAGGCCGCCAAAATTCCATTTTTGGTAAACCCCAATAAAATTTTCACAAAAGGTAAGTAATGATTTGTCAAACCCAAGTGGGTACCTAGATTATACTTATTTAATACCCTTTCTTAAAAGGGAAATAGAAATTGTTATTAAGTTATTAGTAATTAGTACGTACCACACACATGAACCTTTTTTCTACAAATAATTTAATTAATAAATACATAATTTAAAAAACATAATAAATTAATAAATATACAATTTAAAAAATAAACCTAAAAATAGATATAATTTAGAAATCTGCTATTTTTTATGTCTAGGTCCGCCTCTGATCTACAGAGAAGAGGATATAATAATATACCTAACCCTACTTATTTTTATTTACCGGTGAAAAGTTAAATTTGGATTTAAATCATACACTCTCTTGTACACAATACATGAATGCACCATATTTTCAAATTAATGTCCACAGAAGTCCACAAAATAACGCAAAAATACTATAATACTGCAAATAAAGAATACGGAGCTTGATCGGCGGCATAGCAACATCGCAATAGGAGAATCTAGGAATTTTCATTCATCCTCGAAATCCGTTGTACTACGCCGGCATATTTCTAAAACTGACGTTGCCAAACTGCTTTTTATTATTAAAAGAAACACGATCATGATATTTTTATTCCATTATAAAATTTAAAATAGTTAAGCAGTTAAGCATTAAATGAAAAAATTGACGTTAGCAAATTAATGTACTTGATATATTATAGAAATATAACGAAATTATTTATTACTTAATAATTGGTTGTGGTATTTAATCGAATACTAATACAGGTAAATCTGGCAAATGTTTTCGGTGTAAGAGAGATGCGAAAATAAGGATAGAATAATGGCCGTTGAAGGAAAAAGGTAAACAATTGTATCTCTTGAGTTTAAATATCTTTGGTATTAACGATATTCTTGTCTTAAAAAATATACAAGAGGAAGCTATAGTTAAGCATTGTTCAGTTAATGCACTTAAAAAACAAAGTAAAATCTCTGATTATTTTTAATAATGTAGTATGTATTTTATACTTTGGTATCTATAGGATGTATGCTCCTATTCACAACGAGTTTTGTTATAGAATATACTTATTCTTACTTAAATTATATTTGTTTAAGGTTTTGCTAATAAAAATGTTTTATTTTATTCGTTTTTTTTAAATAATGCAAATCGCGATAATCCGGATTTTTTTATTAATCCTATGCTTTAATTGATCCGGATTATCGAGTCTTTACTTTTTGAAAATTATGTCGAAGTAAAACAATAATTATAGGTATCCATAATTATTAAAGAAAGTTTATTCTCAACAGAACTTTCCCAGCGATTTGCAGTACGAGTCCTTTCAGTTAAAATTATTCGACAGTAGAAAATTTGGGGTTTATGTCTATGCCGGTGTTAGTATTAATGAAATAGCCACATTTTTCTACGAGCCCCTCACAATGGAGCAAAGGCAACAAGCGATATCATTTGTCTCAAGTAAGGACAGATTTCCAAGTTTGGCAAGTATAACAGGTAAGCGAATATACCATGGCCATCATAAAAGATGGACAAATTTTCATAAAATTTAAAGTTCAATATATTTTCTTTTGGTGGGTCGATTTAGATGATTTTTTAAGCGATTTGTATCTAAATTATTTGACATTTTATCCTGTTTTTAGATTCAAAATTAAAGTTCCTCTTATACAAGGAGATACAAAAGGTTGGGAATAAAAACTATGTATGTATGTCCGGTTTTACAGCGCCCTTCGTCGCTCTCCGGTCACCATGCGCCACCTCCGTCTATTGTCCCAATCTCCTGGTAATAGGTTCCTTTCCGACATGGCTCTGTCGATTCCTTGATTCCAGGAGAGTTTAGGTCGGCCTCGTTTACGTCTGTCTGTAGGGGTCCACTGCAACACTTGCTTTGGTATTCTATCGTCAGCCATTCGTTGTACATGGCCGTACCACTGCAGTTGTATTTCTTGTATATCTTGTACAATGTTACCCTCTACCTTCATTTTTTCACGTATTCTCTCGTTCCTAATTCTGTCTAAACGGGAGATTCGGGCTGATCTTCGTCAGAAGTCCATTTCGGTCGACAACAATTTCTTTTTATGTTTTTCGCTTAACTGCCATACCTCAGAGCCATATAACATTACGCTTTTCAGAATCGCGTTATAAATCAGTTTTTTTCTGTGATCCGAGATATCCCTAGACCAAAGCACCGAGTTCAGCGCTCCTATCACCTTTCTGCCTTTACCAATCCGTTCTTCGATTTCCTTTTCGTATTTCCCTTTGCTTGCGATTTTGCAAGCAATAAAAAGTAAAGCAATTTAAAAACTACTTAGTCATCAAGGTGCGTTATTTTTCGATAAATTTTTATTTGATTCATGCTAATAGTTTTTTTCTTGTTGGATCTTGTTTGCCTTTAAGAAGACAGTAACGATATTTATCAGCATTAAAAACATGCCATTCATTTTGGTCCTATGCAACAACATCCCTATGAAATGTTGTTTATTGTTTTTGTAAGGTCACTGTCACTGAAAAGTCATGCTATTATTGTTTGTTGGGAGTTGCTATAGCAAAGATTATTTTAAGTCCAGAAGTTGTATCAGATTATTGTTTTAACTGAACATGGTAGAGATCAACTACTGGATTTGAAACAATCTCTGTCAGAGTAACTGCCAAGAGGAAATAATATGCCTTTGTCTATACAGGTGTATACATAGGTGTATTGATGATGATCAAAAGCAAATGAAACTAGCAAAGGCCTTTTGTCCACGACCACTTAATAATAAAATAATATTATACTTCCTAGCTGAAGGAATGTGGTGCTCATATTTGTAATAGAGGGAAATATAACAGCTGATGAGACAGTGAATAATGATAAATCACACTTTGCATTTGTTGCTATGCCAACGTGACACTCACAACATCCCGATGCGCGGCGTGGATAATTTGACGTTTTTCTTATCTTTTCTTTTTATTAATTTTGACGTTTAAAATAGTCAAATGTTAATAGTACGAGAGCTAGCAACGTCGGAAAAACAAGTATTTTAAGATGTCTGGCTTTTTGATATATCTTTTACTATGCTCCCTAGAACAGCATGCTACCTAGAACAGTCTGACAATGCTCCCTAGAACAGTCTTGCTGCCGGTAAACGTTGCGTTCCCTACTGCGCATTGAAACGAGATCCTATATTTTTATAAGTTTTTTAAATTCTAGTATTGAATATAAATCGAACATGTCTCCATAGCGCAGTGCGTAGGGTTTCCGACCACGAACCAATGATTCAGAGTTCGAATCCGGGTCAGGGCAAAGACTTTTTATTTTATTTTGGTTTATATTCTGATAGTAAAGTATTAAATATTTGTTTTTTTAAATTACCAGAATTATTTAATAGTTTATTATTAGAATATAAACGAAAATAAAATAAAAAAGTCTTTGCCCTGACCCGGATTCGATACTAGAGTTTATAGGACTAAATTAATAAAAAAAATATAGTATCTTCTTCCGATGCGCAGTAGTGAACGCAACGGGCATCGGCAGCCAGACGGGCCGCATGCTGTTCCAGAGAGCATAGTAAAAGATATATCAAAGAGCCAGACGTCTTAAAATACTTCCTCATAAACGTTGCTAGCTCTTAGACTATAACTAGGTAGTGATTATTAAGTGGCATATTAAGAACTCGTTTAAAATCAAAAAATGAATTATGACAGTGATAATGAGTCCTGTACACCACCAGAGATAGCAGAGGCGGCCAAATTAACAAGTCTTGGATTGCTACCACAAAAGTCTAAGGATCATTACATGTCTGCCTATAAAAACTTTCTAGACTGGAGGATTGCTAAAGGCATAAATTCGTTTTCCGAATCCGTGTTATTAGTATATTTAGTTGCCATTGTAAGGGAACAAAAATCAATCTCCTGATTGACTAAAGAATGTTGGTACGATTATTTTCATGCAAAGAACTTGAAATAATATCAATGAAATTCAAATACGTACATAACTTTAAATAAAACACAAATTACCAACTTTAGTTACACAAAACAACAAAAAGTTAGATACTGGTACTCCAATATATCGTTCTCCAACAACTGTACTCAACTAAAGTTGGTAGAAGTACCTATGTTTTATTGCAAAAAACTTGAAGCAGCATCAATAAAATTCAAATACATCTATAACGATAAGTAAAACACAAATAACCAACTTTAGTTACACAAAACAACAAAACAAGCAAAAAGCTGCTGGTGGTACGATCTATCATTTTTCAACAAATTTATTTTACTAAAGGTGGTAGAAAAAAGTACTAATATAAGTATGTCATAAAACACATCTAATAATAAACTTCCCAAATATTTGAAAATAATAGTTCGAAGTGACTGCGACTCTCGATCCATAGCAACTGATGATATTGACGTTTTTATTATCTTTTAGTTAATTTTGACGTTTGAAATGGCTAGCATAAATTGGTCGTTCAATAATATACTATTAATGCAAATTAGCTGTAAATCATTACTGTCTCCTGTGAAGCAAATATCTCCAACAAAAATAAAGCTGTTGTGATGAATCAAAAACTAGACTATCAAGAAAAGATGCACCTTAAAGAAAACGCAGTTTTTAAATTCATTACTTTGTCAAATCATTTCATATGGTGTATCAAACTTTCGCCCATTTAACATTTCCTTTTTTCCTCGTATAACAGACGGTTGAATAATTTAATGTTTAATTTATAAAGAGATAAAAATGTCACTTAATTTAGTTACACATTGCTAAAAAAATTATCAAAATCGGCCCACTAGAAAAAAATATGTTGAACTTTAACCTCGACTTTAACGTACATGAAAATTTGTACATTTTTCGTGCCAATCAGTGAAGCTTCTATATTAGGTTTGTTTCATAGATTATATAAAGAACATCTTTCTTCAAATGCAGGGTGTTCTTTAATGACATGCTAATATTTGAGAGCGTAATTCTTGGACCTATTCTAAGACAAAAAGTTCATAGGAATGTATATCCTAAACATCTTAATTTCTGAGATACAGGGTGGTAAATTTTTCTAAAAAAAACTTTTTTTCATATTAACGTTGATTTCATTACATATATCTTTATGAAACTTGATACATGTTTTCTATGCATCAAAATAGGTACTTTTTTTTGGTGTACAACGAATTTTATTTACTTCAACCAATGCCGTTTATACGGATTTTACACTGAATATTTTTGGAGAAAAAAGTGGTACACTACTAACTTCTCTTGAAATAAAAATTATTTTCAAAATCTCCATTTATTTCTAAACATTTTTTATCATAGTTTTTGCCTAAAAAAGTTAAAGTCAGTTTCAGTATTTCAGGGTAAAATTGTTAAAAATTTGTGACTGTTGTGTGGAAATTATTTCTGCATCGGCTGGAACGAAATAGAGAAATAAAATAATTTTTTTGTATATCAGAATAAGCATTTTCATGCATGGAATACGTGACTCAAATATACCATCAGAGGTATTTGAAAAAAAAAACAGAAAATGGTACCACTCTGTATCTGAAAAGTTGTTTTATATATTCATATGAAGATTCATACGATTCATATGAAGTTTTTTTCTTAGAATAGATCCAAGGGTCAGCTTCTTTTTTTGGTGAAATTAAATTTTTTTCTTAAATATTAGCATGTCATTAAGGAACACCCTATATATTATAGGTTATTCATAGGGAAGTAATGAATTTAGATTTATTTTTTTTAGATTCTAAATTAAAATTTGATGATATTTGGGCCAAGTCTCTAGTACTGCAAAAACATCAACCTCCAAGAATAACCTTATGCGGCTTCTTAGGGAAGATTTGCAAAGCACTGTGTTCATTTCGAAGGAGCAAAAAACACAAAGAAACTAGCGAGTACTCTTTACTGACCGACGAAGATTTTGCCGAAGATGATTTTGACAATATCGATTGGTGGACGAAATATTACGCGTCCAACGGAGAAACTCATAGTAAAACCAAGCATAAACTCAAAATTTATCTCAACGAGTTAGAAAACCAGCCTGAATTTAACGGTTTTGCTGATTTTTTGACAAGTTTTGAGATGTATAAGGGAAAGAAAAGTGGCGATGAAACCTTGGACGAAGCCAATATCACTGCTGTGTTTAAAGGGTAAAAATAATTTAAGATTGTATAATTACCTGTAGCATAACGCGTTAGTGTTGATTGAGGAAATAAGAAGATGCACAACCTTACGGGCGATTTTGTGGCACAAAACTTGTCCGAGATTTAGTTGGCGTTACTGTCAGCCTGTCCGAGATTTAGTTTAGTCCTCCGCCGCTGCGCGCAGATAGTCGTTTACAGCCCAGCGGATAAAGAATACTGTACCGTAGTTCTGCTTTCCGTCGACAGAGTGAGTGGTTGTCGGAGACAGTGTTGCCAGAACTACGTATTAATTCGTAGATTTCCGGATTTCAGATACAGTACATTAATAATACGGATTTTCTATGATTAAACAATTTATTATAATATTATATGATTAAGCAAACAACGGCGTCAGAGTTGGCTTGGAAATGAAGGTTGCTTTTATTTCGTATGTAAAATATTATGGTGAATGTCAATAATCGTCATTTCAAAGCCAACTAAACAACTTTTTTGATCATACGAAATATTCAGTAACTATAAAAGAATGTTTATTTCTGTTGTTTATTCTATGTTTAACACGAATAAATTTACAATACATAAACGCGGATTTTTCATCCAAAGATATTTTCGTCAAAAAAAAGGTATTATAGATATTACACATTTTAATATGGCAACACTGTCACATTCAGTTCGACACCGTCTTCGAAATTCCTTCGCTAGCCGAATTAGAGAAAATAAGCGTTTTATGCGTTGACCAAAGAATTATTCGTGGCTCCACCGTACAGCAATCGAGACGTATGGCGGTATGGGGAAATCAAGTCAGTCTTTTCACGAATTCGCCCATAAGGTTGCGTATTTTTCCAATTCTTTCAATCTACTGTGTTAATTTTATACTTTGTTTAATTCAGAGCTATCAGATGTTATCGATGGAATGTAGACGACTATTACGAAAATCAATATGTTACTGAAAGAGGAGGGACACTGAACGATGGAATATTTGCAGATTTTCCTAAGAACGACCCTGTAGAATTTATTCTAAGGTAAAATATATCTTGACTAATCTATCCAATATGTTATTTATAGTAGACGATTGTTATCAGCTATGGTATGAACGATGCTATGTAATAGTAGCTTGCATGCTTCTATAAAAATGTAATATTTGATCTTTCCTATATTTTTTCTACTAATTACACTGTTATAAATTGCGTGAATAAGACTTTGCCAGCATGTTGTATAACATAAAATACGAACATCAATTACCGTTTTTAACTAAAAACTTGACACGTATACTTAGAACAGTACAGCTCATCAAAATACAAAAACTTGTCTCCACTAATACTAAATGGAAAGTATATCATTGATATCTCTAATTTATCTATTTAAGGAAAGAGCATATGAACAAAATTTAGGTAGAGGGCGATGGGGACTGATATGGCTGACTTAAATTCCGGTTTATCGGTGCCATTCTAATTTTATTTAAAACGTAAAATAAAAATAAAAAATAATTTGTTGGTTTTGTCTTACGATGTCAATAATAGTATATTATTCAACGAGCATATAATGGTGGCTGTTATTCACGCGGATGAAGTTTCATAGATCATCCAAGTGAATAACAGCCATTATGCGAGTAGAATACTGTACTTTATCCAGGACTAACAAAAAAATTTAGATAATATTAATATAAGTTTTTATTTTTAAAAAACAACTTTTGAAACCCCCCATAGATGAATGCAAAAAATAACATTGAAAACTACAAATTTTTAAATCGAATTTTAGAATGCAAAAAATGACATTTAAAACTTCAAATTTTTAAATCGAATGTTAGAGTAGAAAACGAGGGAATTTTAACATTATTTCTTCGTAATGGTGTTTAATAATTTGTTTACATGTTGAGATATAACATGAGAGATTTACTAAAAAGGAAAAAATATATATTTTAAAAATCTTATGACAAGAAAAACAACTTTTGGAACACCCCATAGGTGAATGCAAAAAGTGACATTAAAAACTTCAAATTTTTAAATCGAATTTTAGAGTAGAAAATGAGGGAATTTTAACATTGTTTATTCATAAGGGTCTTTAATAATTTGTTTACATGGCGAGATATAATATAAGAGAATGCTTAAGGGGCAAAAAATATTTTAAAAATCTCGTGACAAGAAAAACAACTTTTGAAACACCCCATAGATGAATGCAAAAAGTGACATTGAAAACTTCAAATAGCTCTTGTTTGGAGTTTGGATCGAGATATCCGTGGAAGCGGTGAATAATGAAACCATTATTCACTAGTGAATAATGAATATTATTATTATTTTATAAACTAATGTATATTAATCAAATTATAGACGAGTCGTGGATAAATGTTATTAGTTATTAAAATTCTTATAATATATAGGTATTCCTAACTAAAATAGATAAGTTATAATAACTGTTTAATAACGAAGATGTCAGATATGCTACTACGATTCCTACAACACGTCAAATTGACGATTTTTTTTTATTTTTGAAAATTAGTAAATTAGAGAGAAAAGGCTAGAAACAAATTATTATTAGTTAATTCAAAGTGAATTCTATAATTGATTGGTTGATTGGTTTACTACACTTAAAACGGGCCACACATTATACGACTTATCGTATTACAAGTTATACAACACCAAATCGTTTAAACCGTTAGATCAATGATTGGATAGTTAGTGGCACTGTAGTTCAACTTACAGTTAGACGCGGTCGTATCCCATGGAAATACAGTAGGCAGAAAATCTGTAGTACAACGCAGTATAGTAGATAAACAACGCAGTAGTAGATACAATATATTTGATAGTTTGTGTGCAAGCGCTTCTTTTGGAAAGCATATCTAAAGAATTTTTTCGGGAAGTACAATACAGTTCATGAAAATGGAAAATGAAAAGTTTTGGTCAGAATTTATAGAAATATGTAATTCCCATACATGTTTGTGGGATATAAAAAGTAAAAAGTAGCAAATACTTAAATAAACATAAAAGAAGTGCAAGCTATGAGAATCTATGGGAAAATTAAAAGAAATAAAAGCAGATGTTACTTTGGAACTAAATTAATTTAAAAGATATTAGTGATTTTAGATTTAGATATAGAACAAATGTGTCTATTAGCTGTGAATTGAGTCGATTTTAGGGATATAGAACAAAATAAAAGGATATAGAATAATATAATACTCATTTTAAGCTGATTTATTTGTATTTCAAAATATTATTTCAACACAAAATAACTGAAGTGGAGACATTAAGACATTAACTAAAAAATAATAACCTAAAATACAATAGTAGTAATTATTCGTTTGCATTGTTTATTAAAAACTATCATTTTTTTCCGCTTATTTGTTTGGTATGTATAGTGTTAGAATTACTTATTCAGATTTTAAATCTGATTTTTAACTTTTATTGGATTATTTAAATGTTTTTTTAGCTATCTCTAGTATAGATAGTATTAGAGAACGATTGAGCAGTCATTTGAGTTGAAGCAGCTGGTTTCACGAAATTCCAAAGTGTGAAACATTCGAATTTGCTAACAAATCAGGCAATCAGTGCTTTTCAAACGAACGATTGGGCATTCAACTGAGTTGAAGCAGCTTCACGAAATTCCAAACTGTGAAACATTCGAATTTGCTAACAAATCATGCAATCAGTGCTTTTCAAACGAACGATTGAGCAGTCAATTGAGTGGAAGCAGCTGGTTTCACGAAATTGCAAAGTGTGAAACATTCGAATTTGCTAACAAATCAGGCAATAATCAGTGCTTTTCAAACGAATGATTGAGCAGTCAATTGAGTTGAAGCAGCTTCACGAAATTCCAAAGTGTGAAACATTTGAATTTCCTAACAAATCAGGCAATCAGTGCGTTTCAAACGAACGATTGAGCAGTCAACTGAGTTGAAGCAACTGGTTTCACAAAATTGCAAAGTGTGAAACATTCGAATTTGCTAAGAAATCAGGCATTCAGTGCTTTTCAAACGAATCCATTTGCCGCCTATTTGACAAACGAACGTTTAGTGGTACAATTTCACCCGCTTAAAACAAAAGCCTTAAATTTAAATAAAAACAGATACATACATTGTATGTTAGAGAGAAAGAGATCGAGAATAAATTGATATAGAACAATCTAATTTTTATGCATAGTAACATATTTTTTGATCTGGTATTTTCGTTCTATATCCACTTCTTAGGATAAAGAACACAATAATTCTATTTTTTTTTCTATAATCTGTAGGACGTAAATAGTGATTTTAATAGTAATTGTAAATAGTGATTTTTGGATGTAGGCCATTATATGGTTTCGCGACTTTCAAATTAATATGGATATAGTACAAAATATTAGATTTTTTTTCTTTATTTGTGAATTTGGCTATATTGTTTTTGTGGATATAGAACAAGCTAATTCTGCATAAAAAAATTGTGTATGTAACTCTTTTTACCCCAAAAGTGGATATAAAACAACCCAATTCTAGGGTGACGATTTGTGTTGTACGGCTGCTAGTGCTATCATTATTGCAAAACGAAGAAGAAAAAGAGAAAAAAAAAGTGGAGTTGGATGTCTAATATAATTTGAAAAGTAGATCCCAGCACAGTGAAAGGAAACATCTACGCGATTTACAAAGAGACATAATATTTTTTTAATATTTTTTATCGCATGTCCGCTACTGATTTTAATTATTATTACCTTATTTGACCCCCGTATAGAAAGGAAAAATACACAACTTACAACTTTTAGGAAGTGCATTCCGGTTAAAGAAAGAGTTAAATAAAGATTGGCCATAATATTAAGGTTCTTTGCAACTAGAGATCTCACATACCAATTTGGGTTATTTATTCAAAGTTTCCAAGCAAAGCATTTCAAAAATAATACCAGGCGTATGCCAAAATATAAATAAAATTCTCAAAGATCAGATTAAGATAAGTAGGCAATATAAACATAGAGTTGTATTTTATTAAAGGTATATTTAGTATTATTAATCCAAGAACAAAACACAAATATTTGTAATTCTGAACAAAATAAAATAAGAAAAATCATGGTAGTATCATCATACTGCAGTAAAAACCGAATTTTATGAATGAAACCAGACTAAAAACTTAACAAACAATGCAAACAGCTCGAGCGCTTCGAAGCGTCTCTTTGATGTACTGCGACAGAGCCGAACAGTCGAAACAGGGATTTTTATACGATCGCAAGCACATGGTGCAACGCGAGCGTCGCGAGCGCCGCGAACATCTCACTCTGACTGTTTGCAATGTTTTTCGTGTTTCACGTCTTCGTTCGGCCTGCTCGCGAGCAATGTGGACGCAGCTTGAAGGGGCGTCCAGACCAGATAAGCGAGCAGTAACGAGCGCGAGCAAACATTTATTCAAATTCGCTCGTGATTTCTGCTGCTCTCGAGCACATGATCAGCTTCCGTCCAGACCTAGCAATTATTTGTATGTTCGGCGTTGGTCGGCGTGTGGCACTTCATGTTCATAATGTCGGAGAAAATTATTGCTTGTGCGTCCTTCATTGTATTTTATAAATTGTTGAAATGTCAAAAGAGAAAACGACTTCAGAGGAGATGGTGGAACATAATTCTTCTTAAAAATTGAGTTTCTCATGGTGGTAACAATTTACTAAACGATGTTGAAACAAAAGATTCTGGAAAATTTAAGAACTTTTGTCGGCTGTCACTTACAGATTACTTTACTCCTCTATTCTACTCCTCTATATACTTACAGTACTCCTCTATTAGTTCTAAAACAACTTCATTCGGCCATTCCTTTTTGATATTCGATCGCAAACGTGGTAAACAAAATCCCGTCCAAACCGAACGTGCAATAGCGCGAATTTTCTTTGATGTACTGACACGGCGGGCGTGGAACAGCGTCGAGCGCGAGCAAGCAAACATTCGCTCGCTCGCAGAGCCGTCCACACCAGTTAAAGATCGCGCACACTATACCTACACGGACCAGTACGGACCAGCACAGCACAAACCTGCATCCTGCATGACATCGCACACTTTACCGCCACAGACCAGCAACATAAGCGAGAATTTCGAAAAAAGTACAGTTGTCAAGGCTCAACTACTAGAGCGTGCAACATAGAAGTATTGAAAATGAGTAGTTCAGAGGAAGAAATTATTATTTTAGCCATGTTGTGTGAAGAAGAGGAGGAAGAGAAGGAAGCTAAGAAAAAAAGAAGATTTTGGGTTCACCCTATAAATCAAAAGAGAAAGCAATATGGCGAATTTCATTATTTGTTTCCTGAATTAAAAAGATTCGAAGAAAAGTTTTTCCAATATTTTCGAATGTCACAAATCAAATTTAATTATTTTTTTTTGCTATCGACTCCCATATTGCATCTTTTCTTTCTTGGTCTCTATATATAAAATGCTTGGCTCGTATCGCACAGCTCTGAATACTTTTGTACCAGTAAAATAAGCTTTTTTTCATTCATATTTAAAACGATTTAAAGGTTCGAACAAAAATAAACGAAATCTAACCTACATCATGCGACTTGAGCCAGCTAGCGTACTCGAAATACTGACAAACCCTTCAATATTTGCATGTTTGTGGAGGTGTGCTGGTTCGCCGGTGCGCACATTAGGTCGGACCAGCACAACCAGGCATAAATATTGCCGGTCATATTTGTCCCTGACCGACACGACCTGTTTTGACGGTCGTGGCTTGTGACGGTACGTGCTGGTACTGGTCTAGTGTGCTCTACTCTATTAAATAACACGGTCACCTTCACCGGTAAATTTTACTGGTCTGGTCCGTGCCGGTCCGTGCAGGTATAGTGTGCGCGATCTTTTAAGCGTTCCTATAGAATATACCCGATTTCTTACTCGCCCTTGTTCGCTCATCCGGTCTGGACGCCCCTTAACACGTAACATGTATTATGTAACTTGTCAGTGAAAATTATATCCTTATGTTTCTAGATTTTTGATCAAAATCTACCGCATGCTGTACAACTCACTATTAGACAATCTTTTTCTGGAATTTGCAATAATATCGCTGTTAATTTAAATTTTGACACAATATCCCTCTATATTTACAGCTTTTGAACAAAACCTATTATAGAATAAGTAATAAATAACATAAAATAAGGCCAGAAAAAAACAAATACTAATATATAATATCAAAAATTTAAATGTTTCAATCGAAACGTCAAATAACACTGTCAAAAATGGGGATTTATGTTAGGTTAGGAGTATAATACTTTCCATAAAGCATTATACTCCTTCCTAAATCATTTTATTAAAAAACTCACATCGTCTAAGTAAAAAAATTCAAGTTCCGTGACACTTTTTTTGACATGAAATGTCATTCGAAGAATTTTTTTTTTCAGAGTATACTGTATCCGAGGAATTGATCTTATACCACGTGACCTAAATAACAAATCAGATCCATACATTGTTCTTCTTCTTGGAAAGCAATCAATAAATGATCGGGAACACTACATAAACGGTCAAGTCAATCCGATTTTTGGAAAGTATAAACCATCAACCGAATTTCTAAACCCATTTTTAATAATTGACCCCGTCAAATTACAGATGTTATGAGTTTAGAGGCTGTTTTCCCGAAGATCACACAGTAACCATCAGAGTGATGGACAGAGATACAATATCAAAAGACGATTTAATCGGTGAAACCAAAATAGACGTTGAGAATAGATACTACACGAAGTACCGAGCATTCTGTGGGATATCTGAAAGTTATTATAGTGCTGGACCGTGGAAATGGCGGGAAAACAAGAAGCCAACAGCTATTTTAGAAACGTTGTGCCTAAAATGGCGATTGGATCCCCCAATTTATACCATGAAGTCTGTTATTATTCAAGCTAGAGAGTTTCAGCCAGATAACTATAAACGTAAGATTAATTTAACTTGAAGTAGAATTGGCCGTTATACGCCAATATAAAAAAAAAATCTTCATTTGTGACCAGTTTCCTTTTTATTGACCAAAATTATTATTCGTTGACATTGTCGACGTTGACGACGTCACTACTTAATAAGTCGACGTCGACACCATAGTTGACGTATTAACAAATAAATTGTTGACATGACATTCTCGACGTTGCCCATAGATAAATGAAACAAGTTTAGATTGGAAAGTGTCCATAAGGACAATGTAAACACTATTTGGCGCTATTCTTGCAGCGGTCCCGACCCAAAGCTTTTGAAAATTTCGGAGCGGTTCGGCTTTTTCCGGAATTATATCGCCCAAATATTGTTTATTAAAATTTATTATTATTTTCTTTTAATTTTGTCAATAAAATACAGTGTGATGCATACAAGTAAATTTATTTTATATAAGGAAATGTATGAAATGCCTATGAAATATTGGAAACTGACGTTATACCACGATCCACGATGGTTTTTGCGGTTCACAGTTCATAGCACAGCTTTTTAAGTTTTTAATGTCACAAGATAGCAATAATTACTTTGAAAATGGACGCTTCAAACACTTCTCGTAATTTTTTCAATGAGATCGGTTTAGATTTTGAAAGATTTTATAATTTTATAAGTTTTTTATACTTTGACAAGAGATATGAACAACTTGGAAAAGTGAAAATTATTTCTGTTTTTGTTTGCGGTTGTTCTTAGCAACTGTTCTAGCAGCGCCAGATCACGTACAATGGTCGCGACCCAAAACAATTGCGCAACCCAAAATTTTGACGGGCATTCCAATCTAAATGTATTTCCTTTATCTATGACGTGAAGAAGTTTTTTGCGTGTTTTGGTCATATAAAAGCTGTTTTTAGATAGTAACAACCCGGAAATGGACAAGGAAATTCTTGCCTTGTACGTACTTCGAAATTGGCACAAAATTCCTTTGATTGGATTCCAGCTTGTACCAGAGCATGTTGAAACAAGATCATTATTTTCACCTGACAGACCTGGAATCGAGCAAGTAAGTATAGGGAAAATTGTCTAAACTGTAAATCTTTGCACAAAAGTTAAAAACATTTTTTTTGGACTGAGGGATTATCATTATTGCCAATATTTAGTCTATTCTCTTTTACATCTTATACCGTGTGGTGTATCGGAACACGAGACATAGGAAATTCCATGTAAATAATGAAAAGGTCAAATATTCTCTCCCCAGATAATTTTATGCAAAAGTTGTATTAGACTTTTTTGAAGACGCGTTAAAGTTGTACTTTTGTCTAGAATTTCGTTACATTTGGAATAGTTATTTAAAAATTATTTGCAAAAATCTACCTTCAAATTAGTAAAATTTATAATACGGCCCCTTTATCTGGGCTAGAATTAAAATATCAGCAAAAATGTGATTGTGTCATGGTCAAATTCGATGTCACATTTTGTTTAAAAAAAATTTAAGGTACCAAATGGAGTAATCTTCTATAAAATAATTAAGATTTTTGCAACTTCTGAAAAAGTTACGATGGGTAAACAGAATTTTTCTGGAAATAGTATTCCCGCTGTGTTAGATTTGTTCGCAGTTCAGTCTCCGGAAAGCCTATACCGAATAAAGTTTGATTTCCATGCATCCGTTGTTTGACGATACGTTGATACGATATTAATTTTATTGCTAGAAATTAAAGACTTTGATTGGTTAGAAAATAACGCAGTTTTTAAATTTATTGCATTTTCATGCCTCCGTTTATCGGATATACTCGTACGTTGGTGTCATTTAATAATTTCCTTTCCATAACGATTTTGCTATTTTACTTAATTTTTATTAAGGTTTGATTAAATTTGTTATCGTATGAACGGATCCGTTGACGGGCTGAAGTAAAATATTAACGGATGAAAAATGGCGCGAAAACGTTATGACCAATCAGAGCACCGTCGGACCATAGTATAACGGATGCATGAAATTCGAGCTTAAGTCAACAGTTTAAAAAATAAACTTGGCAGAAGTTTGAAACTAAAGCTTCATTTTAATGCATCCGTTATCCGATGATACGATAATACGATATTAAATTTAACCGTTTCTAACCAATCGAAGTCTTTAAATTTCACCAATAAAATTAATATCGATCATCGCATCGTCGGACAACGGATGCATGAAAATCAAGCTTTAAACTTAGTTAAAGCACAGTTTCAGCACATAGAAGTGTGAAGACAAAAATAATTGAACATGAAAAAAACAACAAAACTTGAATATTCTTCATGTTGAAGAAAAGAAAAATATTGACTTCCGTCCATTGGGGTTACAGGAAACGGCCACAGGGATCTTTCCCCGAATGGCTTCTTCCACCTATGGAGAACAAAAAAAAATCGTCTTATGGGCATATTAAATACAGAAATTTAGATGAACTGAATACGATATCTCTGTGAAAGCTAAAGATTTTCCCCTTAACATCTTTGTATTGTGACACGTGAATTTACCAATAATTTGGGGTATTTTTGGCTGTGAATGGGGGATGTAAACATATTATTAATTAGTATAGTTTAATAAAGTCCTTTTAGTTACAAACATTTCTTTTATTTGTTTAATTATTGTGAATGTATGTGGATGAGCGAGGCCTGCGAGTGATCGGGTAATGAACAGAAATTAAGTCATACTCCGCCAATAAAGTTCAACTAATTTTCAATTCAACTAATACTTCTGTAGATGATCGTTTCTATTCAGAAAAAAATAACCATCCTTTCCAAACCACATAAATTCTTGTAAACAAAAAAATGTGACATCGAGTTTGACAATGACAAAGTCATAGTTTTGCTGGTATTTTAATTGTAGCTTTCTCTGGGCCGTATAGTAATTTGAAGGTAGATTTTTGCAAATAACTTTTAGATGCCTATTCCAAATAAAACGAAATTCTAGACGAAAGTACAATTTTAACGCCTCTTTAAAAAAGAATAATACAATTTTTGCATATAATCATCTGGAGAGATAATATTTTACCTTTTCAAAATTTACATATGGGATTTCCTATGTCCCGTGTTACCCACCACATGGTATATTTTTTTACAATAGAAATGGTAATATTTCAATAGCCCTGGCAAATGATATAATTTTAGAAGCCGGTATATAATATTATATTATTTTTATCTGCTTCACCGACTACTACTAACTGTCAATCCAGTTGCCAGGTCATCTTGTGTCTTAAATCAGGGACTGTGTAAACATTTCTGCATTCAAAATGCTACACCTCCAAAATACATTTGTACCAATTGCTATACTTCTAGCTCTACTGAAAGATTCTTTTCCTAAACCTGCTACTTTCCGAAGTCGTACTGGTAAAAATTGAGCAACCATATAAAGGTACTCTTTAATCAACACCATTAAAAATAATAAAATAAGATAATTAGCGGTTTTTTAGAAATAAGGTGATGATTTACCTTGTTGAATTAGGGAAACGTTCTCTAGTCTTAGAAAAAAAATTCACATCATAATTACATTCCCTCAAGTCATACAAAATCACTTACCATAAGTCATCAGCACAGATAAAAAAAATCTTTGATCTGTATTTTTCTATACAAGCACTGCTGCTATTTGTAAAAGAAGTTAGGTATTATTTAAGATCCTTATTTGACTTACTAAAATATACCACAAAGTCTCTCAACATTGCAATTTTAAACCAACAGAACCAACCATAAATATTTCATTTAGAATAAAATATAAAGCGTAGACTTTTTAGGGAAAAATTCAGCTATGGGTAGACATATTTCCCACGATGACGTTCCCCATACCAGCCAAAGTGAACATTACTCCTAGAAAACCTGTGAATTATGAACTTAGAGTGATCGTATGGAATACAGTTGAAGTTATTTTACAAGAGGACGATATATTTACTGGAGAGAAGAAATCTGACATTTACATCCAAGGGTGAGTTATTTTTTTTTTCTAGATCAGATGATTACTCATATGACTAGAGTATGGAGGGTACTTAGAGGTAAGGAAAATTATCTTTGTGTATTGAAAAGTGGTCATCAAAGAGGGAATTATTAAGATGGCGCTGCTGTAGCAACAGGTCTACATTTGAAAGAAGCGCCAAAGGTTTTAAAAACAGGAAATAATTAAAAAAAGATAAAGACTGTCCAGACATCGTTCCTCGTTACGTCATCATTATTTGTCAAATGCGAGTTTTAGGGTGTGTCTGGCATCAGTTCATATTGTTTAGAAAATTTTAAGTATGTTCCAGGGGCGGCTTGTCCTATGAGGCAGATGAGGCAGTGCCTCACCAATACATTTGAAAAATTACACGTATTAATCGATACATCTTTAATCAAAATTTTATATTTTTTCCCTATTTGCATCAATAATAATTGTATTTTTTAACCGTCATTCTACAATAAAGTACGTCGATGGTATTCCTTTAAACGCGCTCCTTTTCCCATATGCGACAAACTCGACGATGTATATCCATCTCATTTGTTCTTTAAGAAGTATATGTGCAGAGGTTTGCCTCTCGCCTTTCCTTGTCTAGCGTATTAATTGTGGTATATCGCACTGCCGGAGCGACAGCGTTCATTGGAATCTTAACTCTATAGAATGAAAAGAAAAAGCATAGGCAAAACCTTTAGTTGAAGAGAGACAAAATGTATGGAGTAGTAGTGTGGTAGTAGCGCGTAAAAAGACCGTATTGAGGTGAGCCTCAAATGTAAATTTGAACCTTAAAAGCCGTTCGTTAAAAATATGTATCACTTCCCGATCAGCCCGAGAGATTTTAGGCAACATGCTGAAAATGCAGAATTGCATTATTTGGGAATTTGGCAGATTTGGCTTAGTTTGAATCAGAGTTTGAAGTAATTCTGCCGGTAATTACACTGTTTTGTCTCTAATTGATTAATATCTACGTTTTTTAATGTGAATTGCATGTTTAATTACGCTTTTTACTGATTATTTTACATATATTAAGTAAATACCTAAAAAGAGTGGACAGTGACTTATTGTTGATTGATATGATGATTTAGAGGGGCCATGCATCATCAGAGGACTTCCCGAGGTAAAGTTTTTCGAATAATTTCTAGATAAATTGTGTGTAGTCAAAAAGTAAAGCGACCTGTTACAGATTTCGTTTTGTTTTATTTTTATAGGACGGGTAGAAAAAACAAAATTTTACCATACATAGTAAAATATAAGAAAAAATATCCTGAGGTCGCTTTGATAAAAATTTACTGTTGCAATAGCCCTATGTAATAGGTATAATACTGCGAATTATATTACATAAGGCTATTACCGCAACTGCTAAAAATTTAGAAATATTTTAAATACAAAAATGTGCGCTTTTTAAGTCTGTAGGTATCTAAAATACTAAAAATAATATACAGTGTGTATTGCGTTTAAAAAAAACTGAGATATAGCATTATAATATTGCACTGTTGGCTGCGCCATAAAAAAAATCCCTGTGAATGTGAATTTTTTTTGGATTTTTTTTTATCCTACATACCTCGCTATATTATACGTACTTAAGCAATAATATATTAATAAGTTAAAATTTCTCCAGCTTTTTACCACTTTTTAAAAGATGAAATTTTTCAAATATGAATTATCATGGAAATCCCGCATATATAGTGCTTCAAGTATTTTCGTGGTGTCTGTCTGTCTGTCTGTCCGTCCGTCTGTCCGTCTGTAACACGATAACTCAAAAACCGCTGAACCGATTTTAACCAAATTTGGCACAAAAATACTATGCGACCCGAGAATCTTGCCATTTTTTTTATTGGGATTGGGCGTTGGTAAGGGGGTATAGGAGGGGGTTAAAAATTTAAAAAAATCGTAACTCCAAAATTACAGTAGCTAGCGAAACGCGGTTTTCAAATTAAGATTAGGAATAATATTTGCAACAAAATTTGTAATAACATCAAAATCAGTCAACGTCACAGTTTTCGAGATATTAACATATTTTAGTATGGGCGGTTATACGTGCCTCCCGGCGCCAATTTTTTTTATATAGAACTTCCTCGTACTAATGGCTAATACTTGATTCAGCGAGTTCCGTTTTTCGGCATTTATTCATTTTAAAAAAAAAACTAAAGTGTTCTCATAATAGTTTGAATTTAAATATTTTAAATGGTTTTTTTCTCTATTCTTTGTATTTTTTTTGCTTCCGACGACGGAAAGAGATAGACCTTCCGAAACGTTAAGCATTTTTTTCTTTGTTAAGCAAATTTGTATAACTGTAAACATAACTTCTGACAAGCAGTGTTCGTTTAGGTTTAACGCAGAAGTGTTTACAAAAAATAACTATTTTATTTTGTAGATTTTCTTGCAGTGCAGTGGCGAAATACCCATAAAGATTTCTTTTTTGGAGAGATGAATCCGCCACATAGGTATAGACATTTTTTATTGAGAGAGATGACGTGACGTTGAACCTAAGCGTTGAAAAATGGCTAAACACGCGATTTCTGAAGCACGTGTTGTCACTCTCTCAGTTCGATTCCTTATTGCTTATTAGCATCACTGTGTTGAATTAGTGAATCCTTATTTTACTCTTTTAGATGATTACTACTTTTTCAAATAAAGTCCTGTAAGAGATGTTTCTCCTTACCTCTAACATCCATAGACTAGAGGCATAGATAAAGGAAATAAATTTAGATTGGAATGCCCGTCAAAATTTTGGGTCGCGACCGTTGTACGCGATCTTGCGCTGCTATAGCGGCTGCTAAGAACAACCGCAAACAAAAACAGAAATAATTTTCTCTTGTCCATATCTCTTGTCAAAGTCAGAATCTTAAAATTTTTTTAAATCTTTCAAAATCTAAACCGCTCTCCTTGAAAAAAATCCGAAAAGTGTTTAAAGCGTCCATTTTCAAAGTAATTATTGCTACCTTGTGAGCTTAATTTAAGTTTTTTATTTACTCAAACCCGTGATAATTGTGAAAAAGTGCCATTAAAAACTTAAAAAGCTCTGCTGGGAACTGTGTACTGCAAAAACCGTCGTGCATCGTGGTATAACGTCGGCTTTCAATGTTTCATAGATATTTCATACATTTCCTTATATAAAATAAAGTTTCTTATATGCAACACACTGTATTTTATTTATGAAATTAAAAGAAAATAATAATAAATTTGAATAAATATTTGGCGATATAATTCCGGAAAAAGCCGAACCGCTCCGAAATTTTCCAAAGCTTTGGGTCGCGACCATGGTATAAAGAAAACAAGGTATGATCGATAGCGGCTCCAATTTCGTTCAGTTTGCGCATACCACCTGTGACGTCATACGCCATACAAAAAAAAATATCCATATTGTTCAATTGCCACTAATAAAAAAAGACCTAAAATAGGGAAGAATTAGGACATAACCCCAAAATTTATGTCAAATTATCGAGCTTGACATTTGAAAAATTATTTTTACATTTTGACACAAATAAATTTCACGGATGACACAATCTGTTTGACAATTTGAAATTGGCGCGCAGAGCTTGCCGACCAATGGTGCCGTTTATCACCTGTGACGTAGTGACCAACCTGCGCAATATCATACCTTGTATTCTTTGTATCATGGGTCGCGACCATGGTACAAAGAATACAAGGTATGATATTGCGCAGGTTGGTCGCTACGTCACAGGTGATAACAGGCACTATTGGTCAGCACGCTCCACGCGCCAGTTCAAATCGTCAAGATATTGTTATAAACCTGTTTTTTTTGTTTATATACCGTCATTGAATTATCGCTAAGCAAGTTACGGTGGAGCAGTGCATAAGGAGTCGGGCTAGGAAGCGAGAGACCGGAGTTCGAATCTCGGCCGGAACATCACTTTTTATTTATTTTTTTAAATACTGTTGTATTCTATAGTTTAGTTTTGTAGTATAAAAAAAGAACTATTTATTCTGTTGTTTTTTAATCTCCGTTATTAATATAAATTGATTGTTAGTACAATACCTCATTTAATATAAAATAATATTCTACTTTTTGAAATGTATCGGGCCCTAATTGTACCTAAAAGTAATATATTTTTAGTGATATACCATATTGTAAACTATTTAATATTTCAGTCAGTTAAAAAGTTAATTTGCATTGAATAATTGCCTACCATTAAAGGAAATTTGAGCTATATAACCCTTGATGGGCATATTCTGGGTATGCAAATACTTCCTTTAAATTTTGGGTGTCGTTCAACCGATTTATTCTCAAAACCAGAAACATCTACATATAAAAAGAAGCACAGGTCACTAATTTAATAAACTTCACCCTTGGTATTACTTCCACTAATTATAATAAACTTCACCCTTAGAATTACTTCTATCACAATTACAATACGTTCATCTGCATTGGCATTTTCTACTTTTCGATGGGAAACAATAAACTTCCCAACATTTTTTAAATGATGTAACAATTCCTCTTGTGGTTACTTTTCCATAGATATCCTCAACTCTGTCCTCATGTGAATTCAGAGGCAATGAAAATGAAAATTATTTACCATAAACATCGCAAACTAAAAACCTAATAAACAATTTTATACCGAATAAGAAATAAATTTAGTATTTTTACCTATTATCGTCCAAATCCATGTTAATAGATAATTATTATTTTTAAATATATTTTTGGAACTGCTGGTTTTAGTAATTATTAAATTAAACGAACTAAAAAGTCTTAAAAATAAACAATTCTTAACCATAACCCCAAAAATGCAGATCTCCTGTCAACTTTCTTTATTTTTTATTTATTCATTATTTTCCTAGTGACGTCACAGGTGGTTTGCGCGAACTGAACGAAATTGGAGCCGCTATCGATCATACCTTGTATTCTTTGTACCATGGGTCGCGACCGCTGCGAGAATAGCGCCAAACAGTGTTTACATTGTCCTTATGAGCACTGTCCAATCTAAACTTGTTTTATTTATGACTAGAGGAAATAACTAACCCTTAACTAACAACATTTTTATTTTAAGGTGGCTGCACGACGAATATGAATGCCAGTATACGGATATCCATTACAGATCGCTAACCGGAGAAGGCAATTTCAATTGGCGATTTATATTTACACTGGATTATCTTTCCACCGAAAATAAAGCAGTTATTCATAAAAATACCTCGATATTTGCTCGCGCAGAATCTGAGTTTAAAATACCCTGCGTCCTTCACTTAAATGTGTGGGATAATGACACTTTCTCCGCTGATGATTTTTTAGGTAACTACTATTCTATTAAATTGATTAAAAACAGTTTATTCTGGGTCTTGTGCAGAACAGGTCCCCACGAATTCGAGGTTGTTTAATTTTTAATGTTAGGCAAATTTGTATAACTGTAAACATAACTGTATAACTGTAAACATAACATAACTTCTGACAACGCTTACGCGTGTTTTGATTACTCCATTTATTACTCTATTGATCCAACCTAACCAACAATCTGACCTAACCTAAACAATGCATTAACACCCCCGAATAACCAGGCTAATCAATGCATTAACACCCTCCAAATAATCAGGCTAACCAATGCATTACCACCCTACAAATAACCAGGGTAACCTAATTGTGCCTAATGACAAAACTTCATTGATTACGCGTCGAAAAATAATATATATTTAAAAAACTTATATTTTAGTAGAACCTGAAAAATCCGCAAATTTGATTTCAGAAATTGCTTTAAAATAATCCACACTAACGAATAAGCTACTAGACAGCGTTCAATTTTTGTTGCACTAAAGTGATAGCTTACCGTTTTAAGTCCCTCCAAAACGTCAACTTTATTTCAGAAGAAAATCATATAAAATAATTTTATTGACAACGTCGCAAATTCTATGCGAAGGCCATAGATGAAATACCGATGATCGATTAACTGTCAATCGAAAAAGTCATAAAATTGCTGGCTTGAGATGATGTAAATAAATATATTTTCTTAATTTTTGTGCTTACAAAGAAGATTCGTTACATTTTTGTGCTTATTCCACGTCTATATATGGTAATAAAGTGCTAATATGTGATGTTTTTACTGAATCCGTGTAGAAAATTTTACGTATTTACTGTCCGTCGCCTGTACCTAAAATACGTTTTTTGCCGCTTTTTAAAGATTCACAATTAACACATTCATCCAACAATGCTTAAAAATGTTCAATTTAAGATAGTCTTGCAACAAAAATCCCAAAAAAATATTAAATGCGGACCTATTGTGCACCAGAGCCGTTTATTCTTTTCTCCAATATGGGTATTTCGCCACTACAAGAAAATCTAACGAACAAAAATATTCGTAACGTTTCGGAAAGTTTATCTCTGTCCGTCGTCGCGTTGCGTCGGAAGTAAAATAAAAATACATAGAATAAAAAAAAACTATTTAAAATATTTAAATTCAACTATTCGAGAACACTTTAGTTTTTTAAAACAGATACGTCTACAAATACCGTTGACGTTCTGTAAAAATGACAGTATATCAAGTTAAACTTCAAAATTAACAATTAGTACCTGATAACAATTACGTAATAAGGTAAAACCGAAAAGCCCCAAACTTTCTGTATGAATATTTTTATTTTTTATGTATGTTATGTTTATTTATGGTATGTTCTTTAAAATTAATGAAGCGATTGCCATACATTACTAACATCTACAGATGCATGAGCAATACATTTATTTTTATTAGATTGTATTAAAAAAGGCCTCTTTTATTTTTCTTTTAGAGGCTATCGCTTCTTTCATTATAATTTTGGCGTTATTAAAATTTATTCTGTGCCCTGTGTCCCATGAATGCTGACAAATCTTAGATTTGTGAAAATCTCCCTTTGGTAAATAATCTTTATGTCCTTTAATTCGAACATTTAAGGGTCTAGATGTTTCACCAATGTAAAATTTATCGCATTCACATGGTATTTTGTTTATTACATTTTTTTTTTGTTCTGTATTCAATGGTTTAGTGTGTGATAAAGTGGATCTAAGTGTATTTTGTGTTTTGAAAGATGTTCGTATGTTATATTGATTTTCTGTCCCTAACTACCGGTACATTAGTGAAAAGACTAACAACGTCAAAACTAACCATTAAACTGTTAGGTGTTATATTAATTTTTAAAATTTTTTCTATAAAGTGTGGTGTGTTTTTAATGTATGAATCGGTCTTATCAATCGGATTTAATATGTATAGTAAAAATTTTGCTAACGGATGGCATAGAGAATTTATATTACTGACTATAAAGGTATACCCTGTTTATGTATTTTCGGTAAACCGTATAAATGAGGTGGTTTACTGTAATAGACACCTTAGAGGTACAGAAAATAATTAAGAAAATTGTTCTTATACAAAAATAATCCTTTGCTTTGGTACTGGGTACAGTAAACGATAATCTGCTTTAAATTAAATTACACGACAATTAAACAAAATTTGTTTTAATATACAGGGTCCTTAAGTTTAGAACTATCACGAATGCCGCGAGGTTCTAGGTCTCCAGAGAAGTGCCAATTATCGATGATGAAGACGTTAAAACACATAAATTTGTTTAAACTAAAAAGAACAAAAGGATGGTGGCCATTTAGTGCTATAGATAGAAATTCTCACAAAGAACTATTAGCAGTATGTATTAGCCAACTTGTGGTATTAGCACAGCCTATTCGTTACCAGCTTTCTGACTTAAATCATTGGCAATGGGAGCTCTACGTACAGTATTTCCGAAGTTAGTTGGAAATACGAGTACTCTTAATTCGTTTGTCTAGACCCAGTGGCGGCTCGTGATCATTATTGTATAGGGAGGTCAATATCTAATTGGCGTTAGGAGCTGCGGCATTTGGAGTTTAGATAGGTTATGTTATACGTGCAAAACATAGGGGAAACGACGGACAAAATGAAATTTTGACCGGCAGTAGAGAAATTGGGTAAAATAAAACGTTTTGAAGCGAAAATTAGACAAATTGATTGTTTTTGAGTTAGTTTAGAATATCTTAGGATGAAAAAAGTTATTTACAAAAAGTATAATTTAAATAGGTTTTTCCTAATTTTGTTCTGATCTTTTTGGGGGGCATTGACCATTTGACCTTATGGTTAAGCCGCCACTGTCTAGACCAGTGATTCTCAAAGTGATCCAGGTGAACGCTCAGACCCCAGGGGTCGACGGCACAACGAAAATCTCCATCGCTAGATCCTCTGGTATAATCCTCACATTGTTTGACGAGTGTCAGAAATATGTTAGAGGGTCCACAAAGATCAGGAAAATTTTGAGAGTGGTCCAGGAGAAAAAACAGTTTGGAAATCTCTGATCCAGACGAGGCCGACAATAGCGTCGAGACAGTGCCAATATTAAGTGTCCAACCTATTCCAACTAACTTAGGAAAAACATAATATAATAGAACTATAACTATAAATAGATATTCGTGTATCTTATGTAATGTAACTAGTCGAGGTTTGAGCTCCACTAAAACTTTGTCGACTCCACTAAAACAATCGAGGCTGGTGCTCTTACTGCTGGCAATGTGTTTGAGGAGAAACTCAACAGATTAAACGCGAATATTGAAAAACAAGCGTAGATGACTAGCTGGTACTTAATAAGCTGTGGCATTAGCACAAAAGTTCTCTGTTTTAATTCAAACCAACATATGAAATAACTTGCTTATACTTATTGATATTTTCTCAACATTTCTAGGGTAAGATAGAGTTAGAATTTGAACTACTAACTAAGGAGGAAGCTGAATTATCACCAGCCGGATTGGGTAGACAGGGACCACAAGCTTTACCTCCTCCAAAGTAAGTAAAAGAACATCAGAACAACTTTTTTAAATATATAATTTATTTTCATACGGTTAATGACATCGTTTTTCCTTTTATTCTCGAAAATCAAAACATATTTCCAGGGCTTCAGTAATTTATTTCTATTATTTCCCTATTTCCCATTATCCTGGCTTTCTTGATTAAAACCTAGGACACTAGACGTCTATTTAACATAAAATTTTGAAGTATATTTCATATCAGTTAAACTTTTAGTTACGCAATCGAGGACGTGATTTTTAAGTTCATACCAACGATGGATATAAAGTCTGTTCCCAGAAGAATCCCTGACTAGTCAGCACGTTTCTCATTGGTTAAAATCCCTAGAAACCTGATTGTTAGTCTGGTTTCTACACATTTCAACCAATAAAAAACGCGCTGACTAGTCAAGGATTCTTCTGGGAACAGGACCATTTCGGCGCCGTGCTGACTAACTGCAATTTAAATTTCGCGCTGAGGATTCAGGTGGTAGTTCTGATGTAAAAAATGTCAAGTTGCCGCATTTATTTATTTATTTCCTGACATGATCATTCGTTTTGACACTTTAGTTTTGTATTACGAGTTTTTGGTTTAAATAAATAGTGTTGTGATACTTTAAGCTTGAAAATGTTTATTAGAAGACCTTGCAGTCGAACGTTGTTCTTTTTAGTACATTTTTTAGTGTGTAGTGTACAAGACAGTTTAATAGCCGTAAAAAACTTATCGCAACTTTATTAGAATATTTTGAACGGGAAAGCGGTAATAATGGCTCTTTACGAGTATACCCTTTGTGAGCTTTGTTGATGTAAATAATAACTGTTTATATATTTATAACTAATTTATATTTGTTTCCTAATACCCCAGTCAAAATAGACATTTCAATTAACAATAATTTGCAAAGAGCTGAAAATTGGTACAGGTCTTAAATACATTATTATAAATGATATCTGAAAAATCCCCACCCCTCCCACGTCTGCTAAAAAAAATTATTCAGAGTCAAAAGTCAAAAATATGTTTTTTGCTTTTTTTTTCTCCTAAACGGTAAGCGCTATCGTAAAAGGACCTTAAACAAATGTTGTAGACCATTAAATTTTCTACAATAATGGTTCTTATACTTTTTTCTTACGAACAACCATTCCTGAGATATGGCGATTTCAAAAGTTGAAAAGCTAGTATTTTTCAAAATATGCACACATTTCCGCACCACCTGTGAGGTAGTGTATTTGACGAGTTTTTTTTAACGTGGTTTCCCCTGTAGGCCTAGTCCACGATCTATTGTGGTTAAGTTTTATTAGACATTATACTATTAATTTTAAAAAACAGTGCTCTTGGTAATGATTATAGTCGAACGGATTATTGTTGATTTTGGAGAATTTTAATCCGAGTGGTAATCTTAAAATGATACTTCAACAATAATGTCTTCTTCGCTTTCTTCTTTCTCATCTTCTTGCGGAATATCTGGAAATCCATCTATGACAGATGTGTCAGTTGTCTCCTCATCTGTATTTAAGTCAATATTGTAGCAAGACTGACCTTGACAATTAGTACATATTGGTGTACAAAACAATCCGACTCTTTTAGAACCACAGTTTGCGCTACAACCCTTTTTGCAATTGCAAAAAATTGTGTTAAGTAGTTTTTCTGAAGCAGGTGGAAGTAAAGTGTTAATCTGCTCCAAAGTATTATCTATAAATCTCCAACCCCAGTTTTCTGGGTTCAGTTGATTACCTAGCCACAATTGAACTTGATCGTATATACGATATAAGTGTTGACAGGCAGAAGCAGATGTTGGAGGAAGACAAGAAAGTTGTACCATTTTATTGTTCCGAGTATTTTTAACAAAACTTAAATATCTATACTTGTCTATAGAATCAATTTTTTTAGAGCACCATATATAGCAAGAAGCAAGCGAATTCCACTTGTGATGATGACTTATGGAGAAGAGCTCGGAGAAGAGTCAATTTTTTGAATACGTCTGCGCAATCAATTAAATCATTACGTGTTTCAATTTATATGGGCGAAACCCGTTACAATATTTTTATTAAATTGAGTCTCCTATGATGAATACCGGCCGAGCATATCAGTATGTGTGCATATTAGTATTTTCGATGTTTGAAATCGCCATATCTCAGGAATGGTGGTTCGTAAGAAAAAAGTATAAGAACCATTATTGTAGAAAATTTAATGGCCTACAACATTTGTTTAAGGTACTTTTGCGATAGCGCTTACTGTTTAAAGCAAAAAAAGAAAAAAAAAACATATTTTTGACTTTTGACCTTGAATCATTTTTTTAGCAGACGTAAGAGGGGTGGGGATTTTTCAGATATCATTTATAAAAGTGTATTTAAGACCTGTACCAATTTTCAGCTCTATGCGAATTATTGTTATTCAACCCCCTTTCTTTGTTTATTTTAACTGGGGTATAAAATATTTTGATTAAAAGAAAATATATAAAAGTAAGCAACGCTGTACCAGTGAAGCTTAATCACGTGACTAAATGTTTATTTGGTATGAGCTGTAGGTTCTTTTGTTATTTGACTTAATTTGTAGATTGTAGATTGTATGGGAGGGGGTAAGTTTATCATCGCGACCTTTGTGATTGTGTCCCCCTTTCTTAAGTTATAACTCATCATGCAGACGGTTTTACAAAGGTTAGTTCTTTCCAATATTAGCCTTACCAAAGCTTATGACACAAATGATTATCGTTTTCACCACAGAATCTGCATTCGTTGTTGTTTCTTAGCTTTTTTTTAATTTTTCTCTGGGGAAAATGTAAACGAGCTTTTTTTGCAGTCTATTGCAAATTTCTAGCTCTCTATGAAAGCATCTATTAAGTAATAGGTAACACTTTACTTAAAGTGTCTTAAAATATACCCTTTTCGAATTTTCAGTGCAAACAGCAAAGTTTCAAAGTTATACCTTGTTAAAATCGTTTACTTACGTTACGTTACCCCAACTAACCCTACTGAAACTATTTTTTTTTTGCAGGAGACCCGATACCTCATTTGCCTGGTTTACAAATCCAGTAAAATCCTGCAAATATGTAGTGTTAAAGAAATGGAAATGGAAGATAATAAAATGCTGTTTCTGCGTTCTTTTTGTTGTTTTCGTATTGTTAGTTATATATGCTTTACCTAACGCATTTGTTGATAAAGTCTTAAAAGTTTATTAGTAAAGCTTGATTTTCATGATATTAAACATTATATTATTATGTTCAAAATATATTCATGGTTTATTAATTTACTGAAATGATCTAAAAAAAGTTTTGTTTTTTAAATTTGGTTTATAAAAAATATACGAAAATTTAGAATAATTGTATTTCTATTATATCTCATTTGTTCCCAATATTTAAATGGAGTTGTAATATTTAGAGAGTTATTTAGAATATTTATATACCAAACTAGCGTGTACCCGCGACTTCGTTCGCGCCGAGTTAATCATTTGTAATGGTGATGATAAAGCAAAGCAAGAATTTCCATTAACATACAAACTGGATAAAATTTTCTCACATTTATTTCAGCATGAGAAAAAACAATCTGGTGATATTATTATATTAACTGGTAATATTTTTGAGGGGTAGTTTCATCTCGTTGGAATTTTACTTTCGAAAAATCTGTTTGCCAAAGATAAGAGCTTTTTACATCAAGCAGTTTAAGCAGAATCGTGGTTAATCAATTACCCAACTTTTTGGAACAACCTGTATGATTTTTTTAAAAATTTTAAAATATGTTAAAAACAAAATAAATTATGCGTGTCCAAGCGTTTTCCCGAAAGACTAACCGTTTTTTAAATAACAAATATTGTAATATTTGAAGGGCGTTTGCACCCTCCTGAAATGTAAGATTCGAGAAACCCCTCCTTATCGAACCTCTACACCCCACAGTCAATCCGTTTGTCAAAAATCAGCTTTAAACGTCAAGCAGTTTAAGCAGAATCGTGATTACTCAATGGTCATATTTTATGAAACACGCTGTATAAATTTTTAAAATATCTTAAAATATGTAAAACAACAAAATAAAATGTTTAATGGTTTTTCCGAAAAACTTACGGGTTTTTAAGTAAAAAATATTCTAATATTTGAGGGGTGGTTTCACCCCCTTAGAATTCGAGTTTCAAAAAATATCTTTTTATCGACTCTACACCCTAAAATCAATCCGTTTTCCAAAAATCAGCTTTTTACGTCCAGAGCTTTAAGCAGGATCGTGAATAATCAATGACCAGATTTTTCGAAACACCCTGTTTACATTTTTAAAAAATCTTAAAATATGTAAAAAACAAAATAAAATATACGTGTTTAAGTGTTTTTTCGGAAACTTGACCGTTTTGTAAATAAAAAAATATGGTAATATTTGAGGGGTGATTGGTGACAGTTTCACCCCCTTGGAACTGGAATTTCAAAAAATCCCTTCTTATCAAACCTCTACACCCTAGAATCAACCTGAATGCCAAAATTGAGCTTCTTACGTTGAGTGGTTTGAGCAGGTTCGTGATTAATCAGTGAGTCAGTCACTTAAGGATTTTATATATTAGTATAGATTGTTCTCTTAGCTAAAGAAATTTTGCATAACTTAGCAACGCTAATGGATAATCGCTGTAGATGACTATAAGGGTATACACATGGTCCGGCAAAAGGGTGTCGAGCATCTGTAGCTCATCTGTAGCTCCTAGAATAAAAACTTGGGAATTTTGTATAAGTGCAAACCTAAAGTACGTACTAAGATGTATTTCGGGGAAATATTTTAACTTCCATAGGGTGGCTCAAAAAAGTGTGAGTGAATCGGGATGATTTTTTTTTAATGGAACACCCTGTATATTATTGCATTTTTGGTTTCCCTTCAGATTACTTCTAAGATATTGCTTTATTTCGATAGTTTCAGAAATATTAATAAATAAATAAAAAATATATATTTTTAGCCTTTCATAAAAAAATTATTAAAAATACAAGAACTGTCCTGAAATTAAAACTAAATTAGTTATTTACTTTAGATGGTCTGTACTTATTTTGCTATAAATATGGTAATAGTAACTAATACAGGATGTTTCCAAAATTCTACGCCAAACTTTCTAAATATAAAATAATTTTTCTTCGTTTTTATTTTAAATGATACACCCTGTATATTATTTTTTCAATAGATGGGGAATTAAAAAACGAACATTTTTTGTATTTAGAGTATTTCATTTTTTTTTTATTTTATATGGCATTTTCCACAGTAATTTTTTTATCAAAGCCAATTATTTTTCTTTTGTATTTTACCGTTGAATGTCCCATTTGAAATAATTCCCAGATACACGCAATCTGGGAAACCATTAAGAATTTTGAAATACTTTAAATACAAAAAAAAATATTTTTTTAACTCTCCATCTAATAAAAAATTAATATACAATGTGTTTATTAATAAATAAAAAAAATATACAAATTATTTTATATTTTAGAAAGTTTCGTGTAGAATTTTGAACATCCTGTGCGATTTAAGATTACGATATTTATAGCAAAGTAAGTATAGACATACATACTGCCATTACTCGCTGACGAGTATTCGACACGCATCAAAAGATGGTCACGCAAGGCGTTTTCTTTCATGAGCTTTTCTGTGACTGAAAAGCCCGATACGTGATGTTATTTGCCTACCGCACTCCGGACATTCAAAAATCTCATTGCTTTGTTGCCTCTTTACTTTTTGGTTGTCGCTGTTAACTGAGTTTACAATTCTTCTCCATTGAGTTCTATTGTGAACTGCTTCTTCCGAATGATTCTGCATGTTAATCCCCTTTAAATTTTCGTGGAAAATGTCCTTGTGCCTTTTGAGTTGTCCGGATTGTCCCAGAGATATAGAGATAGGAGAATGAGCTTGAAGTTGCGCAGTAATGAAGATCCCTATGGCCGCCATGTTCATGCTTAGGTCTATAGGGGGAAGTCAAAATGTAATGATCATACTAGAGTGGTTAGTGATTTCACAGTGATATATTAAGATTAATTATATTAGCTGCGGTAATACAGTTGCGGTATTATATCTATAAAAAAAGTAAATAAGTATTTTAGTATACTTCTATCATAGGAATTTTGTATATAAAAGCTTACTATAAATATTTTAAGAAGTTTGTTTTAGTTATTATTTTCGTTTATTGAAAATAATTTTGGATGTTTGATGTTTTTAAAACATTTTTCCTTCAAATAAATATTGGAAACCAGGAAACTAAAGAAAAAATAGAAAGAAATGCAATCTCTAACATTATGAGAATTTTTCAAATTTATTGTGTTACAAATTTGTTGAGTTACAATATTTTTCAGGGAATAAAACAAAAACTGAATAGTTTTACTTATATGTTAATATATCACCAGATCACCACACATAATTATTGCATAGTTACAATAACAATATATACAAATATATACAAATAATATCTTAATTAATCTTGAAACATATTTATGTAGTATCCTTCTACTACGTGATTAAGTATATCATTGTAATGACTATATAATAAGAATATGAAATAATCAAAATATATATTTGAAAAATACGAGCAATACATTTCATTTTTTAATGTATTTAATTTTTATAATATTAGGTTATATTTGTTAACCTAATATTATTTATATAATATTAGGTTAACAAATAAGTACTATAACATAAATATAACTTACAAGTGAAAACTAATGTTTGTATGAAGACCAGTTCCTGTTATTCTTGCACTCTTTTACAGTACAAGACATGATTAAAAGTCTATATAATAAAAATAAAATACTAAATAAAGAACTATCACTAATTGAAACACTAATTGGCTATACCAGCTAAAACACTAACAAAAATGATTTTCTACACAAAAAAAAAACACTAGAAACAGTTCAGAATAGTAGAAAAGTTTATCACGATCATCATCATTTTCAATTTTCAGCTTATTCAACCATTTCCAATTATGATGTAGCCTTTCTCACATATTTAGATTTATTTTGTGGACCATCTATTGTCCGTCCTTCTTGCCAGGTGTCCTACCCATTGCCACTTGAGGGATTTGACTCTGTGGATGACATCTATTACCTGAGTCTTTTATCGTATCCACTCTATTCTTTTAGGGTCCCAGTATATTTCGTTCTATTGAGTTTTGTGCGATGTGCAGTTTCCTTATGATGTCAGTTTTAAGTGTCCAGGTTTTGCATGCATAGGTCATCACTAGTAGTATACATTGGTTGAAAGTTTTCTTCTTGTGTGATAAAGTGGCATTCTAGATTTGCATATGATTGAGTTTTCAATAAGTACTCCATGCCAACTTAATTCTTCTGTTGATTTCTGGTAATAGAGATCCCGAGCTGTGTATTAGTTGTCCCAAATACATGTATTCTTCTACAATTCCCAGTGCTGTGTTATTTATTAGCATGGCCTTCCTGTCCACTAGTTCATTGTACAGTATTTTACTTTTTGCTAAGTTCATTTTGTAGCTTGTAGTTCTTTAGGGCTATTAGCAATTAGGACTATGTCATTAGCGAATCTTGATGGTTGTGATATTCTCCATGAAATGTCAGAACGGTCTGCTGTTATTACTTTTTGATTTCCCCTATAAGCCTAAACACTAACATGGCGCCCATGTAGGCATAACAAGATTTTTGGATGCGCACTCGTCGAAGCTCATTCTCCTTATGTCTATATCTCTGAGTTGTCCACCCGGCTTCCTCTTACCGTCTACAAGCTCACCCTAAAGCAGAGATTTTGGTATGCGGTTTTCTTGCATTCTGCATACGTGACCAGCCCATCTTAAGCGGGATTTTGTAACCATGACTTGAATACTCTCGCAGTTAGCTTTTTCAAGGACCGATACTTTTGAGACATGATGGAACCACCGGATTCTTAAGAGTTGTCTAAGGTGTCTCTGTTGCAACTTGTTTAATGCGTTCGTTTAAAGTATAGACCATCTAAAGTGAATACCTAATATATTTTTTGATTTCAGGACGTAAGTCCTGTATTAGGAATCAAAAATGAATTAATCTATAAACAAACATTTTCCATTATTTGTTTATAGAACATACGCAGCAATTTTTTTCTCTCTCCCGACAAATCAAACAAACTAAAAAAAGATATTTCCAGTTTATTAATCATCCAGTGTTAATACGATTAAAAGGAAATTAGAATGTTTGCTGTGCAAACAGCGGACGAAAAGAAATATTGACTGGAAAATAGAAAAATCTTTTTTCTGCCAAACGATGCGACGTTCTATGTTTTCTTTTCTCGATTTGGAGGTCTTCCTAGGAGAGTGTTCGAGAAAAACTCATCTGTCTAGGCTCGTTACTTGCGATAACACATCGTTAAGTGACAGAGTTGATTTTTTCCTAATAAATTTTGGTTGTTCAGACAACGAGTTCGCAGGGTTAGAAGCCCGTTCTACTTTTTATAATTACAGAAATTAGAATCCAAACTAAATATATAAAATCCTTAAGTGACTCTGCTCAAACCACTCAACGTAAGAAGCTCAATTTTGGCATACAGGTTAATTCTAGGGTGTAGAGGTTTGATAAGAAGGGATTTTTCGAAATTTCAGTTCCAAGGGGGTGAAACCACCCCTCAAATATTACAATATTTTTTATTTAAAAAACGTTAAGTTACCGAAAACGTTTAAGTTTCCGAAAAAACGCTTAAACACGTATATTTTATTTTGTTTTTTACATATTTTAAGATTTTTTAAAAACGTATACAGGGTGTTTTGAAAATTCTGGTCATAGATTAATCACGATCCTGCTTAAAGCGCTTGACATAAAAAGCTGATTTTTGGAAAACGGATTGACTTTAGGGTGTAGAGGTTCGATAAGAAGGGATTTTTCGAAACTCGAATTCTAAAGGGGTGAAACCACCCCTCAAATATTAGAATATTTTTTATTTAAAAACCGGTGAGTTTTTCGAAAAAAAACTCTTAAACACGTATATTGTATTTTGTTATTTTACATATTTTAAGATTTTTTAAAAATTTATACAGAGTGCTTCATAAAATATGACCATTGAGTAATCACGATTCTGCTTAAACTGCTTGACGTGTAAAGCTGATTTTTGGCAAACTGATTGACTGTGGGGTGTAGAGGTTCGATAAGGAGGGGTTTTTCGAATCTCAAATTCCAAGAGGGTGAAAACGCCCCTCAAATATTACAATCTTTGATATTTAAAAAAAAGGTTAGTCTTTCGGGAAAACGCTTGGACACGCATAATTTATTTTATTTTTGTACACATTTTGAAATTTTTTAAAAAATCATACAGGGTGTTTCATAAAGTTGGGTAATTGATTAACCACGATTCTGCTCCAGTTTGAATGTTAATGGAAATTCTTGCTTTACTTTATCGTCACCATTACAAATGATTAATTCGACGCGAACGAAGTCGCAGGTACACTCTAGTATAAATCATTAGTGAAACAACCTGCATTTTACCCCAAAAGCAGTTTAAAAATTATATTTGAAACATTATCTATTTTTTCAAAAACTAAGCCTAGGCTGATGATTGATACCAATTCAGATTTTACCTTATGCAAATTGTCAGGGTGTGCAATACACACGGTGTCTCAGACATAAGTGAAAGTATTTTAAGGTGTGGTAGATCTGGTCAAAAGAAACGTATTTTTTCTTTGCCGTTTTTAAAATAAATTAAAAATATCTTATTTAATATATTAATATATTTAACTTTGAAAATTTTTAAAAATGCAACATTTTGAGAGTCTTTGACAACAGTCGATAAATAATCACCCGTGAGTACCAAGTAATTATACCAGATTACACGGATCTCAGCTTGTTTGACACCCAGTGTTGACACATCAACTAGATTTAAAAATGAAATTCGGTTTAAAAGTAAAAAACTTATCTATCATTACAAAACGGGGCTCCGGTAGATAGCAGATCGGTGTAATTAGCTTAGAGCGTCTTTTTATCACTTTACCTAAAAGCGCAACACTACACTTAACAACACTTCATTTCACTACGATTCTTGACAGAACTACACTTGAATACCCATGTGTATTTGTTAAAAATTCATATGCTATCTGAATTATTTAGGTACTATTTTTATTATTTTTTAAGAATTTAAACTCCTCTGTTTTTGTATCTCACACTCTTTGTTTTTATAAAAAATAATTGATACTTCTATTTGAATATTAAAAGTATTTTTACAGGCTTACCTTATATTTGCCTATTTCTTAGTTTTGTGAGAGGTTTACTGTTTTGAGTAAAATCTCAAATATATTGGATAACCATAACCTAAAATTCAGTCATTAGCTGATGTATTTAAATGTAGGTCAAATATTGACTATTTACATAATATCTAACAGAGTCTAAGAGAGTATCTTACGTTTTCTCGTTATAAACAAATGGACATCCTAACGATTTTATCTAGTTACCTTTTCGAAAAAAAGGTCTTTTAAAAATAAGCGGTTTTCGATCGTAATTTTACTTTACTTGATAGGGAAAGGCGTACCGTCAAATTGTGGCAACGCCGCAACAGTACACCGTCGCATTTCTCTCACTCCGATTTAATAAGATAACTATGCGATTTACTTCCGTGCATGTAAATAATATACCGACCCAAAAGTAAAAGTTGCCAGCACGGTATATCTTTGTGGTTGATATATTTCTGTTACCTCTATCTATCGTTTTAGAAAAATAATGGTATTTTACAAAAAAAAAACTTTTTTGATTGAAATACTTTGATTTTTGATGTTCCAGTGGTACTAGTCCTAATAGTTCGCAGATTGTACAAAAAAACTTTTAAATCTGAAATTTTTCATATTTTCTTTTGGCCACCATAAACGTTCTAATTTTTAGAAAATCTGCTTAAATTTACCGAAAATATATATATTATACCGGGTCGTCTCAAAAGTGGCTTATCCCTATAACGTTTTTATTTTTTTAGATAAAAAACGAGATTTGGTATGTTATTATATGAAATTGGGATTAATTGATGTATTCAATTGTTTTTGGTCCCTTCCTGTTTCACCGGAAATGACTACGACTTTTGATTTTTACATGGCGCCCTCGGTATTTTTTTACTTAATTCAATAGAAAATGACACTCTGAATATTTTCTCATATGGTTTATTTGAAATTGTAACATGCGGATCATAAGGACAATGAGGATAGTTTTCTACTTGCTTCCAAGGAAATTGCTTGGATGAGAAACTTCTACGCCTACCGGTGTATGATGGATGCACTATTGAATTTTTGAATATTTATTTAATGTACTAGGACTGTATTTGGTTACAAGTATTACAAGGCCTTGGTGGCAAAAGGGTTTTTTACATTGATTCAAGGCGAATCTTAACAGACAAGTTATTTGACAAGTTATTAAAAAAAAATATTATTTGTTTTTCGTTGTCGAGGAGATCAACATTACATTTAGAAAACATCTTTACTGATCGATAAACTTGATTGACAGAAAAAGAAAATACCTTTTATCGACCGATATAGATTTAACAAAAATTATAGGTAACAGATGGGAACCCGATTACAAATAATACGTGGGCAGGTGTAAAACAAAAATGAATACAAATAAAACTGTTCAGACAATTTGATTCGAAAGACCAAGTGTGTGGTGCCAAATTAGACGATCAAATCTATTTTTCCAAGGCTCCTTGATTAAAAATTAGTGTTTTTAACACAGCCATAGCACTATAGATTAAAATTTAAAATACTATTTTTTTTAAAGCGAAAATGTCAAAAGTTATAATAGAATAAAGTAAAGCAATACCGAGGGTGCTATTTAAAAATCAAAAGTTTTAGTAATTTCCGGTGAAACAGGAAGTGACCAAAAACAGTTGAATACGTCATTCAATCCTAATTTATGTCATATACCAAACATACCAAATCTCGTTTCTTTATCTGAATAAATAAAAAAGTTATAGGGGTGAGCCCCTTTGAGACGCACCCGGTATATAAATTCTGAACTAAGAATATGTATGAACATTTTAATTGAAACCATTCCTTAAACCCGTTTATAGAATACTGAGAATCAGTCTCAGAATTTTCAGAAAATCCACAATATTTAGATACTTTAAATTTATCCAGATGACGTTCAAAGAGCTTAATACATTTAAACTCAATATCTTTTGAACTTATTTATAAACAAAAAACAAACAAAAATAATAAATAAACGATAAATATATCGAAAATTCCTAAATTTGCATTCCAGTTCTACGAGCTCGTTGGCCGATGTGCAATGATGAAGTATCAAAAGCCATCAGTCGGACTGTGGAAATGATGGAATAATAGAGTTGTGAAAAGAGTGGATTAAATATCAATAGGTTAGTTTACGCTTTATTTAATGGTTTATTTAATTAATGACAGTCTGTTGTTTTTATTAAAGGATTTGTCATTACTGGGTAAGTACGTTAAATTTTCCCTCTGTTTAGAAATGAATATATTTTTTTAATTATTGTTTAATTAGTTTAATATTTAACACCATTTTTATCGTAAAGAATTTCTTATGTATTTTTTTAGAATTTTTAGAACTGAGGTTCGAGATACATACGAAATTATCCTAAAAAAATTCTAATTTATATTTTTAGTATTTTAACATTAACAATTATATTACTTTGGATTATTATTAGATGGCTAGTATATAACAACGTATTATTTTTGTTTTTGTTATCAAATATTAAAAATATTAAGAAAAACATGACAAAATATAAAATCTGTTTAAATTAAGTATTATTTTATTTAATTATATCTACCGGTTTGTCGTACTTAATAGCGATTTGCCTTGAATTATTATTAATTGCCTAATTATTACCTATAATATGATGCGTATTTTTATTTCAGAAGCTATATGTTTGAAATTACGCACTATAAAGAAACTTTCATCACTTTCATTATACAAAAGTTTGGAATAAACATTTTATATTATTTTTTGATCCTGTTAAAAGAATACTAATTCTTATAAATTGCTAAACTATAACTTATAATTTCTGAATTATTATACTTAAATTTGTATTTTTCCGTTTGTACTAGAAATTGCATTATTTGACACAATGTTAATAAATTGTGGATTATTATAGTTATTCTGGAATTTACTAATGTATTTGTGAGGACTAAAAGAATGATTTCTCTTAATTTGAGAGTGACATTACAAAAACGATAAACACTATTTCATAGATGTATTGATGAGGTCTAGGGTTTCCAGTTTTCGGGATTGGGATCTCGTCTTGAAATCCCGAAATCCCGGGATCCCGAAATTGACATCAGAATGAGAAATTTAATATAAAGAAATACTTAATAAAAATGTAGCTACATCTGTGAAAAAGAAAATGAGAAAAGAGATTTATCAAAATATACAAAAGAAAGTAACATTCATATTTGGTACCTCCAAAATATCCTATATGGGTATTTCGCCACTGCAAGAAAATCTACAAAATAAAATAGTTATTTTTTGTAAACACTTCTGGCATTAATCCTAACGGAAACTACTTGTTTAAGAGTGTTTTTTTGTCTTGTTTTATAGGATTTAGGTTTACAGATATACAAATTTGCCTAACGAACAAAAAAATGCTTAACGTTTCGGAAAGTTTATCTCTTTCCGTCGTTGGAAGCAAAAAAAAATACAAAAAATAAAGAAAAAAAAACAATTTAAAATATTTAAATTCAACTATTCGAGAACGCTTTAGTTTTTTAAAACAGATACGTCTACAAAAACCATTGACGTTCTGTTAAAAAATAACTTTTTGTTCGTTAGGCAAATTTGTATATCTGTAAACCTAACTTCTGACAAGTAGTTTCCGTTAGGATTAACGCCCCCCAGAAGTGTTTACAAAAAATAACTTAAAGTGTATAAAGTCGAATCATTTTAGATTGGGTATTTAAATTTTATACAGGGTTGTTCACCACATAGGACACGGAGTATTGTAGCTAAACGATGAGATTTTTACAAATTGTAAGTTTGGGGTTCGTTGAAGGACTATTAGAGCTACAATTTAAAAATATTTGATCAGTTATTGTGTTGCAATAATAAAAATAATACTACCTTATACAGAGTGTCTAAAAATTTATTTTAAATAATTATTAGCTTCAAACGGCAATAACTTCTTTAATTTAAATGGAATGCCCTATATATTTTAGGAGAATCAGATGCACAATTAAATTGTCTATCAAATTGTATTATACCATTTTTTACCTATCCCTTCAAGTTTTCGTAGAAAATGCATTTTCTTATAATTTAGACCTCATTTATCAATATATCCATGGAATATTGACATTTTAGATTGTTTTTAAAGCAACAAATGTACAAAATGTACAGACTAGTAATATTATAGTTTTTAGCGAAACGATAATATTACTAGCCCATTTGTATGCAATTATATCGACAATATTAGTGTCTGTACTCTTTAAAAATTTGGTACATCTTTAAAAATAATCTAAAATGTCAATAGTCCATGGGTATATTGATAAATAAGTTCTAAATTACAAGAAAATGCATTTTCTACGGAAACTTAAAGAGATAGGTAAAAAATGGTATAATATAATTTGATAAACAATTAAATTGTGCATCTGATTCTCGTAAAATATACAGGGTGTTCCATTTAAATTAAACAAGTTATTGCCGTTTGAAACTAATAATTATTTAAAATAAATTTTTAGACACTCTGTATAAGGTAGTATTATTTTTATTATTGCAACACAATAACTGATCAGTAAATAAACTTCAGTAAATATTTAGTATTAAAAACTTTGATGCCCTGGGAGAAATGAAGCCTTAAAATTTTTACTGCAATTTCACAAAATTGAAAATATTTCAAAAACGGTAAGGTTTAAGTATAATAAACCTTAATCAAATTTACCTTTATTTTAATCGTAGAAACTAAAAATGTAATAATATACAGGGTGTTCCATTTAAAAAAATACAACTTTGATATTTTTTACTTATTTGGGACACTCTGTATCTTGTAAAATTATTTTTAAATTGTACCTCTAATAGTCCTTCATCGAACCCATAACTTACAATTTGTAAAATTCTCATCGTTTAGCTACAATACTCCGTGTCGTATGTGGTGAACAACCCTGTATATAGGATTTCGGAGATAAATATAGGGATCCCGGTTTGGAAACACTAATGAGGGCCAAAAAAAGGGCGCTTTTAATGCTAAAATTGTTAATAATAATTGTCACGCTTTTTTTTCAAAAACGAATACCTATCTGTACACAGGTAATTGACAAAATGGTTTTCAAATCTCTTACTTCGTTAAACCATTCAACAGGGTGATTCAAACATTCGCCAAAGTAATATTTTCTTTTTTTTCTCGTATAATAGTCAAATGGGGGTGATAGTAAGTTATCAGAAAGGAAGCCAGAAATGCAATAATATACAAGGTGTTCCAGTTAAAAGTTTACATAACCCCCAAGAAAATTCGAAATGAGGGTAAAAAGTCAAATAGTTTAGCTACAAATTGGTTAAATATCACCAAAATAAGCCTACTAGATGAAATTATACTGAATTTTTCTTTAAATATAGAATATAACATTATTGTGCCATAAGATGAAAAAAAAATAGCGTCAAAAACGGCTGGGGAATGACAATCGATAATAATTTTGGCGAGGTCCAGCCCTAGACGTAATTTACTTGAACTGTACTCTTCTTAATTTTTTAATGGCGCTTACAGCCAGTAGTCCTTAAAAAGGTTGTAATTTATTTTTATATCGAGTAAAAATGATTTTTAAATGACATGGTTTAAAATTCGAGAAAAAATATATTTTTTTGGAAACAGATTTGTGGATCTGGTTAATATTTGATAAATTTTATGTCAATTCTTAGCAAATGACGTCTAGAGATTGACCTCGCCAAAATATCATTCATGCACCAGCCGTCTTTGACGCCTTTTTTTCGATTGGTATTTTACGATGATCTTATGAAATTGTGTGAAATTTAAAGCTCTACTATATTAAAATGTGCTATTTAATTTGAACAAACTATTTGTTAATTGTGTATTAAGAGCAAACCTAATATTAATACAATTTATCTTCAAAAATTAACGTCTGATATCATTATTGTTTGCCATCAAATAGATCCTAATACCAGGCATGTCGTTTTGTTACAAAATATTGCGAAACCAATCACTAAGTAAAACAAAACAACAGTACCAGTTAATTGGTTAATTGATTTTAGGCATCGACAACTTCAGGAAGATAAAAATAAAAAAAAAACATCTAATAAAAATATATTCCCCAGTTGAATTAACTAAAGTGCTTCCATCATTCCGGTTTTCTCTGTTGCATGACACACTTAAATTAAAAAATTATCCGGGATAGTATTGACTAGAACCTAAATTAAATTCTGTACTTATTAATTTTTAAACACGTACGGCTATTCATAGTGTTATTAGTAGACAAACAACCATTATAAAATGTAGCTGACTGGACACTGAATCTCGAAATTAATAGTAATCAAATAAATCATTAAGAGATATACAATATGATCGAAAATAAAACGGCGTCGGCGATAGCTATGAAATGAAGAACGCTCTCATTTTATATGTAAGATTATATAGGGAAATGTTATCGATCGTTATATCCAAGCGAACTGGACGTCGTTTTTTTCGAACATACGGTATTTCTACATAGTTACTATACGTAAAATCAGTATCTTATATTAGTATTATTATTTAGTATCAATAGGTTTTTAACAAATAGAAGAAATATGTACTTTTACCGGGGCGTCTCAAAAGTGGCTCACCTCTATAACTTTGTTGTTTTTTCAGATAAAGAAAACGAGATTCGGTATGTTAGTATATGACATAAATTAGAATTGATTGACGTATTCAACAGTTTTTGGTTACTTCCTGTTTCACCGGAAATGACTAGAAACTGACACTCTGAATAAAATAACATATCATATGTCAACTTTTAACATTTTTGCTTAAAAAAATCGTATTTTAAATTTTAGTCTAGAGTGCCACGGCCATGTTAAAAACAGCAATTTTTAATCAAGGAGCCTTGGGAAAATAGGTTTGATCGTCTAATGTTTTTCGTGTTTTGTCCTGGCCGGTTAAAAGATGCCCAAATCGTAATTTAATCATATCTCATTTTTTTCTAACGGAACAAGGGTGTCTCATTACCATATTTGGGAAAAACATTTTCTAAGGAATAATTTGGTACCAGACACTTGGTATTTCGAGTCAAATTGTCGTTATGAACCGCATGTTACAATTTCAAGTAAACCATATGCGAAAATGTCAAAAGTTGACATATGAGATGTCATTCTCTCAAGAGTGTCATTTTCTATTGAAAAAAGTAAAAAATACCGAGGGTATCATTTAAAAATCAAAAGTTGCAGTCATTTACTGTAATTATTTCATTTTGGGTGAAACAGGAAGTGACCAAAAACAGTTGAATACGTCAACTAATCCTAATGTATGTCATATACTAACATACCAAATCTCGTTTTTTTATCTGAAAAAATAAAAAAGTTATAGGGGGTGAGCCACTTTTGAGACGCACTAGGTATATGCTAAAAAACTGAATGCACGAATTAAATTATTATACTTTACTGACCGGATCGAAAAACGGACAATTTAAAAATTTTCATATATTTTAAAGTTCAATATATTTTGCTAATTGGGACGATTTTTGTAATTTTCTGTAGCTGAATTATTTGAGTTTTTTGTAAGTAATCTGTAGCTGAATTATTTGAGTTTTTTGCTTCTTAGTCTCTTTTTAAATTAAAGATTACAGTTCTTATATATCTATTATCCGAGGCAAATTAAAATGATGATGTTTTGGAGGAAGTTTGAAACATTCTGTGACATTGTTTAACAAAGTAAGAAAAATAACAACCACATTATCGTCAAGATGCATCTTTGCTCGATAGTTTGTTTTTCGTTTCATTTCAATAGCCCCCTATACACCAACATATTTAATCTGTGGATTTGGTCTGCGGACTTGATCTGTCAAGTACCAAGACTATCTATTTTGGATGGCCCAATCTGGCCTGACGATAGTTTACTGATTAAATCTTCTCATTTGGGACAAAACTACATGTTTTATAGCAGTTTTTATGAAGATAATTGTTTATTATGAATATAGATTGCCGTATATTCGCTTAGAAAGCAAGAGCGTTACAAGTCCGCGAACTTTATCCTTTGATCGTATCTTAGACCAATATAATCTGACAAATCAAGTCTGCGGATTTGGCCCGTACAAACGGTCTGCCATACAAACGTAAAATTTTTATCCGCGGATTTGGTGCTAATCGAATCTAATCAACGTACGCATGAAGTAGTGTATATTGTTTTTGAAAAGTCATTAACAATCCTAGTTTAGCTATCCTCAGTTTACCGTTGTTAGTTACTGTTAACGTACTTAGTTAATTGGTTTAATGAAGATAGAGATCAACCTCTGAACTGGAATCCATTTCTGCTAGAGTAACTACCAACATACAATAATAACATGACTTTTCAATGACGGTGATATTACAAAATCAGTAAACAGTATTTCATTGGTTTGTTGATTAGGACCAAAAGCAAAAGCTTTTACTTTTAATGCTAAAATTGCGTCTTCTTGAAAAGCGAACATCTCCAATAAAAATAAAGCTATTTACAAGAGACAAAATACTGCAGTTGATAAAATTATTTTTAAATTACTTATTTTATTAAACGAATCCACAGGATGTGGACAAAATATATTCTACCAGAAGTCATAAAGTTCAAGAATAATTTGAGTAAAATGTTCCAATATAATTTGCATATATCTTTTATTTCAGATTACTTTGTTAACACAATTCAACTAAATTTACATAACAATTTAACCAACAACAATGCCTAATTTAGTATACATATTAAACTTGCTCAGAAACTGGAGACTTCAAGACGACATACCTCTCAGTATAACTTCTGAGACCCACCCTGCCACTCCCGTGATAGCAGTTCTACCTGCCGAAATAACGGGACCGCCTGAGAAGAAAGCTATTCTGCTATTTAATGATGCAAATACAAATAATGTTAATAATATGACCAAAAAAGTAAATAAAAAAGATGATGTACTTGAAGTAAAGGAGGAAATTTTGAATAATATCAAGAAATCGAATAAAGAGACAATGGTTAATATGAAGAATGCCCTGAATGATGCAAAAAATGAGAGTAGTAATGGTCTTGAAAGTATTGAAATAGTTCCCAAAAGAAAATCTTTTGCGGTGAGTAGGATTTTTTATTTCTGAATAAGCTTGTAAAAATGCAGATGCATGTATAATGTTTAGGAGGGGGTTAATCACCGCGACCTTACAGATCTATTGTGTGTTCACCTTTCTTGAGTTATAACGGGTAACTCATCATACAGTCTCAGGGCTTTGACAAAAGCTAGTATCTGAGACGGCTCCACAGAGGTCAGCTCTCCATCTTCGACATCAGCCGTACCAAAATTTGTGGTACGAACAGTTGAAGAATAGTCGTCTCGGCGCACTGATAAGGCGCACTGATAAGGTGTTCCTGTGTTTCCCCATTTTCCCCATAGAATCTGCATTCGCCGTTGTTTCTCAGCTTCAATCTACTGAGGTGTTCGTTGAGGGGACAGTGTCTTGTTAGAAACCTCGTGACAATCCAAAGATTGTTCTTACTTAAATCAAGGAAAATCTTTTATTCTTCTAAGGCGTAAGTTCTGAGGAACTTTTTCGAGTATCTTAGACCATTGGAGGATGTCCATTCCAGGTTACGGATGGAGTCCTCCAGGTTCTTCAGTTCTGATTTAAGTTGGCTTCCGCTTTTTAAGCTAGTTTCCGCCTATGTAGATGCATAGATTACCATGTGGTTATCTTGTCGCTAGTTTTTGACTAGCCACGCTTTACCTGCCACGTCTGTTCTCGTACGAAAACAAAATTATCAGGTTAAATGAAATAAACTTATACAGGGTGAGCCTTATATAAGTGCAAATATTTTTAGGGGAAATATATTTTAATGCCAGGAACACATCTTTGAGGTATAGTTAAAAACATAATATCTCCATAATATGGCAACATGGTAGATTAAATCTACAAGAAAGAAAACTCTTGAAAAAAGGTTCTCAAAATTTTAGCAAAAAATGTATTTTTTTTATTTTTGTAAAGTAAAATATCTCGGTTATTTTTTGAAAAATGGTAAAGAGAAAATATGTTTCTTTTATCGAGATCTGCCGGCCCTGAAAATATTTGTTATTTATTTGAGACTCACCCTGTATAATAGGGTGCTTCTTCTTCTTCTTCTTTACGTGCCGTCTCTTTCGTGGAGGTTGGCGATCACATTGACAAAATTTTCACGATTCTCGGCTTTCCTTATGAGTTCTTCAAAAGTTAGGTCAGTCCAGTTTCTGATGTTTCTCAACCAAGATAGTTTCTTCCTGCCGAGACCTCTCTTTCTTTCAATCTTACCCTTAACTATCAATTGTAAGACGTGGTATTTTTCATTTCTCAATACTCGTATATGCCCTAAGTATGATGTTTTTCTTATTTTTATTATATTGAGCAATTCTCTTTCTCTGCCTATTCTGTTGTAGACTTCGGTATTTGTGATATGGGCTGTCCATGGAATTTTAAGCATTCTTCGATAATATTAGGGTAACATAATAGGGTGCACCAAAAAAAAATATTTTTTCCTTTTTCGTTACCACGAAATAATGGACAAAAACATAAAATAAGTTACTTTATGTTTTTCATCCATTATTTCGTGATAAGATATGATATTTTATGTTATTTCGAGATAAAATCTAAAAAATTGTAGAAATAATAGTAAAAAGTTATCATATACGATTTGAAGTTGAAATTTAACCTTCAGTAACTTTCAAACGAGTCGATTAAATGAAAGACCTTTTTTGAAGAACGTTCAATTTCCTACAAGAATATATATATTGATTTTTACAAAACACTGATTTGTCAGAACGCAATAAATTTCCAAAGAAAAAAAATGTTTCCCCGTATTATTTAAATGAAAAATAAAAAATCACGTTGAGGCACCTCTTAATATTAATATTAAAAGCTCAAACTTTGCCAGAACTTTTTTTTCATCATCCTGAACGGTATTTTCACGGTAACGAAAAAGAAAAAAAAATATTTTATTTAGTGCACCCTACAGTATAATAATACTCTTTTAAACTAGGTTAATTTATGTTAAAAAGTTAAATAATGCATATTTTACCTTATTAATGAATATAAGTATAGAGTATATTATATTTTTAGACACAAAGTAAATATTAAAAGCAAATAAAATACAAAAATAATATACTGGATATCACATTAAAAAACATAAGTTTGGGTCATTATTTTTAAATTGACAGCTTCCAGCGAAATTCTAGTTACACCACTGAATTCTACGAGAAAAGCTCTATGGGAATCGATTTTCATCTTTTCTATATAAGATATCCAAAATAGGGTTGCCAACCGTCCTCTATTCCAGAGGACAGTCCTCTTTTTGATTTCACTGTCCTCTTTTCTCGCACGTATTGAAAAAGTCCTCTTTTTTACAAACCAAACTCAAAATCTAAAAAATATTCGTCTATCGCTACAATGCTTTAAAAAATTGTTAATCTGTCTCTTTAACTACTGCCACTCGTTTGTACAGAAAATAAAATGAAGATATGCTTATGTATAAGAAATGTTTGTGGAAGCGATAAACATAATAAACATATTTAACTATTTGATGTTGACTTACTGTTAGCTTATGTTTTGAAAAGAAAAGTTTTGTGGAAAGTGGTTTTTGAGTATAAATATTTTTAAAAAAGTAAGAAAGACCATCAATCGCATACCGTTCACATAGCTTTTTTGTAAATTCTAGCCATTTTGAAGGAGGTTTCAACAAAATTATTCGTCTGTGCCTCTTTTTTACCCTCCCGTCCTCTATTTTTTATTTTGAAAGTTGGCAATCCTAATCCAAAATATGGAGGAGGTTTCAAATTCCTCTGTATTTCAGGAACTAAAAGAATTAGAACAAATATGTGTGTAGCATTTTTAGTTTCATAAAAAAGTAGCTAAGAAATATGAAAACCTCATCTTTGTAACTCTCTCTCATAAACGAGAAACCCCGTAAAACACACGAAAATGAAACACCCTGTACATTTTTATCTGTCTTTTTTAATTCATATTTATTTGTACCCTATCTTAATAAGTTTCATTACTTTTTGGCATGCTTTTTTTGTAGACCTGGGTGATTAATACGTTCCATACATTAACGAGCGCTCCCGGTACAAAACGCGAATTGGAGAACATGCTGCCATCTGACGTGGAAAAGGGAAACAACAAGCCAGCAGAGGGAGGAGGTGGCTGTTCGGAAACCGTGTGTTCGATCGCGTCCAGTCCTTACAGGATCCTGAGGGTAAGTTTATTGATTAAATAAATATAGAAAACTGTAAAATATTCCTGTTAACGGATCGATATTGTCTTTGAAAAAAGAGAAATCTATTTAAATGAGTGTCTTTTTTCGATATTTTTATTATTTTTTTTCAAATATGAATCTAAATATTTATAAATTGAGTAAATATTTGTTCAGTAAGGGTTGATAAAATTTCGACGTAGTACAATATGATCGAACAAAGAACGGTTATTCATTTCTAAGCTAACTGGACGCCGTTTTTTTTCGATCATAGGTACGGTATATCTCTGGTTGTGGGGCAGTGAAGCCACACTAAATTTTAGTGGGTTAACTTAGGGCCTACCAAAAACATATTTGTATGATTAAAAATAATTTGAATAATAATTTACTTTCCGATTTTTCTTTTAATTTTTTCATTTGTGTCACCAATGTAACTTTTTTAAAATCAAATATTTATTTTGATTTTTTATAATTGTCATATTTAATCGAAAAATTTTAAATATTGCCAATCAAAGTGACTGTGAAATTACAGTGTTTTACATATTTTTATGATTTTCAATCTACCTAAATAAAAAAAATAAAAATATATAAATTGTTGTATTCTGATAGCGGTTATGATTTTTTTACAATATTTAAAATGTTGCATTAAAATGGGGCAACTGTCATAAAAAAAAATAGAAACAACATTAATTTATTATTTTAAAAAAAAGTTACGTTGATGCACTCGCAAAATTGAAAAACATCTGAAATTTTAAATTGTTTTTAATAATAATAAAATGTTTCTGGTAATCTTTAAGCTACCTCCTCACTAAAATTTGGTGCAGGTCCCATATCCAGAACCAGAGATATTTATAGTACATCGCATTTGTACTAGCCGCCGCTTATGCACATGACAAATAATTTAAAATTTTCTTTCCATTGGCTTCTGAAAACGTCCCATTGCTGCCAAAAGTCACTAATCACTAACTTACTTTTTATTACTTCCGAGAAAAACGCGTCTAAAGATGAATTGCATTGCATAAAAATGTTATAGTTAGTAACTATTCGGTATTAAAATACAACATAAATAGCCAGAAATCGTAGTTAATGACTTTTTCAATCGATTCTCCGCTTCAAAATACACAGTTAGTGATTGAATTTTCAGGTTCGGAAAAATGTTAGTTAGTGACTTTTGGCAGCAATAGGATGAAAATATCTAGCCGGCCGACACGTTATGGCTCATTTGGCTACTGATAATATCAACGCTTTGTTACGCCAAGCTTTTCACTATCAAATAATTTTTGTTTGCGACAATATGTGTATCAAAATTTACTTTTGTATATGCTGATTATATTTTATCTTTTTTGCCTGATATACATCAGCTATTTCATGAAAATTATCATTTGTTGTTGTAATCAAAGTTGTACAATAATAGTTTTGAACAACTTTTAGTGTTTGTGTATTAATGCTTAACGAGGTAAACCGAAATGTTTAAAATATCTGTATATGAAGTTGTTCGTTTTTACTAAGATTTATGTTATCTAATGTTGTTTGGAAAATTAGGCCATACTAACATCTATAGTTACCCTTAGCAATTCACTTATCTTTGCTTGGATTAGAAAAAAAAGGTTTCATTTCATTTTTTTATTTTTTATATTATTATAATTAGCCATTACTTGTTTGATATTTTGTTTACATTACTAATAATTAGTTTGCTACCTCTTTATAGTTTTACTTCCACTACATACATAATAGTACCGTATGATCGACAAAAAAACGGCGTCAGCGATGGCTATGAAATGAAGATCGCTGTCACTTGATATGTAAAATTATATGGGGAATGTCAATGATCGTCATTTCCAAGCCAACTGGATACCATTTTTTTTCGATCATACGGTATTAAGCAGTTAGAAATAGCAGAAATAAAACACACAAAGATTGTATTGTATTGTTAAAGTCCATTTCCATCTTAGAGTTTGTGGACCTGAACTCGATCTTTGTTTAAAACAGTTGTTAAAATTAAAATATTTCTCAACCTGCTAAAACAAACAGCATATTATTGACCTAAATATTTAGTCATATCTTCATAGAGACAAAAAAAATTGTTTATTATTAGGTAATTGCATAAGAACTATTAGGCTTAAAGAACGCCATTCGTGATATCAAACGATTAAATAAAGATCCCCGAGGACAGTTTTTCTGTTAGGATAATTCTCTTGTTTAATTAGGAGATTTAATTTGTTTTCGTCCTTGAACCTCAATCTTTTTAACCTTTGTTCGAATAATTCAGAAAATATACACAATCAATAATTGTTCTGAAAATTAACATATTTTTACTTTTCTACTAGGTTCATCAAGTGATATTCAAACTATTTAGTTTCAGCGTATATTCTTTGGTTTCAGCTTATTTTGTGCTTCGTCTAAGTCCCAGTTTAGATTAGAAGGTCTCTTGTATCTATTTGCGCCACTTGAATACCACTATGGAATTTTTGTGGTCCATCTTTCATTAGTTCTTTTCGCTAGCTATAAATTCTATAGTTCGGGTTCGTTACCTGAATCTTCTTTATACCCTTGGCTTTAACACTACAAGCACATTGCTTCATAAACCACTGAGCTATTTGGAGTTTTCTTATAAATTCTTGTTTCAGCGTCTAAGTTGCTAATCTAAGACTTTATCTATGACTGGTGGTATCAATTGACTGAGAAAGGCCTTTTGTATATAGACTGAGTTTCGCCCGAATGCACTTCACGCCAATAATTTGATTATTCTGTTAATTGTTGAAGTTGTAAACCAGGTTTATATGCCAATTGACAGAAGTATACTATTAGCATTTTATTTTGTTTCACTTTTGACTCACTATAACTATTTTATTTTTGGAGATAAAAAATTAACAGTACGTTAATCTATATTGATAGTTCGTGTTATACAGGGTGAGTATTAAATAAGTGCAAATATTTTAGTGTTGGTATATTTCCACACTAGAAACGCGATTATGAGGTATTTTTCGCAAAAAATTGAAAATCTCGAATTTAAAAAAAAACAGTGTGTGCCCTATGTCCACATATTTGCAATGAAACTTCTTAATAACAGCTATTAAATTGAAAGATTTGAAGGATATATATTTTTTTATGAATTGTTTTTATAAACTGCAAAATAATTAGGATTAGCATAAAACCATATCTAGTGGGTATTTTATTCCTTTAAGGGAAATGTGTTCTAGGTCACGTCGTTGTTACGTTACCAGGACCTTCTTGTGCCTGACATGAAGCAATAAAACGCAGACACGTAACTGTTCCCTAATATTCCCTAAATGTGACAAAACTTTGCTAACTAGGTATACTATTCTAGCTATATAATTTTATAATGTTTTCTTAATTTTTATTAAAAAACGATAATTATCCCAGCCCAATAGCCCTGGCAGCTGTGGCGATTAAACCAAAAATACTACGACATTTATATCTCAGTACTACTAACCAACAATTTTAGTAATGAAAATACTTCTAGCCGCGTTTATATCGGACCCATTTTTGAAAAAACGACATGCTAGAGGCGATATGAGTTCAATAACCTGCCTAATCAACTTGTCAACACGTAAGTCGATAGCTGAATAGAGCAAGGACGTCCAAGGGCCGAAAGGAGGTCTTATTAGTGTGTGTGTGGGCCAACTATTTTATGGATATGGATGTTTAGTCTGAGAAAGCCGATATTATTATAAAAAAGAATATGCGTCAAGGCATAGGTTGTTAGGTACAGTTGGGCTATTTTAATCTAACTCTTTCCGTATGAGAAGCAGTGGGCAAGTTATACGTGAAAGAGTGGAATAACATAAATAATAAATTTAGACTAACGCAATATTTTTTCTTGGCGCCTAGGATAATGCGCACAATCGATGCATTAAAGGGAATAATTATTAAATCATTAAGTTCCAAAACATATAATAACTCGGGTCTCATCGGATCTTCTGATACATTTTGATAAAATCCTTGTATATATTATAAACATGGGTAAAATTTAGGTTATTAGGACCTATATTTTTTTATATGATTATTATTTTTTTAATTAACAACTTAGGACAAAGAAAAAGCTTGCATGGTTTCCACCGCCAACAGGTGTGGAAACAAATGAATCCAAGGCGGTGCCAAATACTTTTTATTGGGATAAAATTTTATCGTTTGAATATTGTTGTAAATAATTAATTTAATTATTAATTGTAATTTCAACAAAATCAGCCAACGGATCTTGGAGATATTAATAAAAAAGGTCTATTAGAAAACACATTGACACCCCTGTATCTTTAAAATTATACATTTCCGGACACATGTTTATAAGAACTTTTTACCTTAAAAACACTCAAAAAATCACCTCCTGAAGTTTGGCCAGATACTTAATTAACACCCTGTATTTAAAAATGGCTAGCTAGTGATTTAGTAAGCTATGTTTATTTTAATAACAAAAAAATACATTTCATAAAAAATATACAAACCCATAATACAAATACTATACACCAATTAATTAATTTTAAATGTATCTAAATAGGCACTTTAATAAGTGAAAAATGAACAGGAGCACTTCTTAAAATCACTTCATAGAGTATACAAAATATGCTAAATATAATAATTCTAATAAAAAAACACAAATGGCACATTAAAATCTGCATTATCTGAAATCAAACTATAGCTAAACGGCTAATAAAATAATAAAGACAAGACGCCGACATCTATAACGCGATGAGCAGTTTTTAATAATTATTCCGTGTTATTATTACATACTTGTTTTACAATATATTGTAATGATGGTTATGGCATTCCTTCAAATAAATTTTGATTTAAGTATTGCTAATATAGTCATATTAATGATTATAGCCCGTATGATTTCTAAAATAAATAATCAAGCGTATTCTTATCAGAATTATTAAATTATTAAGTCAGTAGCGTAACTTCAAATGTGAGGCCCCCCTGCAAGATTTTTTTGGGGCCCCTATATTAAAATAAAAAAACACACTAAAAACATAATATAGCTTTAT